CCACCCGCAGGCCAGGGACGCTTACAGCTGCTTTTCATACCTTTCTTGAACGATCGTGTTGGACGTGAGGATGGATGTGAGCTACTCGTCGACGGACGATGGAGCGAGCACATCCTTGGACCATGCTGATCATAGTGTCCCTATGGCACGCACGCCGCCTAGGCCTCATGCACAGCCATCGCTGGGCTCGCCCGGTGTGTTGATGACACCAGTGCGAGAGGCGGGTCACACCGCGGCCCAGGCCAGCTCACCGGGCTCGCTTCCACAGACCCCTGGCTCGGCACGGTGGACGTCCCCGCACCCTGCAAGGACCGAGTCGAGTGAAACGCGGCTCAGTGGCGGGCTGTACGACCGAAGTGGGCAGGTCGGGCTGGGCGAGTTGGCGACACCGCGCTGGATGGTGTCGTCCCAGGATGCGCAGCGTACGCCGCCCACGCATCCCATTCCTCGCCGTGTCCTCCCCCAAGAGCCACCGCGCACAACGGCGACGGTATCATCCTCGAACGCCTCGCCCCTATCGACGTCGCATCCGGATTCGACAGCCGCTCGTCATGCACGAGCAATTTCGTATTCGATGAGCGCGACGTACCACCCAGGTGACTTGTCCGGCAGTGGAATGCGCTCTTTTGCCTCGATGCAGTTCCCTCATACCCAAGCTACGCCGCCAAGCGTGTCCACACACTGGCCTGCATCGGCGTCTGCATCGGCGTCAGCTACGGCGTCTGCTACGGCGTCAGCTACGGCGATGGCGGCGCATGGAACGCCTAGCAACGATGTAGTCAAAGAGTTGGAGGCGTCGATACGACGCTCTGCACGGCGCTGGCCCGCCTCCATGATGCCGCCGTCCCCTGACGTCTCTACACTGGCATCACCGCCGTCCGCACAACGACCTCAGTCGACCATTACCACCACCCCACAACGACCGAGCCTCCCTGTGCCTGAAGCACAAGGACCCTTGGTGGCTACGCCTACACCCTCCTCGGCCGCTGCTGTGCCGAGGCATGAGACTTCGGTTGAGCTCGCTTCGGAAATACAGGAATGGCACTTATCGCCTTCCGGGGCTGTGAGTGTGCCTGCGTCGACGATTTTGCCCTCACGTGAAACGAATCGAGCGACACATACTGTGCCACCGCCATCGCACGAAGCGACGGATGCACACAAGATGCCCCTAGCCTCGCCTTTGGCGATGGGCGAGCCGCCGCATACGGAGCCTCCTACGCCTGGCTTCACGCTCTCGTCGCCCAGTCCTGCGCCCGGGTTGGCGCCGAGTGCAGCGATCGGTGCGACAGAGGCCTCGGCGTCGTTGGACGACGTCTCTCTCCTTTCGGCGTCGGCGCCAGACACGGCATCTTCGCCACGCACGCCCAAATCGCCACGGTGGCGTCGGCGCTCGCCGGTATCCCACGATGAAGGCGACGAGTCATCGTCCTCGTTAGCTGGCCGGTTATCGCGGCGTTCGTTGGCAGCGCTCAATCAGCTCTTTAAAGGGAGCCCACGTCGCGCGTCCAAAGACGAAACCACAGCACCAACAACGACAGCGGCAACGACAGAGGCACACGATAATGCACCGAGTTCGGGCGGTAGCGGCGCTGCGACGGCCACGGCCACGGCGGCGCCTCCCACCTCCACGTCTGTGCCCAGTGAGGAGCCGGTGCCGCCGTCCAAGTCGCGTCTTGGATTTATGCGCCGTCGTCGACCCAGTGCCGCGGTAGCGACACGCGGTGCAAAAGTCTTGGGCAATGAAGCACAAGTGCCGCAAATGCCGCACGTTCCTCCATCGACGTACGTGGCGCCGCAGCTGCCAGAGCCCTCGCTCCCGCGGTCCGCGTCGAGTGGCTCGATGACGCCGCGGTCGACGACGTCGCGAGAGGCGCCGAGTCTGCCACGCACAGAGCCTTCGCCGTACTACACTGCGCCATCGCAAGGCAGTCGTATCCCACGTGCTTCGTCCATGGTCCGCCTACTGCAGCGGCGTACGGCGGAGAAAGACGAGGTCCCGAAAGCCGAGCCACGTCTTCTTACAAGCACGTCGATGCATAGCTTAGCACGCCGGACCGAGTCGCCTGTCAAGCGGTCGACCAGCCAAGTGCGGCGCAAAGCACGTCCGGATGAGGCCCCGTCCGGCCGTGGTACGGCCTCGCCGACCAAGGCGCGTGCGTGGCGCAAATCAAGTACAGAGGCCTCAGAAGCCTTGCAACGCGAGCGGCAAGTGAAGCGTGTGGAAGCCACTGATACAAGCACCGTCGCGCGGGGCCCTAGTGCCTCGACGCGGCAAGCCCGGCCTCGGCCTAGTACAAGCGGAGCGCGTGCGACGCCGACGAGTGGCTTGGTGCCCAGCAGCGTCACGACAGGTCTTCGTCGTGTGGATATGACGCGGCGGGATAGTGCGAGCAAGGAGCGACGTGAGAGTGCGATGCCACCGCGACGTGATAGTCTTTTGCGCGATGTCGTACGTCGCGAGAGTCTACGCCGCGATCCGAGCAAGGGGCAAGGAGAAATGGATAGCGCTAGCACGGACGATGTCAAGGGGACATCGCCGTATGCGGAGCAGTCGCAGACCGATGAGCTTGCAGGTACGCCGCCTACGTCGTCGTCCATCCCGGCTCTCTCGCCCTCGTCGACCGTCTCTGCGACGCCCAGCGTATCAACGTCGACGGTGACGACACCTACGGCGAGTGCGCCGCTCATGCCCAGCACGCAGCCCAGCTTGGTGGCCGCAGCTCCACGGACGACGACGGCGACGACAGCGCCCACAACGACAGCGCCCGCAACGGCCAGCTCCGTGGTCCCGCGAGCGTCGATGCCAGCGCCCATGTCTGTGCCGCCCGGTGGCTCAGCGTGGCCGCCGCCGGCGGCGGCCACGACGGCGCCGCAAGCGCGGGCGATGGTCGACTCGCAAATCCCTATGCCTGTGGACGCGCGACGACCGCCTAGCGCTACGCCGTCCCGACGTACTGCGACCAGGACGCCGACGTTGATCGACGATACGCAGGCGGCCGACGACGAAATGGAGCGGCATATCCAGCGTGTGTACCGCCGACAAATGGCCCAAGGCGCGCGGCAGGAGGACATTGATAAGCAAATGGCGTTCCCGCAGCCAGGCGCAGCAAGCAAACGGCTCTCGCCGCGGCAAGCGGAAGTAATTTACGGCAACCATTTGTGCCCATACGAAGTGAAAGAGATGTTTGAGTACGACTCCATCTACTATGTCGGCTCCTTTGCGCGGCACAAACACTATGCCGTCCCAGAGAAGCCCGATCGCAACTTTGGTTACGATGACGAGCGTGGTGACTACGTGGTGAATGTGCGTGATCACTTGGCGTACCGCTACGAAATCATTAAGCTGCTAGGTCGCGGCAGCTTTGGGCAGGTCCTGCAGTGCCGTGACCACAAGACGGGGCAGTACGTCGCCATCAAGCTGATCCGCAACAAGCGCCGCTTCCATCACCAGGCCGTGGTCGAAGTGAAGATCATGGAGCATCTCACGCGCAGTGATACCGAGCAGCAGCAGAGTGTGGTGCACATGACGGACTCGTTCACGTTCCGGCAGCATTTGTGTGTCACGATGGAGCTGCTGAGCATCAATTTGTACGAGCTCATTAAGGCCAACAACTTTGACGGGTTCAGTACACTGCTTATTCGGCGGTTTACGCAGCAAGTGCTGGCATGTCTTACGCTCATGCGGCAGGCACGCATCGTGCACTGCGACTTGAAGCCGGAAAACATTCTGCTGGTGCATCCACGGAAAAGCGAGATTCGGGTGATTGATTTTGGCTCGAGCTGTTTCGAGAATGAAAAAGTGTACACGTATATCCAGAGCCGCTTTTACCGCTCGCCAGAAGTGATTCTCGGCATGGACTACAACATGGCCATTGATATGTGGAGTCTGGGCTGCATTCTCGCCGAACTGCATACGGGGTACCCCATCTTCCCCGGCGAGAACGAGCAGGATCAGCTGGCCTGTATCATGGAAGTGCTGGGCCTGCCAGATCGTCATCTGCTAGAGAAGAGCACACGACGCAAATTGTTCTTTGACAGCACGGGCGCGCCGCGGCCTGTCGTCACATCGCGTGGCCACAAACGGCGCCCGAACTCCAAGACGCTGGCGTCGGCTGTGAAATCGCATGACGAGCTGTTCTTGGATTTCATCGCACGTTGCCTGACATGGGATCCGGAACGGCGCATGAAGGCCGATGCAGCGTTGCGGCATCCATGGTTTTGGCAGCAGCAGCAGCAGCCACCGCCCCCGCCGCCAGCACCGTCAATGACGACGCCCAGTCGTCGGACGAGTGGCGAAGGCGGTGGGGGCACGAGCGTGCGTGTGCCTGGCACAGCACGTCGGTCGATGCGCGCAGACGGCTCGCTCTTACCGCGCGCCACGCCTGGTGGCAGCCATACGAGCACGCGACGGGCAATGTAAGTGTGCCTCGAGGCTACACAACGCCTCCATCTATACTTTCGAGCCATAGACTAGGATTGATAGGGGAGAGAAAGCAACCTATCTATTCCGTTACACCAAGTACGATTGAAGACCGGCCGCCTGCACCTTCTCTGGCGCCTGGGTGTTCAGCTGCGAGACGAACGCCACCACTTGGCCACGCAACTGGCCGCCCAGCACATCCTCGTCGCTGCCCAGCACGTGCGCAAAGAGCTGCAGGATCGTGTCGAGATGCTGCACACCCACGGCATTGTTCGCCTGCACAAGCTGGATCAAGCACAAAAGCACTGGCGTCCATTCTGCATGGTCGTTCTCCAGCGGCAGCGACGAGAAGAGGATCGGCAGCGCCTGGTCGAGCGGCACCGCGTCCGGGTTCTTCATAATCATACGCGCCAAGCAGCCGCATGCATTGTCGCGCGCCGTCTTGAGATCGTCCGACTCCTCCGCCGACTTCGCAAAGTACGGCTGGAGCGCGGTGAGCAGCGACGCGTAGTGGGGCGACAAGTCTGCCTCGCTGTTCTCAATCAGCACGCCCGCAGCGAAGGCCGAGTTGGAGCGCACCGACGCCTCCTCGTCGGTGATCGAGTGCGAGAGCACCGTGAGAATATCCTGCGTGAACGGCGTAATGGCCTGCTTCATACCGACCACGACCTCGCCCAGCGAGCCGATAGCCGTTGCGCGGTCGCTCTGTGAGCGGCCAGGGCTGTAGTACTTGCACAGCAGCGGGAGGAACTGGTGCAGGGGGCTCACAAAGTCGGCGCCAAACACGTTCGCCATCGCGCCGACCAGGTCGGTAGCCGCGCTAATGAGCACCGACTCGTACTCGCTCGAGTCCTCGGTCTCCTGCGCATCCTCAGCCTCGGCCTCAGGGTCGACCTGCGCTAGCGACTTCTTCTCGAGGATCTGGTGCGTGTACATACACGTCGCCTCGAGCCAGTCGGGCGCAATAATCGCAGGGCCACACTTGTTCAGACACGTAGCCAGCGACTGGCAGATCTCAATCGCAGCTGTACGATCGTCCTCTGCTTCCCAGGCCTCCATAATGTTCGGAATGACCAGCTCGACAATCTTCTGCACCTCCGGGCTCAATGGCACCTTGATATGCGCGCCAGGCTGCCAGGCCGGCGACTGGCTCAGCTCATACAGCGTGTTGATAAATGTGAAGAGCGTCGCAATCGCACTCTTACGGATGCCCTGGTAAAAGTGCGACGTGAGCGGAATCAGCTCCTCCGTCGCCCTCTCGACGTACGGCAAGAACGCCGAGCGCGTGTGCTGGAACAGTTCGCCCAGCGAGTCCGCCGCGACCTCCTTCTCGATGGCCACCGCGGTAGACACGTTGAGGAACGAGTTGGCCAGTTCTTCCATATCCACAAATCCATCCTCCTCCTCATCCTCGCCCTCAGGCACGGTAAAGCCGCCGATCGTGCCGTCACCAGGCGCACCCGGCACAGGATCGTGCTCCGACTGCTCAAAGCTCGCAAGCATCTTTGGCACAACATGCTCCAGGTACGGCCCAAACTCGCCCTTGAACACACGCGACATCACCGCGAAAAAGATGAACGCACACTCACGGATACGCGGCTGGTCCATCGCCAAGCTCTCGACCGTGATGCGCATCATATCAGGCAGGTACGGGCGGAACAGCTCGGCCCCGACCGCCTCGGCAAACGTACCGATCGTGTCGGTAGCAATACCACGCAGATCCATTTCCTCGCCCTCCTCCGTAAGCGAGAGGAACGGCTGCACACGCTGCATCAGCGGCGCAAAGTACGGCACAAAGCCATCCTTGGCCGCATGCGCCGCACTGCCAATCGCACCCGTAATCGTCGCCTTGACAGCCACAGGCGCCGTTTCCAGCAGACCCGTAAGACGCTCCATAATCGCAGGCAGGTACTGTCCGATCTCGTCGCCCATGACTTCGAGAAGCGCATCGAGGGCTGTGCACGCTGCACGCTGCGTCTCAGGCGCATTGATCAGTTCCATAATCAGAGGAAGGAATACGCTGTGCTTCGCCGCACACTCCTCATCAAGCATCTCACACAGGCAGCCAAGCGTAATGCACGACGCCTTGCGCACCACGGCCTCCGGATCCTTCATACCGTTCTCCACAAACGGCCACAGCTCGTCCATATGCGGACGAATGTACTCCGAGCAGCCTTCCACACTCACACCAAACGCCATCATCGCCGCCTTGCGGTGCATCGGATCCGCATTCTGGGCATACGTCTGGACAAGCGTCAGCAGCGGGGGGAACACGTGGCTCGGCGGCAGTTCGGTCGCCAGCTGATCAATCACACGCAGAGCAAGACGCGCTGGCGTGTCCTCCTCGACATCGTCCGACTCCTCCTCTGTAGCAATCGGCATGAGCTGCTCGAGCAATGGCTTGGCCAGGCCGAGACTCTGCACACGCGAGCGCTTGTACTGGATCGTCCACACGAGCGAGTTGAGGCACATCAGCCGCAAATCTTCTTCATGGTCGCGGTTCGCACTGTTGCGTACAAACACACCAATGAGATCGGCGAGGTGTGTCGAGAGGACAGGCGCTTCGAGCATGCACAAGTTCTCAAACACGTCGAGAATCTGGCGCACACCCTCGTTGTGCGATGCATCCAGGCACTGCTGGAGCACCTCGACCATCTGCGGCACAGCGCTCTGCATCGCAGCCAGATCCGCGTGGTCGTCCATGTCAAGGTTCTCCGCCACTTTGCTCAGAGCACGCACTGTCGTGATACGCACTTCAAGACTCTCAGGATCCTGCAGACCCTTGGCAAAGAGCTGCATGATGCGAGGGAGCTCAGACTTGAGCGCCTCCGTGTCGACAAATGTCTCAAGGACAATAAACAGCACAAGCATCGCAGTTTGACGCTGTGTCGCTTGCGACGACGACGCAGAGTCGTACAGCCACGGAAGAAGGGCGGGCCAGGCATTGTGCGGAAGCTCCTTGCGTGCAATCTCAGCAATCACACGCGCCATCGCATTTCGCATCGCAGCCGTTGGCTCTTGGCCGATCAGCTCCAAGAGCTTGGCCTTCATACCGTCACGCAGCTCGGCAGGCTGCTTCGTCCACACCTTCGTGCTCTTCGAGAGCTTCTTGCGCAACTCCACAGCCGCAAGCTGACGCACAGCCAGCTCCGGCGAGGTGGCCACGATCTCAAAGAGAGCTGGCAACGCTTTCGAGTTCTTCAAGTAGCGCGTCTGAAGCGCCTCGGTCGCCTGTACATGTAAGCTGGTAAAAGAATACGTACCGCCTTAACGACCGCAGTATCCGGCACATTGGCCTGTTGCAGTAGCGCATGCAGCTCCTGCACGTACGCCGGCTAGTGGGTTAGTCTCTTGGCTGGGAGAGCCATCCTACGTACATCCATCTTGGTCGCACTGCTGGAGCAGCGAACGGACAGCCGGCCTCGAACAAAAAAAAATGTGCTCACGTGTCCTTACAACATGACATAAAAACCTATTAGGCGGGTCGAGCGTGCCTAGCGTGCGTGCGGCACACCCCCGTGGTATATACTACGTAAACGACCTGAGCCCTGGCCGATGCCACGCATGTCGTGCGAACATCACGCAGCTTGGCTCGATCGTATACCACCACATGGACAAACATAGGAACGCCTCCATACGGCGGGAAATGAGCGCAAAAGCAAAAAATAAATAACAAGACATAGAGAAGAACGAGAGAAAATGAAAGGCATTCAGGTAGGTAACCTTAGAAGATTTTCCACTTTTTCCGGCGCGTCGGCGGTGGTGTGTCCGTACGACTGGCCTCCTCCTTGGTTGGGAAGTCACGAGGCGGTGGCCCCGGCGGTACAGACGACGTCGTAGGCGCAGCGCCGTTGCTGGGGGTCGCGGCCGTACCGGCGTCAGGCGCACTTTCAAGGGCCGTATGGCCATGAGGCGCCTCAATCGTGGATTGCAACTGACCATTCACATGCACCGTCTCTCCTTCAGGCGTGATCCGACGCACCGTTTCGTTGCCTTGCGCGTCGCGCTTGGTGATAATTGTCTCGCGACGACCGTTGACAACAGTCGTACGACGACTTTCCGACGTGCTGTTGTTCCCACCTTGGAAGGAGAAAGAGGAGGAACTTGTCGTATACGTGGATTGGTTGCCGGGCATGCTCGTGTGCATCGATGGGAAGCCTGCCATCATCGCAAAGGGACTCATACCAGCTTGGCTCATACCGAATTCTGAGCCGTGCTGGTGCTGCGATGCCGACCGGTGAGCATGACCATTCATATGCGATGGTGGCGCGGCAAAGGAGGTAGGACGACCGACATTCGCCCACGGATGCAAGCCTGCCAACGGGTTGTCGATTTGAGAATTGGCCTCCATCTCGTGAAAGTCGCGCGCGAACATCGAGTTAAACAGCTCAAATGGGTCAAACATATGACGTCCAAACCCATCACCATGCCGGCCCTGCGCGCGACGCGCCGAGTCAAAGCTGCTTTCCCATACAAACGAATGGCCATTCGGCGCCATCGTTGCTTGCTCATACGTTTCAGGCATTTCGCCATTCACGAGCGGGTATTCAAATCGGTCGTATTCCCATCTCCGACGGTCATCACTCAGCACCTCGTAGGCTCTGGTTTAGTTAGTACAGCTGATGTCCTTGGTATACATACTCTGCCACCAACTTAAACTGCGCCGTTGCTTCCTCCTTGTTGCCGGTAGCGCGATCAGGGTGCGATCGAAGAGCTTGCTTGCGATACGCTGTACGAATTTCCGACGTGGTAGCCGAAGGGGCTACCTCCAAGATGGCGTACCAATCGTTCGGCACGGCCATGACCGCCACCTACAACACCAAAGACAAAAAGCGAGCTGAGGACGAACACAATACGATAGGACACCCACATACCTTGTATTTACGCCACGTGGGTCCACGTGATAATCGGGCGTACATCTCGTCGGCGCGTCGCCGAAACGCGTGGAGCCTCTCCTCACGCCGACGGACTTATGCACGCACCATCGACGCGCGGTAGGAAGCGAAAGAATCAGTCGCACGGACTTCCATGGGATCCTTCCAATGCGGCCCGGGCTAATATGCCACGGGCTAGTGGTGTCCCTGGCGCTCAGACGCCTATTTTAAAGCGCCCATACTACAATTTGATTACGGGTCGCGAGCCAGATGAAGATATTGCAGATGCCGTTGTTGGTAAGTATGGGGAGTATACTCACAATTAGACACATTAGACATTGTAGCACCACGCGACTTGGCCGCTGCGCGTTATGCACAGAACCATGAATATCTAGGCAAGATTTTTGGGCCTACACGCCTTGGTACGTGCATCTTTCTAACTCACTCGACAGACATGCTCTCACCACCTCCATCACCGTATAAGGATAAGAATGTGGATAACTTGAAAGCTCAGGCTACTGCACTGGAAGCGGAGCTCGCTGCGATGAAGGAATCTCACACAAAGAAACTAACTGCATGCCAAGACCTACAACCCTCGCAGGACGAGACGGAGATGGCAGAATCCTGGGCCAGGGCACCAAGCCAGGGGCCTGTTCTTGGCATTGGTCGTGTGCGGATGGAAATGCCAGTCGAAGTGGCCGCGGTGTTGGAAAGACAACGTGCATTACGACAGCAACGCGAAGCAGATGCGCCATTGCCGGCGCCGTCGACCACTGCACAGCCACAAACAAATACCCCCACTGTGCCAAGCACGGCCATGAACACAGCAACACCAAATATGGAAGTGAAGACAGAGGCGCACACACCAGCTGAGCCCTCGTCGTCTCATAACACACCAGCACCTACAACTTCCATGTGATAGTATAGATAAATAGTGAACTATTGGGTATCTTCCAAGGACAGCATGGCCCGCCGGCGCTGTTCAGCGGTATCGGAGGTGCCTGTTTGTAGACGTGCCTCAGCGCCAGGACTCCACTCTGTCGAAGAGGGAGTAGGGGTATGGGCAAAAAGCCGCTGCGTGCCCGCACTGGTCAGCTCGTATAGTAGAGCTTTGGCAGTATCGATGGAGGCTTTTGGCAGATCCTGGGCCTGCCATTGTTGGTTGTGAGCTGCAGCAATGATGGCGCCTTTCTCAGGGGAGGGATTGGATTGCAGTTGGGAGGCTTCCTGGACAAGGGTAGTGGGCTGATCAAGGACTTTATCTCGCATGAGCAGCTGCATGGCGCTGATATAGTCAGCCTCCATAAGTATAGAACGGTGAGAAAGAACGATGGTCGTAGACAGGTAAGGTACAATATGCAACTGAGGATCGAGGATAAAGATCATGTCCCACAGTTTGTCGCAGACGTCTTCAGAGCACTTGGGTTAGTTGGGCGAAAGTCGTACCTCATGCATAAATAGCAATCGATGCCAACGTCTGTTTGGTGAGCGGAGATAGATACGTACAATAAAATAGGCGGCCAATCCAGCTGGAGAGAGGCCAAGTGCTGCCCTAGTAAGGGGTCTACGCGATGAAGCACAGCCTTGATGAGCGCTGGAGAATTGCTGCGCTCAGTGAGGTAATACGGCGCGATTCTCTGCATCAAGTGAGAGAAGAGAAAAAATGTATCCGCCTCCACGGCTTCAGCATCCAAGAGTGTATGCAGTGCCGCTGCATCTAGGACATGCGCACGTAGTACCGACGTGGTACAGGGAAGAGATTCACGCGAACGAATGGACCAAAGCCGCGAAACAATCTCGTGCATGCCTTGTCGGTAGCCTATATCGGTATTAGCATACGACCATACCGTCAAAATGCGTGATAAGGATGGCATCTCTTCCGTCGAAAGAGGCGAGGCAAGTCGTTGCAAGTCCAGTTCGATCAAGGCCAATAATTCTTGTGTTTCTTTTTGGGTTTGCCACAGGGTCTTCGTCAGAGCAGTGGGCCACGTACCTTGCCTCCGCCTTGCAAGGGATGTGCGTCATCAGGCACACCAGGTTGCAAGGACGCATTCACACGTTCCGTATACCGCGTACAGAGATGACGATACGCGCGTCGTTGAACATGAGCTGCCGCTGCCCAGGTTTCTGGTGCTGCCGCATCGAATCCGCCCAATTGAAGGCGCCATACGAGGGAATATAGTGGACGAGGAGGTGCAGCTGTGTTATATCCTGTATCAAGAAGGTCGGACCACGCGCGTCTACGTTGTTAGACTCTCACAACCTACCTCGCGAGGTTGACGGCGTCAAGATCCATGCAGGGAAGTGTTATTCAGCGTGGAGAGGCGGAGAACCGCACGCGTGAACTTTAAATTGGGCCTTTTTTATTTCTCAGTCGAATCGGGGCGAACGTACGTTGGCCAGAACCATGTCGCAAAAACAGCTGATGTCGAGTCGTTTGCAAGGGCTCAAGTTTATGCAGCGCGGCGCACAGCGTGCTGCTGCTGCTACATCTACCCATGCGCCAAAAGGCGCGGCGACCCAGTCCACGACTGTGACACCCCAGGAGGAGGCCGAACCTACCGAGGACATAGGCGATGCAGAGCATTGGGTCGTCCCTTTGCGTCACCGTCCCTCAGTTGCTTCCCCTACGTCAGATACTAACGATTGGGGTGCGTGGTTTTCTGAAGCGACAGAACAATGCCATGGCCGAAAAAAGTACGGCTCTTGGGGAAACCGTCGTCGCGGACATGACAGCGATGATGACGACGACGACGAAAAGGACCCTGATTTGTCTGAGGATAGTGAAGATGATACCCTGCCACGCTCGGCTGCTATGCCCAAGAGGGTAAAGAGCAGCGCGCGACCTAAATCATCCAACAGACCTCCATCAGATTCCGAAGAGGATTATGTCTCGGCGAGAGACTCACCAGAGCCTGAACCACAAACATTCCGTAAACCACCTAGTACGAAAAGCGGACCACCCTCAAAACGCCGTGGATCTCCATCCATCAAAGGCCCTCCCTCCAAGTTCGCCATCGTAGCTGATCGAAGTCAAGGTCTACGAAAGAAGAAACAACGCTAATGTACAGTAATCGACTACCATTCCAACATATGCAAATCAGACTCATCAAACTGTTCCCACAACTTCTCATCCTCTTTCTTTGCCATGACGCGCGCCCATACCTGTTTAGCCTGCTTGTCACGCCATTCACACCCATCACGCCATGCGCAATGTGAACAACGGTGCGTGCATTGCAACGGCACACCTTCCCAGGTTCGTTGACCTTCCCACAACAACCGTACGCGCTCCAGGTAGGCTTGTAAGTGCAAGGGCTGTGATTCAAAATGAACGGTACCGATTGTCTCAGCACTGCTTCGATGCACATACACAATTTCGACGGTGGAAGACATGCGCTTGACAAGAGGCTGCACAGAGTTTGTGACCAACGTCACCAACTGCTGTAGTGTGAGATTGTTGGTCCATGCCCAAGGGGTATCTATGCAGCGTAGGTCTTCTAAGAAGCTCTCTGACAATGGTTGCTCGGCTTGCAGCCCCAAGGTATCCCATACCTTGTCCCATACGAGCTGCGTGGTATACTTATCTGTGTGATTCTGTGGGCATCCAAAAGAGGCACACATGCCTTGCCATAAGCGTAGGTACAGCATGCATTGCCACCGTGCAGGTATCTGATCATCTTCGGACGGGATTGAGCGTGTCGTGCGTGTTTTTGTCTCGGACAAGACCCATTGTCCGTAGTCGTTGCAATAGATTTCGTCGATTATACCACGCACCAACGTGCCATGAACCCAACCACAGACAGGGACTTCACGAGTCCGCCCTGTTTCGGATATCATGGCCACAGAAGAAGCCCATTCCACTAGAAGTAAGGCCCATACGTCCTCATCTGTTGTGACGCGTACATCGACCATGATAGGTTGAAGCTCCTGTTCGATTTGCGCATGCACATCCGTGCCCCGCTGTAAGGTCGTTTGTTTTCGCACTAGTTCTAGCCAATTGGGCGTGATAGTATTGCCTTCAGGTGTCGTAATCGTCTCAGGACGTTGTTCCAAAGGCAGATGCGAAGCAGAGAGTGTGTTATAGAGGTATGCATATTCACACCACGCGGGTGCGACCCAGTCTGTGACGGATAAGACCGATTTTGATGGTCTTCGCCATGTGGTTTCTGCTCTTGTAGGAAAAGGATCTGTCCCTAACGATGGCATCGGCACGGTGCGTTTGGACGCCTCTCTCCCACGCGTTTCCTTTTCGTGTTGATGTATGCGTTCTTCGAAGCTGTTCTCTCCACCCCCAACCGTGCGGAGTGAGTCTAGGCAGGGGCTTAGTAAGCAACAGCGCCACGGCCATGTTCCCGGTCGAGGTACGTTCGTGGCCTACTCTTGGAACGCACGGTTCGGCCAGCATGAAGGGCTTCTCAAAGTTCATCCAGCGGACACCGCACATGGTTACCTCGCGGGTGGGCCTGGCGGCCAAGTCGACAGATGTTGAATTTGACCATCTGCGCAATAAGTTTAATGCGATGGAGAAGTTGATTCGTCAATTGACGAAAGAGTCTCGTACCTATTTGGACTCGGTCAAGAGTACGTACAAGTACAATCTGTGACTGACGCGCAGAAATGCTGGACGCTTGCACCTCGTTTGCTTCGGAGTATAGCGCCTTGTTCCATCCGTTTGGTAATGAATATGACTTGGAACGCCGTCACCCGGAGACGGTGCAGACACTTGTGAACCTCACGGGCTATGTGGCGTACATTGACGATCTGCGCGAGACGTTGCGCCCTGAGATCGAGTTGATTTCGACGCGTATTATTGCGCCCACAGAGGAGCTGGAGAAGTTTCTGAAGTCGATTGAGAAGGCGATCACAAAGCGTGACCACAAGCTGATCGACTTTGACCGCCATACCAACTCGTACAACAAGCTGAAAGAGAAGCAGAACCGTTCCGCCAAAGAGGATCAATCGATGTTCAAGCTGGAACATGACTGTGAGGCTGCCGCGGCCGATTACGAGCACCATAACAACCTGCTCAAGCAGGAGCTTCCGCAGTTCCTCGCGATGGCGACGCGTTTTGTGACGCCGCTCTTCTACTCGTTCTACTATATGCAGCTGAACATCTTCTACCTGTCGATGGACAAGCTCAAGGCGTATGCGAACGGCAAGTTTGACTTGTCGGAGAACAACCTCATTTCGCATGAGCACAAGTTTGCTATGGACATGAGCCACATTATTGCAGAGTTGGAATCCTTCTCGATCCAAAAGCCCGTGCCGCCCAGCGCGCGTATTATGCAGATGGCCAGGGCTGGTCAGTCTCTCAGCACGCGGCCGCGTGGTCAGACGGTGCAGGGAGAGAAGGGGAAGGCAGCCGTGGCGGCAGCGGCTGTACCTGCCACTGCCACGGCCGCCTCGTCGAGTGTCCCACCGCCAGCGTACAGTCCCTCGACCGCTGGTGTCACCGCAGCGGCAGGCAAGCCGAGTGCTATGTCGGCCGATTATGTGGTGGCATTGTACGACTACACGGCCACGGCTGACGGCGACCTGTCATTCAAGGCAGGCGACCGAATTGAAGTGCTGCAACGCACGCCCAGCACGGAGGATTGGTGGACTGGTCGCTTGAATGGCGTCCAAGGTGTATTCCCGGGAAACTATGTGCGTGAAGACGCATAACTATACACCGAAGAGAACGCTCTTATAGTCTCGTAAGATCACACCCACACTTTCTGTACCACTGAGACCAACTTCCGACGCAATGGCGCTAATGTAGCGAGGAGGTGTCACGTCATGCAATAGCTGAACCACTTTGAGGCGCGACTGTGCGCTGCATTCTGCACGCGTAAGGAGCACACTGTCCGTCTGAGTCCCATCGTCTTCCTGCGAAAGTAGATCGCTGCTCTGGCCTGCCTCGTTCATCACGAAGCTATCAAGCTGAATGCGATCACTAAACTTGTACGTTTCGCAGCAGATAATCACAGGTACATGGAATCGATGGGCCATCATAGCACACATTGCCGTGCCAGAACGAGCATACGGCGCGCCATTGGACAGCAAGGACGACGTGCCAAGGAGCATCAGCGTCGCGCGCGGCACCAGCGTACTCAGAGAGGTAAGTAGACCGTACGTCGTAGGGATGCCAGCCTCCAACAGGTGCTCTGCGAGCACGCGGCCTTCGAAGAGCGGGCGCGAGTCGATGACGACCACCTCAAACTTGGTGCCTTGCCTATGCGCCTGGATCAGCGTACCTTCGACCACGGATGAATGTGCATACGTCATAACGACGTCGCCATCATGGATCTTCGCTGCGGCATGCGACTGGATGACCTTGGCAGCGTACACAATACGATCACGGATAAAGTGATCAATGCGGCCCAGCAAATGTTCCTTTGCTTCTTCCTCTGAGAGACTCGCATCCACGACACTGATCTCGTATTTTAGGAAGCGAACAGCGTGGCCCGTGGCTGTATTCAGTGGGCGGGCCTCTACAATGAAGCCAATCTGCTGCGATACACGAGTCAGTAAGTCGCGGCTGAGCACCGCACCGGGCGGCGTCTTATAGTCCTCAATGACCGAGCCCAGCGCACGAAGCACAGCGGTTGCGCGCTTGTTGGCGCCGCGAATTGCGAACGTAGATAGTTGATGACACAGTGTGAGTACGGCAGGGTGGATAGCGCCTCGCGACGCTGCTGCATTCCAGCTGGCTGTATTCAGGCGAATATTGCGTGGGAGGGCCACATTGCCAAACAGCGACGCATCGCCCAACACGCCGACAGTTGATAGATCTTCGTCAAGCGAGGAAGCAGCGGAGCCAGTGCCCTGCTTGCCTGGCGCAGCGTCTTTCTTGCCGCCAGGAGCAGAAGACGATGGCCGCGCCTTGCTCGAGCCGGAATGCGACGATGGCGTACTTCCTCCGCCGGGTGTTGACGACGAAGCTGAGGCCGATTCAGCCTTCGCAGTTGCAGCGGCAGCACGACGTTCACGCTTCGCCTCCTTCGCTGCCTTCTTGTCTTTCTTGGGCGCCGCTGACTCGGCCGGTTTAGGCGGCGCAGCGTCAGCCATCGGGATGGATGGTGGTGATGGAGAAAAAAAGGCACGCTACGCAGCACCTTTGTCGACCCCGACTTCGTACATATGCACTCGCCAATCTTTTTATACTTATTGTGTCTATGGATTGCTGTATGTATCGCTTTGCGTTGGCCACATGCATGCGGTACGAGGCAGCAGACTCAGGCCTGTTACAGCACTGTACATACATCGCACCTACGCACGCCACCATTCACGCTCTACGCCGGTCAAGGACATGCTGCCCTTCACCTTTCTACTCTAGGATCCTACCAGGAATCGATTCGGCGCTAGGGCGCATAAACGCCAGCCGGTCGGGCAGAATTGGATCCTCTCTTGTTTCCAAGAGAAAAAAAGGCGTGGCCTCTGCCGCGGCCTCTTGAAGGGGAGGCCTGCCGAAGCCACGGTCGGCGTCATCACGTGAGCTCGTCGCGGTCGCGGCGCGGAGGCTGGCCGCTCGCGCCTGCTAAAGCCAGGCTGCGAGGCAAGCCACCCAGCGCTTGCTCGTTTTCGTGACGCGGGGTGGTGCGATAGCATGTCGAGCGCACAGGCTAGCGAAGAGGCGAAATCTGCCGAAGTGCCCAAGGCCGTGATTAAAAATGTCGATATGGAGCCTGACATGCAGCAGGCCCTGATCGAGGTGGCCGCGGATGCGATGATTCGCTTTGCCGTCGAGAAGGATATGGCGGCCCATATCAAGCGCACAGCCGACGAGCGCTACGGGCCTACATGGCACGTTATTGTCGGTCGGAGTTTCGGGAGCTTTGTCACACATGGTACGTACGCTTGTCTCACCCCTAACTATTGGCAGAATCGAAGCACTTTCTCTACTTCTGTATGTCATGCCTCACTTACACCACAGACCTCGGCCCCATGGCCTTTCTTCTATGGCGCGCCTAGGTAGGTGGCAGACGCGATGCGATCCATGCGTCGAGATCGAGCCAGCCGCCTCCTACACGTACATGTATATTACGTAGTTCCACATCGCGGGGGTTCGCTGGGCAATGCTGTTGTGTGAGTTGCCATGAGCACGTACCATACGAAGCAATCGGCACACCACTGTCTTGGAAAACATGTGGTACCGATGGCATAAATCGCCCGAGTCGGTCGACAAGGTATCAAGTCGGTCGACACGCACGCCGCGAGCCTCACAGATACGCCGCACCCCCAGATCCAACGCATCGCGCGCTTCATATCGCATGCGCGAGGGCGTCGTTAGGTTAGGTCGGCTGGGCGTCCCTGTGCGTATCGCCGGCATGCGATTGGGCGTGTATACACGACTGGAGGAGCGGTGCAAATGCGGCGTGGCTGGCGAGGAAGTAGCGAGCTCAGCAGGGATCGGAGGGACAGCTGGGACGCCACTGCGCGCCAAGCGCGGTAGCATAGAGTCGTGACGAGAAACGCGCCGAGGCTGTGAGGACTGATGCGTATCCATAGCCGACTTGGGCCGTGCTTGCACATGCACGGAAGGCGAATCCACCTCGTCTCGTGGCGCCATCGTCCCTGTCCATCGCGGCGTAGATACAGGCGCTGCGACACTTACGCTACGTTCTGTGCGAATGTGCCCTGTGGTGCTAGGACGACGTGCCGAGTGACTGGGTGTGCGTGCCCATGGCCTAGACGGCGTGCGTGGGAGTCGGCTTGGTGTGCCGTAGGAAATGCGGCGCTTACGTGCGTCTGGCGTATCGCCTCCTTGGCGCTTGGTGTGCGGAGGGGAATGTAGCGACAAGTCCTGCTGAATAGCCTGTGTGAGCGCCTCCATGTTGGTTTCTGTATATGTGCGTGGCTGGAACGCGTACCACGCCTCCTGCACACGGGCAATCCGCTCGCGTGCGGCGCCGTGCGTCGACGATAAGGGTGCCTGCTGCAGGGTCGTGAGGAGTCGCATAGCCCGCTGCTGCGCAGAGGTCCATGCATCCTTCGTGGAAGGATCGTCTTGCGCTTGTACGTAAGCGTCGTGAGCGTCGTTCACGGCCTTTTCACACTCAACGCATGTATCGTAGAGGATGAGTCGCATGCGGTCACTTTCCAGCTGAAGTTCCAAGGCTAGCGTGTCAGCGTGGATGCGGATATACTGCCTGTGCAGAGAAGCGCGTGTGTCGGAGAGACGTGTCGATTCAGCAAAGAGAGGGGCTACCTGGATCGCCTCTTCTCCACGCTCACGCGCTACTGCTAGCTGTGTGCGTGCGTCTTCGATGGAGGACAGCCATGTAGACGAACTGCTTGCATTGGTTTCCCAGAGATCAGCGTAGGATTGCCTCAACTCTTGTGCGACAAACATAGCATTCTTCATACGCTCCAATGCTTCACCGGCATGCATCAGAGCCTGCCATGCTGTTGAGGCCTCCTGCATCGCCATGGTGATGTCTCCGCTGCTCAATTTAGGTACGCAGCGTAATGCGGCAGGAAAAGGAGGGGTCCCTTGCCCTCCACCTAGATAGAACCCTGTTGTGTCTCTGGCGCGCCCACGTCCTCTCGCACGTGCCATGCATTCTAGGCGACCTACAGCTCTACAAACCACCTAGGATGGTCCATGCCAGTCGGTGCGATGGCGAGGGCGCAGGAATGGTCGTGAGATGTCGCATGGTGGGTCTGCCATGGGGACAATTCCACGGCTGCTCTGTCTCGCCCATATGCTTTACGACGCTATGCATTTGCCGTCGATCCAACGCCGAGCCGACCATGATGCTCTTTCGACACGCACGACTCGCTAGCATTTCCTGCACCTTGCTGCATCGCACACGCTCCACACCATACGATGATGTGTCGCGCAGCTGCGATAGAAGCTCCTCAAAGTCTTTATGGGGTAAGTTGGGGCCGACGTACCATGCAAATCAAACACCGTGTCTTTGCTGACCGGTTTCGACAAGAGCTGAATGCGCGAGCCTGGCGGCGCATCTTCGTCCACCTCAATCTCAAAGCCGTTCATTCGCAGCCATGCAGCATGCTCGCGGGCCACAAGTTCGTCACTGGGCGCTAGTTCCAAGCGCTGAGCGAGCAGGAGTCGTTGGCTGTGCAAACGCGTCTCGCGCTGCAACTTTTCGAAATTGTATTTTTCATCTGCCGCATGTTGGTCAATAATAAACAAGTCGTCCATGTCGCTAGTGGTTCGTCGTGCGATAATAAAGCCCAAATTAAACTGGCCGACAATGGCCATCGACGCAAAGTCAGACTTGGAAATGACACGTTCCAACGCCGCGACAGCTTCCTGTTCTGGCCGCGAAACGTCCGCACCTTCCCATGTCCGGGGTATATGGGGTCGCGATACGGACCCAATGCGTGCACGTAGCGCTGCTAAATTCATGGCGACTTTGTCGCTTGGTAGCGTAGGTGTGACCACCTCCGTGGGACGCTCCACCTCGCAGTCCTGGGTACGCACAGTTATAGGAGGGGAAGGTATACGGCCACGACGTGGCGCCTCCTCGTGATCGCTTGAGATAGGTACTGGCGATGGCCTTGAAAGCTCGTCGATAGTCGCATGCCCAGGCGGTGACGCTACTTTCTCGATATGCGATAGCGCCTCGTTGACTTGGACCGTCTGCATCTCACCCTCGGATGGAAGGCGCGATGTGGGCGATGGCGACGCAGACACTTCGTTGTCGTTGTCATCGCCGTTATCGTCACCGCCGCTGTCATCGCTGTTGTCGTCATCGTCATGTGCCATTGGTATCTCTTCGTCTGCACAGGGGAATGCGTCTTCGTCATCCGTCGTTACTATTGCGTCATGTTCCTGCGGACAAGGCAGACCATCCTCGGCCTGTGTATCAGGCATCTCTTCGTCGTCCATGTGGAGCGAGGATCCTGGTTGTACCATGTCATTACACTCTGCCTCCTCCTCCTCGGATTCTTCATATTCCAATGCATGCTCAGCTACAGCCACAGCGCGCGTTTTATGTGCGAAATTTTGGACAGCGCGTTGGAACTGTTCTTGCATCGACGTACTGGACCGTTGCGAGGAGGTAGGTGGCGTCTCTTGCGAAGGAAGCGGCGTGCTGGTCTGCGACCAAGACGCTTGGGCGACCGAGATGGTATCACGTGTCGAGCGACGCACCTTGCTAGGCTCTGTATCCTCCTCGTCAAGGATGGGCGCTGTACGTTTCGTGGGCTCCGAGATATGGTGCACAGGCAAGACACCTCGGCTCGGTGAGAACTCGGTTTCGAGGGCTTCTCGAACCTGCTCCAGCAAGGCTGCTTCTTCATGAAGAAGGACCTGTCGTTTATCTGGGCTCACATTGACATCGTAGGTCTGCGTATCCATGGCCAAATTGACAATGATGCAAGGATACTGCGTAGCGTTAAACGTTCTGTACACTTGATTGAAGAGATGTGCCATCTTGCTACTGTCCCATGGCCGCCCATTGATGTAAAAGTATTGTCGGTCGCCACTACTCCGTCCACTTCCTGGCATCGGTTTCGACACGAGGCCATGGACACGCACAGTATGGGATGGCAAGGAGAGCGTCACGTCGATGGGCTGCATCGACGCACTGGCTTTGGCGCCAAAGAGCGCGGCGACATTGGCTTGGAGGTACTTGGGCCCGTGTGATGCGCTTACCAGCAGCTGTGATACACGTTTGCCATCACGCAATGTGACGTACGAAGCCCAACGTACGCCTTGGGTGATGAGCGCGTACGCTTGCAGCATAGCAAAAGCCTTATTGTACTCCCGCTTCACGTGGCGTTCCAGCTCGCGGCGGCGGACGGGAAGCGAGGTGAGCAGATCGGTCAATGTGACGGTGGTGCCACGCTGCGGTGAGGAGGGTAGGAGACGTACCTGACGTGCCACGCGTTTCTCGCTCGATACCAACGAGCCATCTGACGCCAGTTCCAAAAGCGTACCCATGGGCGCATCTTTGGCTGTCGCTGTCAAGATGGAGACGTGGGCCACAGTACATAGAGATGCCAGCGCCTCGCCACGAAATCCAAAGGTCTGAACATGCGCCAAGTCTTCAAACGATGAGAGCTTGGACGTATGATGCCGCCGGCCTATCGTAAGCCGGCCTGTACGTACCAATCACATCGTAGTTCTCTTTAGCAATACCAGATCCATTATCGATGACTTCAATCGCATCGAGGCCGTACTCTTTCCATCGCACTTCTGCAAGGGTAAGTCACGATGTACGTACCGATACTCGTCGCGCCAGCATCCAGCGCGTTTTCCACCAGCTCCTTCACACACGCACGCAGGTCTGGCACTACTTGCGCCCCAGCCATGCGGCGCACATCGCCTGCCGAGAGAGGCGCGATCCGTGCGTCGTGCGCCATGGCCAACGCGACGTAGAACGACGTGGAGCCAGCCGTACGACGCGCGCCTCACCGCGCAGGTACGCATCCACGCGTGGCTTATGTCACGTCGTGCGCCTAATGGACCTCCACGCAGCCACAGGCACACTGCAGGCAGGGCCGCCGACCATCATGGCCGGTGTCATAGCACAGCCCGCGACTTTATCGGTGGTCGAGCGTGTACCCTTGGAAGTATGGGCGCGTATCTTTGCGTACTTGGCGCCGGAGGAGATCCGTGTAGCGCGACAGGTATGTACGAGGCGCTTCTGACACAAAGACCATGCGGACTATGTACATGGCTGGCCATGCGTTGTCGTTGTGGCGCACGCAGGGCCAGCGTCAGGCACGTGAAGATCCACTGGCATGGATGCCAGATGCTCCTTGTACCGTCTACGATACAGCGCCTCTCTCTGCAGAGGCCCTGGAAAAAAGTGTCGTCGTCGCCCAGCGTGTTCACAGGGCCTGGCAGACGCGGGGCGCCACGCCCCGACGTGTGATTCGGTTTCGGGCCCATGTGAACCGTATCACTAGTGTTAAGCTGGTCGTGGGGCATGTACATATGGTACGTCGGACCCACACGATGCATGCCGACTACTGGCTCGTCACTGGCTCGGTCGATGGCTTTGTGCGTGTATGGGATGTGACGCGGATCTTGCAAGAGCGAGGCTCTATGGACGTCACGGCCGCGCTAGAGGCCGTGCAACAGGCAGATTCGTCGACCGAGGACCTGCCCAAAGCGACCAACCCCTCGGCGGATATTCGCAAGTCGACACGTGCTTTCCTGGTAGCCGAAATCGATACCGGCGGCGATGTGACCCACTTGGATGCGCAGATGGATGCGAGCACGAATAGCATGATGATCGCGGTGGGCTCGTACTATGTATGTATACACATGCGGCTTACCCACAGAGTTCGGCCGGCTGTCTTTTGTACGCGTTGGACTTGACGGCCATGCCGCGGATGCTGGACCTACGAGCGTCCCTCGATCCACCGGAATGGAGTGGGACACAGTGTGTCTCGTTGCTCGACCACGCTGTGGCGATAGGGACCTACACGGGCCGTGTATACCTCTTGCATTGGGATACAGGGGAGCGACATGTCCTTGAGCACGCCGAGCGCGGCTCGGTAGCGGCCCTGAAATTGCTAGGCACGCATCTCCTGGCCGTCTCGCGCTTGGGCCATGTATCGGTGTTCAAGCGAACACCCGACGGCTGTGCGACGCTGGTGGCCGAATACGACATTACTCAGCGTCCGTTGCTCAGCGCCGCGTTTGGCGAAGTGGATGCGCAGCGGGCAGGCACGATGATGCATCCTGCACGTCCAGCGTCCTTGACACTAATGTGTGTGGATCCGATCGGCCTTACCCACTTGGAATGGCCTACAGGCACTTGGACGTCGCCACCAGAGTGCCTTGGCGACATTGATATGCATGGGGAGCGACTCATTGGGGCCTCTGTAGGCGCCTCAGGTACGCGTGCCATCCTTGCATCGAGTCTCGGTGGTGTGCCGCCGATGTGTGCCGTGCGATCGTACCGACGTGGCGGTCCGCCTCTATGTGCGCTGCGGCCGACGCCTGACATTGCGCTTCCACCGCTTGCGCCTACGTCTACCTCTATACCATGGCAGCGGCCTACCAGCCCATCCCTCAGCCCCAGTCCCAGCAGCACGGCGCTCGATGCACAGGCTGCGGCACCGCCACCACGCACGGGCCGCGTTCGTGTCGACTCGTTCTCGTCCGATTCGACCTCGACGACAAGTTCCACGGCGCCAGCCCTCTCCAGCCGTATTGATATGCTGACAGAGTCGGCGATCGACGAGGCACGAGGGCTTGTATGCCTCGCCAGTGTTCGTGGAGCCATTTGGATCGCAGACTATGGGGGGAGTATGTAGCACATAGATACCATTGTAGATAACGATTTCGTCTTACGCCTCGATCTTGTGCAGGTTCCTGTGCGGCTTCGGGTCGACCTCCGAGACACGGCTCAGGAGCTTCTTCACAAGTTCATCGCGCTTGGCCGTGAACGCCTTCTCGATATCCGCGAGGCGCTCCTTCGTCTCGCGATCGATCTTGTCTTGCGCGCTCGATTGCGTGCCTTCGTACTACTTGTAAGTGCGAGCGCCACATACCTTCTTTTGGAAATCGTTCAGTTCCTTCTCCTTCTTGGCCTTAATCTCGGCGATCTCCTTCTCCGCCTCCGACTGCGCCTCCTTCAGCTTCTGCGTGCGGTCTAGGTGTGAGGAAGTACAAGTGGTACGTACAAGCACGAGCCTTCTCGACGATCTTGGAGGCCTCCTTCTCTGCCTCCAGCAGCGTCTGAATACCTTGCGACTTTTGTGCTACCTGTCGTCCGTTAGCACGTCATCAGCCTCTCGCACGCACCATGCTGGGGTACAGGGAGAGTCGCCGTGCGACGAGACCGCGAGGGCACGACGCCGGGGCCCGCGCACGTGTGATTATGTAAGAAGCCTCTCGCTTCGTTGCGAGGTGGTGAACGAACGATCGTACGCGTGCAAGACGACGATGGCCACGGTCGATCCGATCCAGGCGTTGTGCAGCGCCCTCGCGCAGGCGACGGGTGGCGCCTACGCCGTGGATTTGCGTATGCCGGATGGTGTGCAGCGTCTTGCTGAAGTCGTTGATCTCTTGTTTGGAAAGCGCATTGTCTCGGCGGATGTGCGTGAAAGGTGTACGTTTTCGCTGTTCGTACTGACTCGATAGTGACGGTGCACGTACCGGCGGCCATCATGGTCCTGCTGGCCGATCCGTCTGGCGTGTATGCAAAGTTGGCGTGCGAGTGCTTCGCGTCGGTGTATCCCCGTGTGTTTTTGCATGTGTACGTAGGAGGCCACGACTCACATCAACAGGTGTCAAGATCGATCGCCTATGGGCCATCATCTGTGGCAGATCGTCGGCGCAATCAAGGAACGTATTCATACGACGCTGGATCATGGCTCACTTGGTGCGCGTATTGGCGCCGTGAAAGCCGCGCAGCGTCTCATTCAAGTTCAGACGCAGCCGGATGGTGATCCACGACTGCAAAATCGCGCAGAAATTAACGTGAATGCCGTTCCGTCAGATCATCCATTCTTGCAAGCCACGGCGCTGGAATCCGAGGCGGATCAGGTGTTTACCAAGCTTGTGACTCTCTTCTTCACGTGCTCGGCCCCGAGCCTGGTCATGGCGACGACGCACGTCTTGACGCGGCTCGCTCGTCTACGCACGAAGCTGCACAAGGTCGTCATTGAGGCGTTTATTAGCTGGACCCCGACCGCTTTGGCCTCGTTGGCTCCTGTCCACATCCGCAGTGCCGAAAATACGGTGCGTTTGGCTATGGTCCACTTTTTGCAGCATGGCTCCGTGGAGCCTCAAACGACGCAATTGACGCAGGCTCTGGAACGCCAAAAAGAACGTATGGACCTAGCTATGCGTGAAGCACAAGCCGCGCAGCGCGAAGGCCTGGCGCGTAAGCGTGAGTCGCAAAAGGAGGCCGAGCCTTCCACTTCGAAACGTGCTCGTGGACTTACGCCTACAGATCCACGACGACCTACGGGCTTGACGGCCGAGCAGGTAGCGCAGCTGCCGCTAGATCATGTGGTGGATGCGATCATTGCTGGTCTGCAGAGCGTGCCGGAGGATCGCCTCAAGACAGCGATCGAGACGTTTGTACGTGCATCGGCGCCAACTGCCTCGTCGGAACCTGTCGACCCACTCAAGATGGATGTAGGCGATGATGATGTACCGACTGTGGCTTTGACAACGCGGCCTGCTACGGCGGCCGACGATGTCGTGCCGCTCGCGAGTCTCGAGCACTTTGAGATGCCGGCGCCTACGCCGCTTGACGACAAGGAAGTGCAAGCATTGATTGTGGATTCCGTGTCGCGGATCTGTGAAAATGGCAGTCAGCTTGTGCCTGCGCAAGCGCTGGAACGCGTCTCGGAAGGCCATGCAGCGCTGTGGATCAAGCTGGTCGTGCGTCTGGCGACACGCGGCTTTGCGACGTCCATGCCGTCGATGGAAACGCCTGCCGTGCTGACTACGCAGGCGGATCGTGTGCGAACGATGCTGGTCGAGTTTGTAAGCCAAGACTTTGCGGAGCGTCGCGGGATTGCGCAGCAGTGGCTCACCGAAGAATGGGCCTGCGACCGATGGCGGCAAGCGAACCAGGCCGACGCAACGTCGATGTATGACGTGTGGCTCGACAAGGTGCTGGATACGCAACTAAGCTCGCCGCTGATTGACGATGTGGCGCTGGCCAACTTCTTGCGTGACCTTCCGCAAGTGCCACTCGCCGTGTTAGATCGGCTGTATGAGCTGTGCTTGGATCGGAGTACGATTGGCGAAGGGTTCTCTCTCTTGCGTGATGTTAGTGCAGCTCGTCCTCCGTTGCGCGTGCCCGTGTGCCACAAAGTTTTGCAGTTGACGCGGCACAGTGAGCGTCTCGTGCGTGGCAAGGCGATTGTCACGGCACGTACATGGGTCCTCCAAAAAGGACCTCTAGCCGAGGTCGTCTTGGCGTTTGCACGTGAGTCGCTGCAGCTGCTCGTCGAAGAAGCCCAAGCGCATGCGAAAGACGAGGACGCTGTGCCTGCGACCGTGGAGGCGGAAGAGGCAGAAGAGACGGCCGCCGATCCGCTGGGCCTGAATGAGCAAGATGTGCTGCGTCTCATTGAGCTGGCCCTGGTGTTGAGCGTGAAGCAGCCAGGCTTCTTTGCCGAGGTCGTGCGTATATACCCCCTTGTACCTGCACCTGTGCAAGCTGCGATGCAGAAGCATGTCACGCCGGTAGCGCGGTCCGTCGGTCCCAACAGCACGGCGCTGCTGGACGTGCTGCGGCACTATCCGGAGGGCGCCGACTCGTTGGTCGTGGCGTTGCTGCGTATTCTGATCGACAAGGGCCATACGCGAGCGCTGGCGGAGCTTGTGCGCGATTTGTGTGCGACGCGCAACTTGTCGGTCGAGTTCCTTTTGCCGCTGGTTCCGCAGCTGGATCGCGAGGCGATGCTCGAGGCGCTGCCGCGTGTCGTCTCTGTGCTCGCCGACGGGTCCGAGGAGCACAAAGTGGAGGTACATCGGCTGTTCCAGACGCTCATTGCGCCGGCGCTGCAGGCGGCGGGGGCCGAGGCGGCGGGCGAGCAGCCGACGACGACAGCGAGTGTCACGCCCGTCGAGTTGTTGGTGCTGCTGCATGTGCATGAAAAGGACATTGGGCTCAAAGCCGCGTTGCAAGCGGTGCAAATCTGTTTCTCCATGAGCGAGATCTTCCGCAGCGATGTGCTTACGGCCGTGCTGAACCGTTTGGTCGAAGAAGAGCCTGTGCCTGTGCTGTTTATGCGCACGGCGATCATGGCGACGAAAGCCTTCCGTACGCTCGGCTCGTACGTCTCCACGTCGCTTCTCTCGCGTCTCGTGCAGAAGGAAATCTGGCGTGAGCCGCGTTTGTGGGATGGGTTTGCGTTGTGTGCGAACCTGACCGCCCCCACATCGTTCGGCGCGCTCCTGCAATTGCCCATGCCACAGCTGCAAGAGCTCGTGCAGAAGCAGCCTGGGCTGCGTGAGCCGTTGCGTGATTACTTGGTCTACAAGGCAGGTGGTCCCTCACGACATGGCGCCTTGCTGGCGATGCTCGACCAAGTCGCGAAGTAAATACCATAGAAATAACATGCCGAACAAAAAGTATGCAGTTTGCTATACATCTACTTGAACACCAACGGCGGGAGCGTCCAGTCAAGCTCTTTGCCCCAGCCCTTTTCTGCGAGGCCCTGCGCAATTTGCTCCACGTCCTTATCACCACGGCCACTGAGATTGATGACCACGTGCTGATCCGGGTGCATCGTCTTGGCCAGCTCCACAGCTTGGTAAATCGCATGACTTGATTCCAGGGCTGGAATGATACCCTCCTTCGATGTAAGCCACTTGAAGCCGGTGAGCGCCTGCGCATCTGTCGCGACCATGTACTCAGCCCGGCCGCAGTCTTTCAGGTACGCATGCTCCGGACCCACACCCGGGTAGTCCAAACCGGCACTGATCGAGTGCGTCTCCTTGACCTGGCCATCCTTGTCCTGTAGCAAGTAGGTACGCACACCATGCAGCACGCCAGGGTGACCGCGCGAGAGCGTCGCAGAGTGGCTCTCCGTGTTGAGGCCATGACCACCTGCTTCCACACCAATCAGACGCACCGACTTGTCGTCGACAAACGGCGCAAACATACCGATCGCATTGCTGCCACCGCCGACGCATGCCACGACCGCATCGGGCAGGCAGCCAGCCTGCTTCTGCAACTGCTCCTTCGTCTCACGGCCAATCACCGACTGCAGGTCACGCACCAACGTCGGGAACGGATGCGGGCCAATCGCCGAGCCGACCAGGTAGTGCGTGTTGTGGATGTTGGTCACCCAGTCACGGTTCGCTTCGTTGATCGCATCTTTCAGCGTCTTGCTGCCACTCTCCACGGCAATCAACTTCGCGCCAAGCATGCGGATACGGAACGCATTCAGCGATTGACGACGCACATCCTCCGCGCCCATGTAGATCACACACTCCATACCAAACTTGGCACACGCCGTCGCTGTAGCCACACCATGTTGACCTGCACCTGTCTCAGCAATAATGCGCGTCTTGCCGAGGCGCTTCGCCAGCAGGATCTGACCGATCGCATTGTTGATTTTGTGGCTGCCGGTATGGTTCAAGTCCTCCCGCTTCAGCCAGATCTTCGCACCGCCAGCAAATTCCGTGAGGCGCTCCGCCAAGTACAGCTCACTCGGGCGGCCAATGTAGTTGAACTGCTCGTGGAACTCCTTCCAGAACGAAGGATCGTTGCGCACTTGGTTGTACGCCTGCTCCAACTCACGGTGGCACTGCATCAATGCCTCCGGAATGTACTGGCCACCAAACGCGCCGAAACGCGCAGCGTCAGCAATTTCACTAGGCACCACAGGCTTGTTCTCTGTCGACGCAGGCACAGGCAAGGCCTGGCTGCGCGACAAACCACCCTCACTGTGCGCCGTAATTGACTCACAGAACGCACGCGCAGCATCCGCACGCGCCTTGGTTGTCTCAGGCGCCTCCTTGAGGCACTGGATCAGCTTGCTACCAATGACCACACCCTCCGAAAGGGCACCGACTTCCACGAAATGCTCACGCGTAGACACGCCAAAGCCCACCGCAAGAGGCGCATCGGTAGCCGAGCGGATCATCTTCAAAAAGTCGCCCAGCGAGCTCGACACACTATCAGCCGCGCCCGTCGTACCGAGCTTCGACACCACGTAGATAAATGCATCGGCCAACGTCGAGAGGTAGCGCACACGCGCCGCATCCGTAGTCGGCGCCACAAGCGGCACAAACGCCATCTTGTCCTTACGGCAGGCACTGAGGAAGTCACCAGCCTCTTCAGGCGGCAGGTCAACAACAATAAAGCCATTGGCACCAGCCTCACGCGCATCATGCACCGCTTTCGCCTCACCATACGCCAGCAGCGGGTTGTAGTACCCCATAAGGACCACAGGAACACTCAAGCCCTTAGCCCGAGCTTCCTTGATGTATGTGAGGCACTGCGCGTAGTCAATACCCTGCTCGAGCGCCACCTTGTTGCTCTCCTGGATCGCTGGGCCGTCCGCTTGCGGGTCCGAGAAAGGCACACCCAGCTCGATCACATCAGCGCCGCCCTGCTCCAAAGCAAGGAGTACATCCACCGTATCAGCACGGCTAGGGTAACCTGCCGTTACAAACGCGACAAACGCAGCTTGGTTCTACAGTCAGATAGCCACGTCCACGTACCTGCTCATTTTTGCGGACAAACGTAGCTTTCAGTTGATCCGCCATGGTATGAAATGACTCCGCCACTCGTGGCCCAACCGAGTACTAGAAGAAGTGCTGCTTGACTTACGTCATCCACATGGGGTACGTACATCCTCCACTTGTGCACACCGACTTGGTACAACGCGTGCGAAAGACGCGTCCTAGCTGGAAGGCGAGATGGAGTTGGTCGTGCCGGGCGATCGGTTGCCTGGTACGTACACTGCTATGGTACTAATATGCAGCCCTTACACATATTCTTTCCTGTCTATATCGATGGCATGATCACTGCTGGATGAGCGTGTACCGTGACGAGCCGCAGCCAATGGACGGCGGCGAACGATCCCCTGGCGCCACCGAGGCACCCCAAGTTCACTTCTCCGCAGTGAATGCCTCAGGCTCAGCCTATGCACTCTTTGTACTTCCATCAACCTTCTTTGATCATTTGGTCTTGCACGATGCCTCTCTTTTTGAGTGCTTACTGCATGTCAAGGTACGTTGGGCGCACCTTACCCTAGACTCTTTTGAACATACTGCGGACCAAGGGACCAATCCTTCGGTGTACCTTTGCTACCTCATCTGACAATGCCTCCAATCGATTGGTGCTTACGCTAGATTGCGAACACGGTACGTCCCTACCCACTTACATCAGGTGTACGCAAGCGGCACAAGTTGACGTACGAAGACCGTGCATGCCTCTTCCCTGCTGTTGAGGCTGATGCGCCGTATGTACTAGCTGTACTCCCATCTCGTGCGCGCGAATGGACCGAGCATTTCATGCAGGCAGGCAAATCGGGCGAGTGCTCGTTGCATGCCACGCCAAATGCTTGTGCAATCCGGAGCAAAATGGACGGGCCACTTGATGGCCAAGGTAGGTTCTGTTGCGATCTAACACGAGCCGCAGTCCGCCAATCGATCCAGAGCGAAGTTCGGATACCCATGGAAGAGTTGGATCGATATGCCGTCACGGATGATACCCAAGTCTACTTCTCGCTATGGGAATTTCGCGCTGCCGTTGCTGCAGCAGAAATGCTAGACTCTCAACTGACATTGGAATTTTTTCAAGGTGGGGATCCCCTGTTCTTACGACTTGAGACGATGGAGGGTCTTCGTGGTGACTTCATTTTGGCTACGACGGGGGAGCCTCAGGCGACGCCGGCACCACGAAAACGAACAGCGCCTCGCCAGGAAACACGCCATGCACGTCCTGCTACCATTGCTATGCCGGCGGCACAAGATGTTCCGCCGCCACCTTCAGCACACCCACGCTCAACAAGGGTGAAAGACGATAGCGACGATGACGATGATGATTTGCTCCCAGTTCGCGCTGTCCGCCCCAAGACAGAGCCTCTAAGCCCCGGTAGGCTCTCAGCATCACCTCCTATCCGCTCTACACCCCCACAGCCATCCGCCTCTGCGACACCATCGCCCACGCAGCGTATCGCGCCTACCCCGGCCGAGGTCAGTGGGAGCCACGACGAACACCCCTCCACGCTCTTCGACGCGGCCCCGCTCTCGCCACCTTGGCCATCGCAAGACCGTACCAGTCCTACGCCGGAGGAATGGCCGCCTACGCAAGCTTCATCCAGTAGTCACTCCGCACGGCCTCGCAAACCGGTACGTACGCCTTGGCGTGCACTGCCACTAACGCGACATAGTTCCAGCCACTATTTTTGTAGTCTTAAAAAACCTCCACATGGACGAGGCCGTGACACGTGTTTGTACGTGTGTTGTTTTGCCCCCACACACTCTGGGGCCTTCGTGTGACGGATGGTAGATCGTAGTGGTCCGCCGCCGCAGCCGGCCTATCAAGCGATGATGGGTACGCCCAACACGGGCTATCATCCATCGCCCACAACATGGACGGCTTCACAGCAACAGCCTGTGATGGCGGATCATGACATGTACGCGCCACAGCGGTCCGCACCGCTGCCACCACCCACGGAGGCACAGACACGTCTGACCAAATCTGCTCGTGCTTCAGTCGACTTTGGCGCGACTCAGAAGCTTCATACAATGTCCTCTATGTCTTCTCTTACCAATGAGCCACGCAGCACGTTCGATACGCCCAAGGGGAAACAGGCGTGGCCCCAAACGTCACCTTTCCATCAGCGTTCGCAAAGTGTGGATGCGGCGATGGTGCCAGGCTCGTATATGAATGAAACACATATGTATCGCTCACCGTTGCTGATGCATCATGATGCATCGCGTTCCAGGCTGACTCCATCTCAATCGTCCAGGTCCTTGCGTACCGCAGGCACGAGTCGTTTGTCGATGGACTTGGGTCATGATTCGCCTCGCTCGCGTACGCGAGATTCTGTGAGCAGTACACCACGCTCTTTCAAAAGTATGATCGATGGAATTGTACATTCCATGAGTGATGCATTTGTCGTTCCACCGAAGCGCCCGGAAATCTCAGGACCGTACGATCCTGTGCATCTAACACACGTCGGTTTTAATCCAGAGACAGGAGAGTTCACTGGCCTACCGAAAGAGTGGCAGTTGCTGCTACAGCGATCAGGGATCACAAAGCAGGAGCAGGAGCAGAACCCACAGGCGGTTATGGATATTGTGGCGTTCTACCAGGACACGGCGCAAGATATGGCCTCGCCGGGCGGTGAGAACGATCATGTGTGGACCAAGTTCCATGCGAACCTGGACGACTCGGGAGAGAGTGAGGACTGGGTCGAGCCGGGCACGGCGTTGACGACAACTGCGAGCGCAGCCCCGATCCTTCTCCCGGAGTCTGTGCCACCGCCGGCACCACCGCCCAAAGCGTTGCCAGGTGTTCCTGCTGCCAGCTCTAGACCTGCAGCTTTGCCTATGCCTGTACCTGTACCCGTATCGGTGCCCGCACCTGGGCCTGTGGCGCCGAGTGGGCAAGAAGCATCTACGTCGGCACAGTCTGCCGTCATGCCAAGTTACCGCCCGCCTGATTTGCTGCAGTCGGGCAAGGCATCAACCACCGAGCCGCTGGTTGAAGACGTGGTGCCCCAAGCATACACTTCCAACCCAGGTCCTGGAGCGGCAGAGCATTTGGTTCGTACACATTCCCAGAATGCGACGCGTCTGGCGGCTGTGAAACAGGATGCGCTTCGGCCGCCTATGGGCTCGCCAGTGGTGACTCGACGGCGGACTAAGCGCTCGAAAGTCAATGATGCGGAAGTGCTAGAGCGACTTCGTGCTATATGTATGCCGGGTGATCCATCAAAGATGTTTTATGACCTGCATAAAATTGGGCAGGGGGCGTCAGGCGGTGTATTTACGGCACGAAGTATTGGATCTAACCAGCTTGTGGCGATCAAACAAATGGTGCTGGCGCAGCAGCCAAAGAAGGATCTAATTGTGAATGAAATTGAGGTCATGCAGCAATCCCGCCACCCCAATATTGTCAACTTCCTCAGTGCGTTTATGACGAACGGTGAGTTGTGGGTCGTGATGGAATACATGGAAGGTGGTCCCTTGACCGATATCGTGCTTCACAGTATTCTCAGTGAAGGCCAGATCGCTGCGATTGCACGCGAATGTCTGACAGGTTTACGGCATTTGCATGCTCATGGTGTGATTCACCGTGATATCAAGAGCGACAATGTGCTGATGAGCATGCGAGGTGAAGTGAAGCTGACGGATTTCGGTTTCTGTGCGCAGTTGGGTCCGACACAAACTAAGCGTGTGACTATGGTCGGTACACCCTACTGGATGGCGCCGGAAGTGGTGCTCCGCAAAGAGTACGGCGCTCGCGTCGATATTTGGAGCCTTGGTATTCTGTGCATTGAGATGATCGAGGGTGAGCCGCCCTATCTTAATGAGAACCCTCTGCGTGCGTTGTATTTAATCGCTACCAATGGCACACCCAAGCTTCAGCATCCAGAGAAGCTTTCAAGCCTCATCAAGCAATTTATGGCGACCTGTCTCGAAGTCGATGTAGACAAACGCCCTGACGCCGCAACACTGCTAGACCACCCCTTCCTGCAAACGGCCGACGATCTCTCTACATTGATTCCCTATATCAAAGTCGCGCTGGAGCAGCGCCGCTTGAAAGACAAGGCAGACTCGTAATAGCGCCATGGCCGCTCCTAAGGTAGTCGTCCTTATTTGTATGTACCAAAGCAATATCCAATATAGTTTGTTGACACTGTAGGACCCTCCACATTTATTACTGATTCATTCCGTCATTCATTCCCCTCCGATACACGGCGTGGTCTAAAAGGGAAGGGGCCTCTCATGCTCCGTACGCGCTCCGTCTTGCCTACGGATGCTCGAATGTCTTTGGATTCATTCTTTTTAGGATCCAACATCAACAGTGAGCAGTTTCTGCTAGGCCATGAATCAGACCTATCACTATATGGGCAACGCCTGTTCTCTCGGCGTACCTTGACTTGGATATCAAAGCGCATCAAGTTATGGTATACTTCATTATCGCGCAGTGATGTTGTGGTTCTATCTGTATCTCTAGGATTATTTTTGTGGATGAGTATTCATTTCTATGTCCCTTCATCACTGTACATTTACGTAGTGGGCGTATGCTTCACATCGCCTGCATGGTTCCTGACTGAGGTATGGGGTCACGTCCGGCATCGCAAGCCTGTACGATGGATGCTCACAGCTTTCACTGGCCTACTCACTGCATTTTCATTGGTGTGCCTGCTTCTTGATACCTTTTCGCACCCTGCTGTACCGGCGCATTGGCGGCAGCCACAAGATCGCACGTACTACATTGCTTCGCTCCTGCATAACTCCGAGGCAATTTTGCCACACTACGCACGCTCCTTACTGAGCCTTGTCCACGATTTGGGTCCCTCTAATGTGTATATTTCCATCTATGAAAATGATTCGACAGATCGGACACCGTCGATGCTACAAAAACTTGATCAACAACTTGATCAACTGGGTGTGCAACGCACGATTGTAACGACAACGCAGCCTTCAGAAGTCCAAAAATGGGACCGTATTGCTCGCCTATCTATGTATCGGAACTTGGCCATGGCACCATTCAACGATCAAATGCATGGTGCCTTGGGTGGACGTCCCTTTGATAAAGTTATATGGATCAATGACGTGCTGTTTGAAGCAGGTATGTTCTCAGCGACTTACCCATAGACACGGTTCATGCTTTGCTCGATACTCAAGGTGGCGAATTTGACCAGGCTTGCGCCATGGACTTTTGTTGGTTGGGATTCTACGATACGTACGTACGGTTTATCTAACAGTAGCTGGGTGATGCGCGACGCAGATGGACGCACTACACGCCCTTTCTGGCCGTACTTCAAAGCTCCAGAAGACCAAAGAGCAGTGCAGGGAGGTCTGCCTGTACCTGTTAACGCCTGCTGGAATGGTATTACGGCGTTTGATGCACGTTGGTTCAGGAATACAACCATACCCACCGATGCGCCGATATCTCCGCTCCTCACCGCTGCACGGACACTGCCATCCCCACCTCTGCAAAGTAAGGATGTGCTAGATGTGGCTGCAACGGTACCCCTTACGTTCCGCGAAAGCCCGATATGTTACGCATCAGAATCACTACTCAGCAGCTTGGATATGCATCGCATTGCCAAGCCGTACCGTCCCAGGATCTATGTAAATCCTACGCTCACAGTAGCGTATGATGGACCGAATTACTTTTTGTATGGTCGTATGATGCATTGGAGCGTCACAGGACCCTGGCGCTATTTCTGGCAGTACTGGATCGAGCACAAGATTTTTGGCTTTGCTCTGCACATATTGGGCCGCGTGGATCCATGTACCGATGTATTTATGCCAGGGTGGGTCCCTCGTAGGCCTGTATAGGAGCTGTAAGATCATAATGATGTCTTCTTCCCATCCCCACGTGACACACACTCCCTGCGCTGGGACCACCGTGACGATGACTGACACGGAGGGGGAGGCGGTGCCAGAGATGGCTATGTTGCCAGCTCTCACAGAAGGCATGCCGCTGCTATCGCCATTGCATCAAAAGGTCTTTGATGTGGATGCCTTCCTGTGCTCGCGTGTGCCAGGGCAGGAGATTCAGGATATCGTCAAAGAATTACGAGCATACAAAGCGACATTGCAGGAAAAGGTCGCTGCTGTTGTACAAGAGAAATATCATGCTGTGGTCTCTCTTACGACCTCTATTCGTTCTGAGGCAGAGCCAATCGAGGCGCTGCAAAAAGAGCACAGCTTGGACGATGTGTTATCCACACTTCAGTCCCTTCGTGCGACGCTCCAGCAAATGAAGTCGGACACGGCGCAACTCGCCGAAGAAGCGAACGCGGATGCCGAAGAACGTCGTCGTCTTGTGTCCCTGCTAGAAATGGACCGTGTACTGCAATCATTGGAACATATTACGCACCTTGTCAGCCCAACGACACGACCGGAATCTACCCTCCCGTTCGCATCGTGGCTCGGCGACGAGGAAGAAGATGAGAAAGATGAAGCGACGAGGACGACAACAATGCCACAGTACACGCACGAACAGCGGGTATTGCAAGAGCTGCATACGTACACATGGCTACGACATCTGCTTGGTATGTCGACGTCTGAACGAAGTGCGGCGTATATCGCGCATATGCAGCCCCGTATAGATCGCGTCGTGGCGCAGATGCGGCAGGATGTAGCGACGCTGCATCGACATGTGGACGAAGCGTGCCCCCCTGGAACTCCGCTGGGGGCGACACAGTTGCGTTGGCTCCGCCTCGTCCTTGAACTAAGCATGGAACTGGGCGACACAAGTGTGACAGCCGCTATGACACGACTGCTCGACGAGCGTGTACTGCCAACTCTATTGCCTTGCTTTGATGCACCTACATCGATACCAACGCCTCACCTGCCATTGGATCTTTATACGGACGAGCAGGAACTCGCCCAACTTACATCGCTCACGCAGCTGCCATGGGGAAAGCCTGTGGATCCATCATACACCTCTGACCTACGGACGCTGTTGGATGCACTGCTGGAGGTAGCCTACCAACATTCAGGCGTGTGCAAAATGGCGGAGGAAGTTGGCGGCGCACGAACCGATGTATTCTTAGACCTTGTCTGGCATACTATGGCCGATATGCTGATAACGCAGTATGGGACCCATTTGTTCTTTGTGGGCAAACCAGACGAGTTTCATCGGAATTATACCCTTATACGCGCATGGATGGATGCTATGCAGGCCATGGCTCCCTCAGCACGCGCCCATACAGCGTTCCGAACACATGCCACCACACTGGCATTGGAGCGGCGGTGGCAACTCTCTGCCTTTTTCCATTTGTGTGCCCGAGACCGGGTTACTTCGTTGGAGGCCGCCCTCGCCTCGCCGTCCTCCACCCCCTTAGCTGGGTTTCGACAGGCGGCCTTGGCGCATTTGTTGTATGCATTTGTGCTCCCATGGCGAATGACACGGCATATTCCCGCGTTGCGTGCGCGCGAATGGCGGCAGAGTATGCATGTGCTCAGCCGGTATCGGACATGGGTCGACAAAATTGTTAGCGAGATGGAGCCGGAGGCCAGCTCAGATATGCCCTCACGAACCTCGACACCGACGCCGGCGGAAGAAAGTAGCGGCCTTACGGACATCGAAGTGCACAAACTGCATCAGGCTGTGGGCCTGCTTGCGGATGTTTCACTGTTTGAAAAGCGCGTGAGCGACGTATACACCACATGGCTACGGCCCAAGCTGCTAGCCGGGACAGATACGTCGTTACCCGAGGCGGACACAGTGCAGGAGGCACTGGATACAGCGCTGGCTTCTTCATTGGGCTTGGTATCGCATGTGGAAAAGCATGTGCAGTCGTTCGTGCTACATATGCTGCGCCGCAAATGCACGGAACCTTTGCGCCAAGTGCGTGCCGGTCAAACGCATTACCGGGCAATTTCACGGCCTTCGTCTCCCGCTCCCACTTCGCAGTCCAGCACGTATACCAAGGCCATGGTCCGGCCATTGTACCAGCTCTGGGAACCGGATAGGCCGGTTCACTCGCTAGCACTAGCGCAGCAGCAAGCTTGGGTCGACGAGGTTGTCCAAGCGATGGTGGCGCGGTATGCGACAGCCATCGATACCGTCACACGCAACTTGGAATCGCTACGTCGCTTGAAGCGCGGCACACCGGGCCTGGCTGCAGACGAGGCGAGCAATGACGAGCATGTCTACACGCAATTTAAGGCGGATGCCGATGCCTTGGCCTCGGAGCTTACAGCGTTCAGTGCCGCGACGCAGATCCCGATCGATATGCAGAAAGACGCATGGACAACGCTACGCCGCTCTCTCCGTCCTTAGCCTATACCGGGGAAATCACTATGATCTCTATAGACATGCTACAGATGGAGCGCGCCTACAACGACTCCACGTTGCCCGACTCGGCAAACGTACGGCCTTGAGCACGCTCGAGACCTTCGCCAGCGTACGTCACCAGCGGACTCAGCTCGACATCCACGTCGTCTGCGACCGAGGCGCCGGCTTGCTGCAGCCAGCGGCGCTGCTGTGCAAGCAAATCGCGGCGCGACGTCTCTGGGTTGTCCGACGCTGTGCCACTGGCATTCTTCAACGGGCTGAACTCTTCGCGACGTTCTACTTCGTGGATGGCCAAGTCGGCACAGAAGGGGAACACGTCGAAGATGAAAAGCTCCAGCTTGATACCGTTCGGCGACGATGGCTTTACACGCTCGCCAGTAGCCAGATCCACAGAGGGAATCTTCTTGCGGGCGACATGGTACGCCATCTTCTCCTCAAACGACGGCACATCGTTCGCGAGGAACTCAGTCGTGTAAAAGTGGTTGGCAATGTTCGCCGCGCGGAAGAGCAGCTCGCCGTCCTCACCTCGCGCCTCACTCAGCGCAGGTGGGATCTCCGAGTACTCCACGACACTGAAAGCACCATCTTTGCGCGCCACGACACCCACCGACTCGGCCGGGTCGGTTTTCTTCACGACCTTGACACCTGCGCCTACCTTCTTCGAAATGCACACGCCCAAGAACACAGGATCGCCGACCTTGACCAGGCAGTTGTCTACACCATAAGCATGCAGGTACTGAATACCACGACGCTGCAAATCGTCAATCACGGACGGCTTTCCAGCACTGGTCGGCGCACGCAAGGCAGCGTACAAACCACCATTGCCATCAGGCGCCGTAGCGACCTTGCCCTTGTCATCAAGCATGATCTTGCCTTCGTTCGAGATACAGGGAAGTGTGCCCTGCTCAAAGAAGATCACATTGGCAGGATCCAAGCCAAAGAACTTGTGTTCTGTAAAGAACGCTTCAGTCGGCGCACGGGTCGGGCCCGAGGTCATGACGTACCAGGGCACGACCACATCCTCGCGCTTCGCATGCGCACGAGCCAGCTGCTGAAGCTTGCTGATACGCTCAGCCTGCAACTGGAACAGGCTTTTATGACTGGGCAGCTGGATATCGTAGCAGCCCTTGGGGGCCGAGGAGCCAAGACGCGTGCCCTGACCACCGGCCAACAGCAACACACCTACCTGGCCGGCCCCAATCGCATCGAGACCGATCTTGCGGTACTTCGCAGCGCTCTCCTCATCACCGACCGTCGATACCATACTCGACACAGGCGGCGGTTCTACCTTGGCATCCTTCGCCTCCCGCGCAGCTTCGTCCGCTTCCAGCGCCTGCGCAACGACCTTGTTCATGCGCGCAGGGTCAATGGCACGTAGCTGCTGAGCCAAAGCATCCTTCTCTTCCTGCGACAAGGTGTCCCAGTAGGTGAATACATGCGACTGGCCAGCCGCTTCGTACTTCGCACGGAGTTCTGTCACGTCCGACATGGTAGACAAACAAACAGATCGCACGTGCCTCTGGACGGACAACCGTGCATGTGATGTGGAGGCGACAGAAAAGAGGCCTACGACGTATCCTTCGCTAGCGACCGACGACTACAAAAAAGGGACGCGCGGCTTACGACAGCGTCGCACCCGCAAACGACGCCGTCACCACACCGCGCGACGTACGCAAAAGACGCGGCGTCGCCTCACCTTCCGGCGCATCAGGGCCAGGGCCGACCCACGCACACTCCTTGGCGTCGGTCGTTGTGTACTTGGGCTGAATAGCCTCGAAGATCTTGCTGTTAGTACTCTGCATCCACATACCTTGCGCTTCGGGTTCATCTGCTCGAGCGGCTCCATACCCTCGTAGCCTTCCACATAGACACGGTCACCCACCTGGCTGTCCGCCGGCGGGGATACAGGGGCCACACCCTCGTCCTTGCCATCCTTGGCCGTGGCGCAGAGAAGCATACCGTAGCTCTTGATGCCACGCATCGACGCCGGCTTCAAGTTGCACACACCCACGACCCAGCGGTCCCGCATCTCCTCAATCGGCACGAACTTCACAAGACCCGACAAGATCTGGCGCGGACCCTCAGGCTCGCCAAAGTCGACCTTCTCCAGGTACAGCGCATCCGCATCAGGGTGACGCTCAATGCTCACAATCTTACCGACACGCAAATCGACCATGCTGGGCTGAGGACCCGTCTCCGGCGCTGCAGGCGCTGCAGGCTTCTTCTCTTTCTTCTCCTTCTTGCCCTTGCCTTCCGACACGGCAGCGGCGGCAGCCGCTTCAGGCACGGCAGCCTTCACATCGCCCTTCTTCGCCGCCTCGGCATCACCGCCCTTCTTCTCCTTCTTCTCCTTCTTAGGCTCTGCCTTGCGCTCAATCTTCGGGAAACCGTCGAACACGGGCTCAAACGGCGACACAGGCGGGTCAAGCTTGGCACCAGCCGAGATATGCGACATGTGCGAGAAGTAGCGCACCAACGAGGGGTGAGCATGCTGCGCCGGCGCCGGCAGCGTAGACACGACGTCGTACAGCGACGCAAAGAGCGAGTAGTCAGCGGCGGTCGGCTTGTTGCCGCTCAAGAAGGTACGCGACTCGAGCTTTTTGTTAAGCGACTCCAAGCTGCCGTTCATACCGTCTAGCTCGTCGAGCCACTGGTCGGTCGCCTTCTTCTCTTCGTCTGTCTCGCCCAGCACCTCCGCCGGGGACGACGTGAGCGCAGCGAGATCGTGCGCAAACACACGCAGCGGCTTTTCGGACGCGGCCAGCGTTGAGAGCGCGCCCTGGTCCGCGACCAGGCGCGTGTACATCTCCACCAGGAGCTGGCGAGAACGTTGCACCATCGTAGTCATCGAAGAAGATCGCTCGGCCGAAGGAGAGAAAGGAAAACCACCGCTGCGGTGGTAGTGGAGGACACGGACGGACGTACGAAGCGAGGTGCACGGACCGCTTAAGGAAGAGAGCAAATACAAGATTCTACTACACAAAAATGGAGGCATGGTACGTATGATACTTTTTGGGTGTGCGACTTGTCAGCACAGAGAGCGCGTTACTCCAATTCGAAGATAGCCTCGTCCACGTCAACGTCCGCCGCCGGCAAAATCGCGGGAGAAATAGGGGGAGGGGCCTGCGACGTAAAGAAGGCACTGCTGCCAGGGGCCGCAGGGGCTCGTCGCCGGACGTCATCTGAAGAGAGGCGGGAATAGAAGGGCATCGAAATCCGCTCTCCGCCCAACGATGACGACAAGGTCCCTGGGGGACTAAGATTCGGCGGCGAGTGAAGCGCGCTGTCGAGAATCGGGGGCATGAAGGGAGACGCGTGTACGCTGTTTGCACCAGACGTGCGCCGCCCTAGGCCATTCGTTCGTGCATTCATCAGAGAAAAGCTTCCCCCGTACGACATGCGGCCAGGTTGAGCCGTTGAAGGCGACACACCAAACGAGGATACAGGCAGGCTTTGTGGATGAGGAAGACTCTGCGAAATCGGGTTGAGCGGCTTGGAGGAGATGGAGGACGACAGGGACGGCATATTATCGCGGGCATAGCGTGTGCGTCGTTCCAGTTCCGCGGGCGTGAGCAAGTCGCTAAGACTGGAAGGTAGGAAATCCTCGCCGTGGACCGAGTCGGTCAAAGGTTCCTCAACCTTACGACGGCCACCCCAGGGTGTATCCGTCTCTGGCACTGTGGATGCACGTATCTCAGAGGAAGTGGGGTTGAAAAACAGGCTGTGGTTGCCAGGTTGGCTGAAGGGACTCGTCCCAAAGGCACTCGCCGCTGTCGTGGCGGTCGGTGTGCCTGCAGGTTCATAGGTACGAGGCACCGACCCAGCGGCGTCTCTGCCCCAAGTGGATTGGGTGTAGGACTGTGAAAGCGAATGGGATGCAGACTGGGACAACGAGCTGGCCTCCCCCTCAGAGCCTGGTCGGACTATACTCTCGTCGGAGATTTTAGGGCGCGACGGGATAAACATCGCAGACGAAGACGTTTGCTGCGGAGACGTGCGGTTCTCGCCCGCCTTGTCATCAGACGGCCGAGGCTCCTCAGATGACTTGGCTGCTTGGGACGCGCCTTGCTGCGCAGCACGCTTGTTTTTTCGGTCCATACTCATCGGCTGCCCGGGCATGATATGAGCCAAGGCACACCTATGCCCAAAACGGCAACTGCCCTTGATGTACCATTGGCACACGGCTTTGGGCTGTCCTTCGCCAGGAAGGGTATGCGCAAAAGGACAGGCATCACCTGCAGAACATCCATTATTCCGAAAGAATTTGCATGGTACCTGCCCAAGAGCTTCTTTCTTTTTGGTCGACAACTTGGCATTGGCCAACGCGCTACCGGCATTGGGCGTAACACCATTCTCATTGGCATGATCGTCACGATGCCGCGCGCGATCTTCACCACCACGTCCGCGGCCGCCACGTCGCCTTCGATGGGACTCGGTACGAACTTGGACATCCGACACCAAAAGCAAGGGTGCAAGGGTGCATGTCGCAGCAAGAGCTGCACGCACTTCCGACACATCCTGTGCAGACGGGCGAGCAGAAAGACGGACAATCTGATGCTGCACAAGCGCAGCCGAAGACGAGGCTGGAATAGCGGGCAATGCCCGGTTTTTGTCTTTCACCTCGGCTACCGACACCGAGTGTGGGGACGCCATGGCTGTTTCGATGGCGGATAGGCTTGTCACATGCGTCCCACGAACATCCATCGTATGCAGGAACGGAAGTGCTTGTCGTGTACCATCCAATGCAAAGAGCGAATCTGGTAGGTCATTATGAGCAAGCGAGAGATCTTCCAGTGCCGACAGGCCTTGGAGAATATGCAACGGCACAGGCTCTCGCAGAGCATTGTAGCTTAAATCCAGTATTTTCAAGGCACGAGGCATTGGACGAAGAGCATTGGTAGCGAGCCGGTTGCTGGACAAGTCGAGCTTTTCCAGGGCTGGAAGAACGGTATCCTGAACAGGCCACAACTGCTCCAGCTGATTGTGGCTCAGATCCAGACTGGTTAGGTGTGGCAGCATCAGGATCGAGGAAGGCACTTGGGTAAACTCATTTCTCGAAAGCGTAAGGGTCGTAAGCTGCGAAAGTTGGGACAGGGTGGATGGGAGCGATGTCAGACGGTTGCTATGCAGCTCGAGCCGCGTGAGCGCTTCGAACTGGCCCACGCGCTCGTCCAAAGAGGTAAGCTCATTCGAACTGAGCAGTAGAATCTGTAGCGCAGACCGATCGGACCATGGCTTGGAAGCACCTGCACTGTTGTCCGAGTCCGCACGGTACCAAGTCGGTGGAGTGTCTTGAAGCCATGCTAGGATATCTTCGGGCAACGAGCCCAGGGGCGGTACGCGTGAGGACAAGTTTATGCGGCCTAAAAGTCAAAGATGGTGTGTGTACGTACCGTTCTGGCATGCGCCCCGCAGCACGTCCTCGATCGGTTTTTGGACAATCAGGTGGTCATGATCATCTCTACCTGCCCCAGACTGTTTTCCAGGGGACGTAGACTGACCACTCCCTGATGATGGGGAGACCTTGATCGCGCGTGACATCCCGCGATCAGTGTACTCCGGTAAGTGGACACAGGCTGGGAGCGACGCACCCACGAGCAGATGAACCGTCGATAAGGGGGCGTGTGGGTCTGCGCGGCTGCGTTGGTATTGGGCTGACTAACCTTTGCCTGTCTACACACCAATCGAACTGCGCTCGTGCCTCCACTCGGTTCACGTGCGCGCACGGTGGCCTACCACGAGTGTGGGGCCGTGCATCATCGCAGGAAGTTGCGAGCGAGCGCTGGCAGTACGTTGCCCTGACGAGGCCAGGCTACGAGGAGACGTCTATGGATGTTTTAGCCACGGAAGAACTTGTTAGGGACGAACGGCAGGCGTGTTACTTGCGCCTCGCGCATCTTGTTGCGCACCTCAACACGCAAAGGCGTGTCCTTCTTGTGGTAGCCATTCTTGACTAGGGCCATAGCAATGTTCTTGCCCAGCGTAGGCGAAGGAATGCCTGATGTAACACGGCCAATCTCCGTCGTACCGTCCTCGGCAAAGACTTTGGCACCCTCTATGTTGTTAGTGTAGGAGACTCATACATACCACGAGCAGGCGAACCAGCCGCCACAAGAATACCGACACGACGACGTGGTGGGCCCTCCTTCAGTTCACGAAGCACACGCTCCGCACCCAGGAAGTCGGCCGCAGCACGACGGTCCTTGCCGACACACCACGCAAGAGCACCCTCAATCGGGCTCACGCTCTCGTCCAAGTCGTGGCCGTACAGGCACATACCCGCCTCGAGACGCAAACTGTCACGCGCAGCCAAACCAGCCATCTGCACCTCACTGTCATTCAGGAGCGCCTCAGTCACCTTCTCTGTAGCCGCCGAGGGAATCGAGATTTCGAAGCCATCTTCACCCGTGTAGCCACCACGGGCCACATGGCAGTCCACGCCGGCCACCTGCACAAACGCACTCTTGCCGAACGTCAGAGTGTTCAGGTCAAAGTCCGACGGCACCAACTTGCGCAGCACCTCCGCGGACGATGGGCCTTGCAGGGCGACGAGGCCACGGCCTTCCAGTACGCGGTGCTTGGTCTCACCCTCGGCCTTATGCTTCTCATTCCATTCCTTGAGTTGCTCGGTAATCCACGCAAGATCCTCCGTACGACGACCCGCATTGGTCACGACGTAGAAGCTCTCATCGTTGTGCTTCGTGATAATCAGATCATCCAGAATACCACCCTCCTTCGAGAGGAGCACAGAGAGTGTCGACGAGAAAGGCTCCAGCGATGTCAACGACGATGGAGTCAAGTGCTGCAGGAAGCGCAGCGCTGTAGGACCCTCAAACCTGACATGTAAGTATAGAAAAAACAACGTACATGTGTTGCACCATGTGGCCCACATCAAAAAGACCCGCATGCTCACGCACATGCTTGTGGGAAGCCACTTGACCGACGCCTTCGTAAGTCAAGGGCATCGAGTAACCGCCAAAAGGCACCATCTTTGCGCCATGTTTCACATGAAAGTCGTACAGACCCGTCTTGGCATCCTCAGCAAGGATCGCGCTGGTACGCAGGGTAGCGCGAGCCATCACCGGGAGGCGCGCAGAAGCGCGCAAGGTAGGAGCAGCACGAGAGCTTAGCGAAAGTCCGCGCTTCACAGTCAAAGAAGGAAGCATGATGGAGAGAGGGAGGCAGTCCCAACTTCGTCTTGCTCCCCAGTTGGCGGGCGTCGGCTTCCTCCACATACTGCCTCTTTTGGTATGTGGCCCCGCACGCCAAATCGTACATGTTGGGCGTCTCGCAGGATAGGCTAGATTCCAAGCGAAGGCTAGATATTCTAAAGAGAAAGAGATTGTGCATATATATACGCATAAATGGTGCCGCTTCTTCTTACAGCCTTGGTATAGAGATGGATGCACAATGGTATATATGTAGTATCTGTGCGCTGAGCGGTCATAGGCAACCAAGGCACTCGCGAAGATATGCTGGTCTAACGGCCCAGTAGGTCGCCAAAAAGCACAGGCATAGTATTCTATCAACTGGATCAGCCAGCTAATAGACCAATATAAGCTAGGTGTGGAAAGGCGCAAAGAGTCTGACAGGGAGGAAAGTCAAATTAGCCATGTCAAAAATTCGCTGACGTCAGTTCCTCGTTAGTGAGTGGAGCAAAATGCAATCGGGAGGTTTCTTCACTTGGTACGCATTTTATTGTCACCCATAGTGACAGCAGAGGTTGTCCATCTGTTCTCTCGGGTGTTTTCCATGATGACATTTCCACAAACTCCAGAGGCTACGATTAGTGTCTCTGAGTTTGTGGTGTTTGCTTTGGTACTCCTTCATTTCATATACCACTTGATTCATTCTTGGTGTTCACAGGATGTGGCGTTTCCTTCGTCTGTGCATCTGTCAGAGAGTCACCAAGACTTCTCGCAGGCCATGCAGGGGGATACGCTCGTAGAAGAGTCTGTGGTGCACGAACACCAGTTCTGGAAGCGGTCGAAGACTACCCAATACTTGCTGTACGTACTTACGGCTGTGGGTGCGATTGTGGGCTATTGGTTCGACGTGTACTTCTGGTTCGTGTTTCCTTTTATGACGACCTTGTCCATCTACGTATGCGATCAAGAGATTAGCATTGCATCCCACAAGCTCAAGACCAGGTGGCATGCTATTTGCTACCTGTTTATTCTCTCAACCATTTTTTTCGTCGCAGAAGTGTTTCGCACCGCCTGTGGCGAATGGAAATCAGTTGCGCGGTGGTTCTGCATGACCTTGCTGGGCCTTCTTGGAGTGATAACAGGGACTGTCCCTGGCAAGCCACGACATGTGGCGACCCATAGCAAGGTCCTGGAACTCGCACGCGAAGATGACGAGCTGAGTCACGACGAAGAAGACACGATGACGTCCATGGACATTGCTCCTACACGAAGTGCCAGCAATTCCATCCTTGGCTCTCTGTTTTTCATGCATGTCATGCCATTGGTACGCCAGGCGATGTGGAAAGGCGTAGTGAGCTCGGTCGATGTGCCTGTAATGGGCCGAAACATGCAATCAGAGACGCTAGGTTTGCGTGTTCGTGCTCTATTCCTTCAGTACGTGCATGGAGCAGACCCTAAAACTGCGGTCCCTTCGGAGCAGGAAGCCAAGAAGACGTTGTTCTCGCGGCAGTCCAGGGAGCTGCTCTATGTGCTAGTACGAGCGAACACGAGCCTATTCTTCACGTTGGTTTCCATGACAATTCTCTCGGTGGGTATGTATTATGCCCCTGCGTTCTTAGCAAACCAAATCTTCACCGTTGTGGGTGATCAGCGTGCAGGTATGGAAACGTCGCGTGAGACATTCTTCCGCGCCCTGCCCTGGGTGCTTGCGCTGTTCTTGCTGATCATTGTGAGCAGCACCGTGCAAGGAGTGCTATGGAGCTGTCTAGAAGGCGACTTAGCTGTGCGTCTCTCGACGCAGCTCTCGACGCTCTTGTATGCCAAGACGCTGCGACGTCGTCAAGAAGCGGACTTGAAAGGCGAAGGCAAAGGCAGTAATCAAGTGATCAACCTGCACTTGGTTGATTTGCAACGTGTGGTGTCCGTCACATTCCACCTCTTCGCGGCGATTACGACGCCGCTTGAGTTGGTCGTGGGTGGCTACTTTGCGTATCGTGTGCTGGGCATTAGTGCGTTGGTGGGCCTATCGACGACGATTCTGCTGATGCCCTTCATTGGGCTGTTGAGTGGTCTCTTTGGGCGCACGAACGAGCGCTTGATGACCGTACGTGACAAGCGTATGGGTCTGCTGAACGAGTGCTTTTCGGGCATTCGTATGATCAAGTCGCAGGCGTGGGAATCTGTCTTTCAAGAGCGTGTGGACGATACACGACGCGCTGAGCTGCGTCATCAGCTCATGTCGTTTGTGTGTGAAGCTGTCCTTACCTGTATTTTGGAGCTAAACCCCTTGCTGGTGACTCTGGTGGCTTTTACATGTTACACGCAAGTCATGCACCAAGAGCTTACGCCGGCCGTGGCGTTCACGTCGCTAGCTATCTTTGCAGAGCTGCGTTGGACGTTGATTATGCTGCCGAAAGCGGTGACAGACTTTGTCCAGACGCTGGTCTCGTCGGAGCGTATCGCTACGTACTTGATTAGCCCCGAAGTGACCACGGCGCCGCCCTTTAGTGGTGCGAACGATGGATCGTCGCATTTGGTCCGCTTGGATCATGCCACGATTGCCTGGCCCCAAGTGGGCAAGGTGCCGACATTTTCCCTGCAGGATGTGACGTTGGACTTTCCCACGGGCAAGACCCTGATTTGTGGCCGTGTAGGCAGTGGCAAGTCGCTGCTGCTGCAGTCGCTGCTGTACGAGACAGAAGTGTTGCATGGCACAGTCCAGTGCCCACGCTCGCCACAGACGGGTATCCCAAGCAACGAAGACGATCTTCGTGAGGCAGCGGAGGCCCTCAATACACCAGGCTGGCTGCGCACAGATTTGGTAGCGTATGCGCCTCAAACGCCGTTCCTTATGAACGCAAGTATACGCGAGAATATCCTATTTGGTTTGCCGCTCGGCGACGGAAAGCGGTACCAAGCGACGTTGGAAGCGTGCTCGCTAGCGCCGGATCTGAAGCAGATGGAGCATGGTGATCTGACGCAGGTCGGTGAAAACGGTACAGAGCTGTCAGGCGGTCAGAAGGCGCGCATTGGCCTCGCGCGAGCAGTGTACTCACGCGCACGAACGCTTCTTTTGGACGACGTGCTCTCTGCGGTGGATACCGGCACGGCAAAGCACATGGCAGAGCGCGTGTTTGCTGGTCGATTGCTGCAAGGCCGTGTGGTGCTGTTGGTCTCGCACAATGTGCCGCTGCTGGGCAAGTTGATGGACCAAGTGGTGTACTTGGATGACCGCCACGTGACGTTCCACGGCACGCCCAAGCAGTTTTTCGGCTCAGAGCACTACACGGGCTGGCTCGATGGGGAGAAAGATGGCGAGGCGCAGCAGGACGACGAGACGCATGCGCACCAGCCCGCGGAACTCTCAGCGATAGGCTCGAAGCGTGGCTCTGAGCACCGTGAGAAAGGCAACATTGCATGGAAAGTATGGCATGCGTACATTCTGGCCAGCAGTGGATGGACGTTGTCGTTGCTGACGACGTTCCTCTTTACGCTATCGAACATGTGGGACTTGGTCACCAACGCGTGGCTGCGTGATTGGACGTCGGCGCCTGCGAATTTGCACTCGAGTGAGTGGTGGCTCTGGCGGTACGCAGGTTTGCTCGGCATTGGCATTGGACTGAGCATCGTGCGATGGATCGGCATTTATGCGATGTCGCTGAAAGCGTCGCAGGTCATGTTCAGCCGCATGTTGGAGCGCACACTGCATGCGCCGCTGCAGTTCTTCGATAAGGTGACACGGGGCCGCCTGCTCAACCGCTTTGGCCAGGACCTCAATGTCTTGGACTCGAACTTTGCACGTGCCATTGCCGACGTGGTGATTCGCGTGACGCAGCTGCTCGCGACGCTGGTGGCGCTGTTTATGGTCGGCGGTGTAGGCATCGTCGTGGCGCTGCTGGCGCTCATGCCGCTGTATGGCTTTGTGGCGCAGCATTACTTGTCGGTGGCGCGTGACTTGCAAAGGCTTACCTCGACATCGCGTTCGATGGTCGTCAACTCGTTTAGTCACGCGGTGCATGGCGTGCAAGTGATCCGTGCGTTTGGTGCGCAGGCACGGTGTACCAACGAGATGCTGCATGTGCTTGACAACAACAACCGCTTTGTATGGTGGACGTCGCAAGGCAGCCGCTGGGTGACGCAGATGTACAATCTGATCAGCTCGTTCCTGGTGTTGGCCTCGTGTGTGTTGATTCTGCTCCAGCCTAACACGGAGCCAGCCAGCATCGACTTCTCGCTGACCTTCTTGATCCAACTCAACTTTATTTTGCTGATTCTCATGCGTATGTACACGTCACTGCAAACGAATGGTGTGGCGATAGAGCGCATCTTTGAGTACGCCGAGAACATCGATAAAGAAGCCCCCAGCCACATGGAGCGAGCGCCGCCGGACACCTGGCCGAACCATGGCCATGTGCAGGTGGACCATCTCACAGTACGTTACGCGGACGACACACCCAATGTCCTGCACGATGTATCGTTCCATGTGCCAGGCGGCACCAAGCTCGCCATTGTAGGGCCGACGGGCAGTGGGAAATCCACCTTGGTGGGCGCCTTGCTGCGGTTGCTCGAAGCGCACAAGGGCTCGATTCAGATTGATGGGTGGGACATTTCGGAGGTGGGCCTGCACGATCTGCGGTCGCGCGTTCGCATTGTGGCTCAAGACCCTGTGATCTTGTCAGGCACGCTCCGCAGTGCCCTGGACGTGATGAACCAGTTTGACGACGAACAGGTACTGGACTGTCTGCGCCGCGTCCAGCTCATCACGGACGGCTCGGATGCGTTCACCGACTTGTCTATGCCCATTGCCGAGCACGGCGCCAACCTCAGTCAGGGCCAGCGCCAATTGCTCTGCCTAGCGCGGGCCATTCTCCACAAGGCCCGCGTCGTGCTATTTGACGAGGCCTCGAGTTCTATTGACTACACGACCGATATGCACATCACCGACGTGATCCGCGAGGCGTTCCATGATAGCACTGTGCTGACCATTGCACACCGTCTGCGTACGGTGATTGAGTACGACCAGGTCCTGGTACTGGACCATGGCCGTGTGAAAGAAATGGGCGAGCCTGCCAAGCTCCTGCAAGATCCGTCCTCGTTCTTCTATCGACTTTGCAAGGATGCTGGCCCAGCCGAATTCAAGTACTTGGTCGCTATGGCAGGCAAGGCCGCCGACGTACGGCAAACTACCACCTTTTCCTCTTCATAGACTGTATTCATACTCGACCCCCTTGGTAATCACCGCGACACGCTCTGCCATGTGCTGCAGTAATTCGACATCGTTCGGCGCTACGCGCAGACCTAAACGGAACAACTCCGTCTCGCCAATCACGCGATGAGAACGCAGACTCGAGCCACGCACAGGCACGCTGCGTGTGCGTTGCTGTGGTGGCATATACGCCTCGTGCGCATGCATGGGACTGTGGGCACTCACACCGAGAATGAGCTGCAGCGCTGCGTCGCGATGCCGCGAGGTCGGCAGCGCTTCCCATGTCTCCAGCGCACGCCGCAAGCTGCGATTCTCTTCGCCCTGGGGATGCTGCGCCGTTCGTGGATGAAGCATATCGCGCAGAGTAGTATCGGTCGCTAACGCCTCCAAGTCCGCGAGGCGTAGCGGCTTGGGATCGGACGCACGTAACGGATCGAGATAGATCAATGGGTCCGGCTCGTCCGGCCACTGCAGCTCACTTAGAGCGCGGAGGGGGGGCGACGAGGGAGCCGTGGATGGGCCGTTCAAGACAACGACACGCTCCCGACGCGCTCGCTGCGCTGCAGCATCGCCTACGTTGCGTTCGACGTGCATCAGCATATCGTTGTCCAGTAAGAACTGCAAGAACTGCGCCAGAGCATCGACATGCTGCAAGATTTCCCTTTCCAGCAATTGTCGCAACAGGTCTGGTGCTTCGAACGGATTGGGCGGCGCTCGGCGAGGTACGACGCGACGTACAGACTTGTCTTCAGTTGTACTAGGACGCTTTCGATGTGGCTCGCTCGGCTGGGCCGAGTCCTGTTCGCAGGAAAGATCCTCAGGACGCAAAGGCGGCTCGATTTTGGACGAGATCGCATCCCGCTCTTCGTCCATGTCCGAGTCAGACGACGACTCGGAGGGAGAAGAAGATGAGGACGAAGAAGAAGAAGTAGGATCATGTTGGTCCTCCTGCGACAGAATCGGCTGGGTATCTGGCTCACTCTCCGAGTCGCTGGACGCTGTGTCTTTCGACACGCCCAGTGGCACCACTGGGGTAAGTGTCGTCTGCTGTCGTGCTAGTCGCTTCTGCTCACGCTCTCGCTGTTTGGCAGCCTTTTCTTGGATTACAGCGGAGGTGGGGAATCGCTTGCGTCGCTGTCGAATCCATTCTTCGATCAGTTCCGGGGTATCCAGCTTGATGTTCAGGCCTAAGATGGTAGAGTCAGGGGGTCCATCCGCCGCCCGAGCCACGCCTTTGCGTTGCCGGGCTAGGCGCTCGCGTTCTTCGGCGACACGCATAGGATCGCGACGGCGTAGCTCATCTAGGCCGCCAGGTGGGTATATCAAATGCCGATCAGCACGGTGCAGCATCAACTCCAGGTCACTCGAAGCAGTAAATGCACATCGCGACGGTAGCGAGTCCACAGAAGTGTCTACACCACAATAGTACGTAGCACTGGGGCTGCGAGGAGGAGCAGCACCACGTTTTGTGCCCATATTCGCACGTGCTGAGGGCGGCCGCGGCAAGGGCGTCGGTCGGGCCTGCGTCGTAGCTCGTGCCTGAAGACCAGAGGCAACAGGCTGCGCCGGCGCTGTAGGGGACGGTGTAGGTGGGACGGGGGCAGGGGGGGGTGCCGGTGCGGGAGATGGTGTGGGATCTTCGTAAAAGTCGCCTAAATAGTTGCCATATTCGTCGTACTTGGCCACCTTTTTGGGACGCCGAGGCGCCGCAGAGGCCATGGCGAACAGACGTTGACACGCTCTGTCGTCGACTTTTTGTGGATGCTGACTAACGACTCCACACGAGCGACACGTCCTAGACGACATAGCGGCCCCGTCAGCACGTTGAAAGATGGCTTGGTATCTATGTCTACACCTTGCAGACCTACGGCGTAGGCGCAGTAGTACTGGTCTCTATCGACGAGGCAGACTCTGCCTCTGCCTCTGGCTCCGCTGCTGCGTTCTCCGCTTGCCAATGACTGAGTTCTTCCGCATACATTTGATGTACGAGCGAGCCACCGAGCTTCTCTTCCAGCCACTCCAGCGCGCCTAAATCAAGGACTACGCGGTCAAACTGCAGCACCTGGTACGCATGCAGTTCACCAGGTAGTTTTTCGTGCTCAAGACGAGGACGTGGGTGCGGAGGAAGCTCATGCAAGCGCATCAGCATCACATCTGGCAAGTTGCGCGAAGCCATATCAAAGTTGCGCACATATCGCACATGACGCTCGAGCTGCTCGTCCGTGTACATCAAGTCCACAGACGAGGGTCGTGCGTAGCCACGCTCACTCGCAATTGGCGACTCCGGACGGCGAGGTGCCGTCAAGAACAGCGTGTCGTTCCATTGCTTGGAGCTCAAGAGACGCGCCAGCTTGTTGGTCGACATAGGCGGGGGCTGCCAAGCGAGGCTAGGCACCACATGCAGCTTGCCTTCCCGGAGACGCGCACTCAGCGCTGAGCGCAAGGCCAGCTCACGCACCTTACGGGGCAGCTCTGTCTTAAAGTCGCGTGGGCGAGGACCATGAGCAACACCACCCTTGCGAAGCATAGGACTGCCGCGGTCACTAAGACGGGCCTTACCAGAGCCCTTTTGTGGGCGCAGCTTGTGGCCAGAGAAAGCCACTTCAGAGCGCGTTTTTGTGCTTGCAGTACCGCTACGCATAGCATCGAGGTAGTATACAACAGCCATGTGCATAGCATGCTGGTGCGGAGCCGTGTTGAAGACATGCGCTGACATGGGCACGTACGCCTTGGCAGCTTCGCCCTCTGGCTTGGTCGCCGGGTCCAAGTACGATAAACGTGTGTGGATCAAAGGCGTGGTGCGCTCAAGCGCGATAAAGTCTGGTGATGGAGAAGCATCAACGTCGGCGTCAGTCACAAACGACGATGCTTCCGACGCCAATGGCAGGTGTGAGTGAAAAGCGCGGTGCACCGTCAAGGCATTTTGCGCTACCGCTACCTGTGCCATGCGCATGCCTGCTAGGGCTGAAGCGCTAGGCGCAAGAAGCTGGCGCGCATGACGCGCCGCACGTCCAAGCATCATGCTGCCAGAAGCGTTGGAGACCGATGCGGCACGATGCGTCGCCGCCACGAAGACTGGACTGATCGGCCGAGTATGCTTATGTAAGGGCTCTCGGACCCCTTGAAGGGAGCATATTTCTAGAACTGTACGATTCAATTCTAGTCACGTGGGAACCACACACGGGGGCCGCGGCCGGCGACGTACTGGAAAAGCGCGCGCACGCCGCCGACTTTCTCACCATACCACACAGCAAGGTAGGTACGCCTGTTGCGTAGGTGAGAAGCACAACGGCTCTCTCACTTGCGAACGCTGTATTTGTGAACAGAGTACTGATACCATCCGCAGATGTCTGACGCGAAGGGTGCGACGCCGTTCGTTTCGTGTTTCGGTAAGAAGAAGACTGCGACGGCCGTGGCCCACGCCAAGGAGGGCAAGGGTCAGATCCGCCTCAACGGCCAGCCCATTACTCTGGTCCAGCCGGATGCGCTCCGCTGGAAGGTGTACGAGCCGATCCTGGTTGTGGGTGAGGACAAGTTCTCGTATGTGTCATCATGTGAAAAGACGTACTAACATTCCACAGGACTGTCGACATCCGCATCCGCGTTTCGGGTGGTGGTCAGACCTCGCAGGTGTATGCGATCCGCCAGGCTATCGCTAAGGCCCTGGTTGCTTACTACGCTAAGTACTACGATGCCGCCTCGGCTCTGGAGCTGCGTCAGCTCTTCATCTCGTACGACCGTACCCTTCTGATCGCCGACCCGCGCCGCTGCGAGCCGAAGAAGTTCGGTGGTCGTGGTGCCCGCGCTCGCCGCCAAAAGTCGTACCGTTAAGTGTATGTCTATGGGGCCTTGCGGTTTTGGTTGTATGGCCAGAACTGTGGGCTACGTCCCCTGGGCTATGCGGTGGCTTGTATGCCTACTAGCTATGTGTGCAATGTCTTTGCATAGTTCTCTTGTGCTCTGCCAGTGCAGACCCTTTTTGATTATGGAATAGCGCCTGGTGGATAAAAGGCTCTCGCTTTGAGAGACGCAATATATATGCCTTTACCCAACAAATTGTGTGTGTGTGTGTGTGCTTTATGTAGGAGAGATCACAAGAAAGACACGAGTCATGAACAGTATGCCATGAAGTGCTATGCGTCCTATACAATCGCCTAGTTCGCCGATCATGCCTGTGTACTCGTTCGCACTGTGTCAGACTGCAGTTCTTGCAAACGCTCCGCCAACCGCTGCGACTCGCTAACAATCACAGCTTCATTGATCCAGGCACCTTGGAATGTTTCTGCACGACGCATCTCCTCCGAGCTAAAGTGCACAGACGAGCTGGCGTCACCTTCACTGCCTGTTCCTGTTTGCGATGCACCAAGCACTGTGTCAAGATCACGAGCTTGACTCGCGATCCACGCATGCAAATGACCATGCGGATCTTCTGCAAATGACGAAAGGAATTGTCGTGCAGCTGCACGATTCCGAATCGTAAGAGCGGCCTGGGCAATTTGATCGTCCAGCGCTGCAATTTCGTTGCTCAGAGAGCTATTCGCATCAAAGCGAGACAGCACGTTGTGCTGACGTGTCCGTAATGCCCAATCGTCCATATCCAATTCGATATCGTAGGCGGTAGGATGACGATGCTCCGCCTTGTCCGTGCGAATATAGTACTCCAAAACAATAGGCTGTGGTGGGTGCAAGAAGCGATGCAACACTTCGGGTATGTGGTGGAAATTGATGGTGGGGGTACGGAACAAAGCTTGTAAAGGCGCATCCAGACGCACAACACGGTGATCGTTCTCGTCCAGGAGATTGTGCTGCTTGATATAGGCCCAAAGGGCACTGAGCACACCAGCACGCGTTTCTTCCTGGATGTCCAGCAGCTGGGCCAGGGGCGGCGAGACAGAGTAGCGCTCGGGCACGTAGAGAGGGTAGAGAACAATCTTGGCCTTCACAGGCTCTGTACCCGTCCGTTTGATCTCGAAGCCATCCAAGGCAGGTTCGGCACTGTGGATAAGTGGATTCTCTGTCACTGTGCTACCACCTGTACCTGGCACAGGCAGCTGCGGGGCGATACTGGGCGAAGGACGATGCCATTCCACAATGTTACTCGTACCTAGAGATTCATCCGGGTACAAATTGGCATCACGATGTAGCTCAACGACACATGATTTAATCAAGTTGCTAAACTTGTGAGCACCAATACGTCCTGTCGTAGCATGCGCCGACAATGCAGCGCCTGCACGCGAACGGAAGCTAGGGTCAAGGAGACGGCCTTCGATGCGCAGCGTCCAAGACGGCACATCGTTTTGATGTTGCTCTTGCTCCGCGGAGCCAGCGCCAGACGTATTTTGAGGTGCCGTGGTAGCCTCATCATCGTCGCCTTCATCGCCATCTGCACCCGCAGCATCATCATTCGCCTCGCGCTTCTGTTGATTTTTCTCAGCGACTTGGAATGGTTGATTCGCACAGGTATTGCTCAAAAAAATACGCAAAGTGCGCTTCACCTTAGGGGGCTTTCCCATAGAATCCATCAGCTCGGCCCGTTTACGTGCCAACGTCCAATCAAGGTTACGTTCCATGCGCTGGAGGTCATTGTAAATGGCACTCTCCTTCACTTGGCGCTTCAAAGAAGGTGGGAGGCTACGATCCGTAGGGCGGTCCCTCTTTGTGCCGCGGAATCCTTCACCTACTAGGATATCATAGTGATTCCTTGCGCGAATCCGCTGTGCTTGTGCCTGCGCTTGCGCCTGTGCCGATGTTTGCACAGGCGCGCGCCCGTACGCTGATTGCTGTTGTTGGGTCTGTTGCATATCCCTGAATGTAGCTCTGACAAACGTACACAGACACACGCGAGTTGCAAAACAGAAACTCTTGAGCCACTACCACCAAAAATGGATTCGCGGTTACTACGGTGTCGCGTCGCGCAAACGACCTCGGCTGACGTGAGCGCGCGGTAGGGCGACCGACGGGTTGGTTGTATGGTCGTGGATTTATGCATTATTTCCCAGAAGGCAAATCCCTAGTGGCTATCGTATTGCATGGGGGCCACCGCCATAGTACTTGGACGACATCCGCCATGGTTGCTGCCGACGCTTCCAATGCTGTGACTACGCAAACCGATACTACATCTACAGAGCCCGTCAAAGATCTGCGCCCTATTCAGACGAAGCTAGTGCTGCTAGGAGAATCAGCCGTAGGCAAAACGTCGGTGGTCCACCGATTCGTGCAAGACGAGTTCCAAGAGAACCGTGAACCAACCATTGGCGCCGCCTTCTTAACAGTATGTACCTTGGCTATGGTAGTGTTACTAACCTTGAAAGCAACGATGCCGTCTGGAAGACCGTATCATCAAGTTCGAAATCTGGGATACAGCAGGCCAGGAACGTTTCCACAGTTTGGCGCCTATGTACTACCGCAACGCACAAGCCAGCGCTGTGGTGTATGATGTGACAAAGGCGGCATCCTTTGAGAAGGCGAAGAACTGGGTCAAGGAACTGCAGCGTCAAGCCAATCCCAACATTATTATTGCCTTGGTAGGCAATAAAATCGACCTCTTGTCAGAGAGTACGGAAGCAGCGCCGACCGACGATGGCGCGACTACGGAAGAAGAGACCGACGATGAGGCTGAATCAGACAAGATTGAGCGTGAGGTCCCTCGCTCAGAGGCGCAACAGTACGCAGATGAAGCGGGTCTTCTCTTTTTCGAGACTAGTGCGAAGACGGGCGAGGGCGTCTTGGAAACCTTTACCGAGATTGCCAAGCATATTCCCCTGGATACAAAGCCTAAGGCAATTGGTTCCGCTGGAAACACAGGCCCAGCGCGTAACGAATTGGTGGATTTGCAGCGCAGGAATACCATGCCGATGCGCGAAGGATGTAATTGCTAAGTTGCCTCCATTGACCTCATTCCTTGATAGATATGACCCCCAGATATATGTAGAGAGAAACAGTGCATTTGATGATCCAACCTGTACATACTGCGTTAGGTATTTTTTGACACGGTAACGCGTGTGCTCCATGCCTACGGTATACCATAAGCCAGGCACTCTACGTACTTCCAATGTTAATAATGACTAACAGCAACACCACAAAAAGTAGCTTCAACAGCCAGTTGATTAAAGTGCAAGTCTACAGCTACGGGAAACGGTAGAGAAGACACGGAGACCATGTCTCCATACTCTGTTCCTGCCATAATAGATATGCAAATTGGTGACGAGTTGTTTAACCCGAACCACCCTTGTAGACCTTGCCGAACATGATCTGCTGGAGGTGGTCGTAACCCGAGATGGTACCGGCAGCAGCAATACCACGGAGAATGTTGGCACCGGCACCCTTGAAGAGCGACGACACACCCTCGGAAGCAATGATCGACGAAGCGGCGTGGAACATGCTCTTGTAAGCAACACCACCACCCGAGGTCATCATCATACGACGACGGATAGTGTCGAGCGGGTACGAAGCAAGACCAGCGCTAGTGGTAACACCCCAACCGAGCAAGAACGAGGCAAGGAAGTTCTCCGAGAGCTTGCCAGGGAGCAGAATCGGCTTAAGCGAGTCGTAGAGACCGAAGTACAGACCACGGTACACAACGATACCAACAACCGACGGGATGAAGCCACGGTAGAGACCCATGATACCGTCCACGGCAATCGTCTTGCGGTACACGTCGATAAGACCGTTGAACTGGCGCTCACCACCCTTCGAGACCGACTTGGCGTCGTTGGCAAGACGGGTACGGGCGTAGTCGAGCGAGTAGACGAAGACGAGCGACGAGGCACCGGCAGCACCACCCGAAGCAATGTTCGAGCTGAACTTCTTCCAGTACTCAGCGTTCTTGGGCACCTTGAAGAGCGACTTGAAGTAGTCCTTGAAGGCGAAGTTCAGGGCCTGAGTCGGGAAGTAACGGATGACGTTGGCAGTGTTACCACGCCAGAGCGAGGCAAGACCCTCGAGCTGGTAGGTACGCACGAAGCAGTCACCGATACCCTTGTAGGGCGACGAGAGACGGCCCTGCTTGATCATCTCATCCTGGTTCTGGATGAGGAGCTTCACACGCTCGATCGGAGCAGCAGCGGTCTTCGAGATGGCGGCGGAAACACCACCCATCATGAAGTCCGTCAGGAAACCCGACACGGTCTTACTGGAGTCACCGGCCATTTTGTTCTGGAAATGTTAGAGCTGGGCTATACCAAAGGGGGCCCGTACGTACTGGAAGAAAGAGGTGAGGGTGAAGAAAAAGAGAACTCGAGACCGAGGTCTTAAACAGAGTGTCAAACTCGGCCGGTATCTTGTAGGGCTACGGAGATTGGCCGAACATAGGTGACTGGAAGCCGTCTACGGACCCGTTTCAATGCATGTCGGAAAAATACGGTGGAGATGATTCGCGGTCAATGTCATGTGCTGGCAGTAGGGGACTTGCGTCAACCACTCATGTTTTGCTATCTTTATGTACTGACACGTGGGTATCGACCCAAAGAGGTCCAAGACATGTGGCTCGACGGTTGCTGAGGCATGCTGACCAAGATGAGCAAGCCTAAATTACCTGAGCACCACGACCGCGTTCAAGAGACCTGCATCAGCGACCGTGAGTGTCTCGTCTGTGATCGGCTTTGGCGGGAAAGAAGTACGAATGGTGAAATTTTGACCAGCCAAGTCAGGACGTTGGCTGAAATAGGTTAGGATAGTTGCATAGGATACGTACGCTTCAATGTAACGCCGAAGATCGGCGACGGTATGTGTGTGATTCAATTTGGCCACCAGCCGTTGGCCATCCGTAAGTCGTACTTGGACTTGCGTGGTAGGCTGCGAAGAATCCACATGGAGCACATCAGTAGATGCGGTGGATGCTGGAGTCGCAGCAGGTTTGGGTGCCGGCGTAGGCTCAGCACTTGGTGCACCTAGACGAACGCCTGTGCCGTCAAATGGCTTGGTTGGCGGGGGTGGGGGAGGCACATACTTTTCGTGCGTGCGACGCGCCACCATAAGTTCAACAGGCTGTCCGAAACGCACGTTGAGCAAGCTTAGCGGCGCACGGCCAGAGTTGATAGCTTGCAAAGTTTCCTGGTTCGCAGGATCATCGTAGCGCATAAGGGGCCCATCTTCAATAGAAAAGCCATCCTGCCAGAATGTCAAGTGACGAATCACAGGCTCTTCGTCTGTCTCGTCTTCGCCCATGCCACCGTCTAAGGGTGCTGCGCCAGGCATCGAGCCAAAAAAGCTCGAAGAGGCGGAGGGACGGGTATCCTGGGCCGTATCGTTGCCTACAGTGGCACCACCAATCGAGTACCCCTTGCCTGAAAAAGCAGAGGGTGTAGTCTTCGTACCGACAGCGTGTGCTGAAGCTGCTTGGGACGATGTGGCGGCCTTGGACAAAATATCATCGACGAGCGCATGGCCTGTGCCTCCGCGCTGTGAGTCAGGGTTTTCCACGTTAATACCGCTACGTTCTCCGCCAGCGAATAGGTTCATAGGATCATCGTCATCGTCATGGCTTTGTGCCTGACCAGAGCGAAGGTCATTGAATGTCATGATACCCCCAGAGCGTCCAGCAGGACGAGCTGGGCGTCCGGTAGATTTGGAGGATGAAGAGGAAGGCCAGGGTGCACTGTCTGTAATGGGTGCGCCACTCAATGTACGAGGATCGCCCGGTGCAGGTGTAGTGGTGGCCGCTGGCGCAGGGTCCACCACCTCTGACACGGTAGCGTCGCCACTCTCAAAGTACGTAGAGAGCGCTGTGGAGACGTCACCATTCGCAGCCTCAAGATATGCACGCGCCTGATCAGGCGACGCATTCGTTACGCTGATAAACTGAGCAAGAGCTTCATCCATGATGCACTGTGATGCCTACCAACAAGACGTGCAGCGCCAGGCGGCGTGTGCACGGGTCGCTTGGGGATTTATTTTTGACGAGGAAATAAGAGTGTCCTCACGCCGCGCCCATCGGCCGTGGTTGTTTCTGTGACCCAGCCATGAGTGAGTCGGACGCTCCCCAGGAGTTTAAGGTGCGACAGCCCATCAACGAGACGTTCAATGCCGGCGCTGTGAGCGCTCTTGTTGGTCTCGCTGTGAGCGCTGTGCAAAACAGCTTGCAAAAGCACAAGGCTGGTGCTATGGGTGTGTTCACCCGCACGGGCTCGACGATTGCGCTGTTCAGTAAGTAGCACTTACGGCCTGTGTGTACAGTTGCTAACGACGAACAGCTTTGGTGGGCGGTGCATTTGCATACGCTGATGCGATGGTAGCGAACTACCGCCAGAAGGAAGATGGCTGGAACGGTGCTAGCGGCGGTTGTGCTGCTGGTCTTGTCATGGGCGCAGCGAGTATGTATACGAAAGAGAAGTCTCACATTCCAGCACGCTCGATGCCTGCGATGGCTGGCTCGTGTGTCGGTCTCGGTGCTTTGGTGGGCACGTTCCAGGCGGCTGGCAACTCGCTGCTCAACCAGGCGGGTATCCGTCCAAGTGTGGGTGAGGACAAGCCAGACGCGGAAAGCCCGCTGAGCATTTTTGCGCAGGAGAGGCGTCAGCGCTTCTTCAAGGTATGTCCCTCCTCTGACACCGACATACTAACTTGAGCAGAAGCCAGCGTCGGAGTAACTGGCCCTCGTGCCTTGATAGCATAAATGAAATTCGATGTCACACTTTCTTCCGTGGTATGTAGAGAGGTCGCGAACTGGCTCGCTCTCTTTGATAGCACGCGAGACTAGACGCTAGTGCCGGGCCTGCAGCCTGTTAGGAGGCGTCGCGTTCGCCTTCACCACGGCACGAGAAAAAAAAATCGCATATTCGCCCAAATTGGCCAATTTTAGAGGACTTAGTCACTTCTACGGGGCCGTACTATCATCCCTGGTAGCCATGTGCCTCGAGCCAAGCACGCACATCGTCCGCATCGCGCTCGAGCCAACGAGCCTGGGCATGGACAGCATCCAGGGCCTGCGCAAGACTCATGTTGAAGCGGCTGGTGTTCTTTGACTCGAAGAACGTGGAAATCTCCTTTGCGTCCTTTTCCGTGGTGAAGGAGCTGACCATCGACTTGATCAAGCTAGCCAATGAGAAGTTGCCTTCGAAGCGCTTCACGAGATCGTCAAAGCGCTCCTGGAACGTGCTCCAGAGCATGCGGCGGCTTACTGGGTTGGCGGACAGGGAGCGGAAGAAGTACATAAAGTCTTGTGTCTTCACTTCGCCGCTAAACAGGAACTCCACGGTGCGCTGCAAGAGCTCTGGCTGCCTCGGCATACCCATCGCCATCATTGCCGAGTCCTTGTGAGCCGGCGTAGGCGGCTTGCGATAGATCCCCAAGACTGTCTCGTACTCCTTCTCACCGCCGTGACGCACAGCGTGACCGAGGACGATACGCAGCACGTCAGGGTGAATCAAGCTGTCGTCACCCTTCTCCTGGAGTGGCGCGAATCGCTTCTGAATCTCGTCAATCGTCCATGGATCACTCGCGGCAGCAGCGGCGCTCAGTACGGTTTCACGCAGCTCGCGCAGCTCGCTTGAGTCGCTATCGCTAAACTCAAACGTAAGCTTTCGAGCGAGGGGGCCAAACACATCCGCGCGGAACTTGTTGATGGCATTGCGCACCGACTCTGGCTGCTCCCACCAGACGCTGGCGAGCTTAGCAAAGTTCATGCTCATGGCCAAGTTGACCAATGAGCTGTTGTCGTTGGCCAACGCACGCGCGAGAGCGAGACCACCCGACGTTTTGGCGTAGCCGGCCTGTGCGAGCGTGAAGGCATCGTTGACCAAACCCACACGATCTTCCAGCGAGAAGGGACTGTTCTCCTGCGCCGCCGCCGCACCGAGCTTTTCGAGGCGCTCTGGCTGGTAAGCCACGCGATACACGCCTACCGTCTCCGCGTTAAGCTTCCAAACACTGTCCTTGGCGTTGGGCAGCGGGATCTCCATCTCACGCTCGCCACGGAGCATGAGGCTGTTGTCGGTCTCTACCTGGCCATTCTTCACGACCTTGAGGGCCAGCGGCACCTGCCACAGCGTCTCGTCCTCCTCGGGCGTTGGGTCGCCCGTCGACAAGAAGCGGTTCTGACGCACGTGAATGGCATTCTCACTCTCTGTGACAGTGAGGACGGGGAAACCCTGCTTGAGGATCCAGCTCGACATGATCGCATTCACGTCCTGCCCCGATGCCTCACTGATACCATCCCACAGGTTCTTCGTGACGGTGTTGCTGTACAAATGCTTCTTCAGGTAGATACTCACACCCTTTAGGAACACATCTTCGCCGACCATGCGCGCAAGCATGCGCAGGACACTCGCGCCCTTGGAGTACGAGATGGCATCGAAGACTTGGTTGATTGCATCCTCGACATTCTCGCCCTCCAATGGCACTTCAATGGGGTGCGACGAGCGCTTGCTGTCAAGGTCGAGCGCCAGGTTCAGGTGCGTCGCGATGAACTCACTTGCGCTCTTCCACTCTGGGAATGCGCGGTCGAGAATCATCACTTCGCCCATGAGCGTCGCAAATGCCTCGTTGAGCCACAGATTGTCCCACCAAGCCATCGTCGCAATGTTGCCGAACCACATGTGCGCACACTCGTGCGATTGCACGGAGGCCGTGTACTTCATTCCCTGCAGACCGGTCTTTTCGTCGTAGAGATACACCGACGTACGGCCCGTGATCAGACCCCAGTTTTCCATAGCGCCTGCATCAAAGTCGGAGGCCACGAGCGTGTCGAGCTTTGGCAATGGGTACGCAATGTCAAACACCTTTTCGTACTCTGGGAGCACCTTTTTCTTCACATCCAGTGCGTACTGCGCCTGATGAATGTACTCGGGCGTCGTAAAGATACGCAGCGGCACTTCCTTGCCTGTGAGGGGCGACGTGTACGAGCTGCTCAGGTGCTTAAACACACCGTTGGCCCACGCGACGATGTAGGACGAAATGAGCGGCGTCTTGGCAAACTCTGTCACACGCCAGGCATCCGAGCCCAAGGACGGTGCGTCCACCTGGAAGTCGTCCGTGTGCAAGAGACGACGCACTGCAGCGTCGTCCACGGCGTGTGTCTCGACGTCGGGCATATTCGCCAGCGCTACAGTGGAATCGCGGTGGACCATGCGGAACGTGTACGTAGCCTTGACATCCGGCTCGTCCCAGCACGGGAACGCACGGCGAGCTGAGGTCGGCTCAAACTGTGTGAGTGCATAGTTGCCTTCTTCGCCGTCGTGCTTCCATGACGACTGGTAGTATCCCATCATGCTGTTATCGATATCGCTCCAGTATGCCACTGACATGGTAAGTGACGTGCCCTTGGCGACGCGACTGGGCAGCTTGACTGTCACACGCTCGTGATCGCGATCGATCTCGGGCGTAAGCGTGTGTGTCTCGCTGCCCAGCGCGACGTGGACGTCGCTGAGCTGCAGACGCTTGCCGACGTTGAACGCAAGCACATTGGTATCGCTGTGCACATCCAGCGAGATGCTGGCATGGCCGTGGAACCGCAGTGCGTCCAAGTCGGAGAGCATGGTAAGTTCATAGTGTGTAGGACGAACGTCCGTCGGCAGACGGAACCATTTCGACTCGTTCTGGGGTACGCTCATAATAGACGCAAACCTCACAGACGTAGACGTGAGCGAGGCGGATGGAAAAAGAGTGGTTGTCGGACGCTGTGCGAAAAACGAGACGCAAATCCACACCAACGGAAGGAGGCACGTGTAAGCAATCTGTTCTAGCATACAAACCCTGGCCGGATGCACACCTTGTGGCTATATGTGCTTGTACGGCACAATGTCCAATCTGTATTCCTTACGATAGGCGCAGCACGCAGAATAGGACGACAACGAGCTAAGGATGCAGCGTATCGCACGAGATTCATCTTTCTGTCAGCCACGGGGCCACGCACCCACCAGGCCCTCGGGGGGTCCAACGTTCAGGAATCCACGCAGGAGGATGCATCACATGGCCGGTTTTGGGCCTACGGGGGACTACCGGCGGGCCATATTCCATTTGTGCCCCAGATAGGCGTGCATGGCCCCGTCCGAGCTATAGATGTGTGGAGAGCCAATCGCGCACGCTCTCTCCCGACCGCGTCAGCCAGGCCGTTTGCGCCTCGACCGACTCGAGGCCTTGCGCCAGACTCATATCGAATGTCGACGTATCGCGTGTACGGAAGAACGCACGGATGTCGTGTATATCAGCTTCACTCGATAGCGCGCCCATAGATGCACGCACGACGTTCTTGAACGAAAAGTTGCGCACAAAGCGGCGCGCAAGTTGGTCAAAGTGGGTCTTTGTGCCTTCCCATAGCGCTCGGCGACTCGCTGGATTGCTCGACAATGCTGCGAAGAAGGCAGGGATGTCTTGTGTCTTGATATCCTCGCTAAACACGTACGCCAGCGTCCGCTCGATCAGCGCCGGCGCCTGAGCCGCGCCCAGCGCCGCCATCGCTGCGACTTTGTGCGCTGGCGTCGCGGGGGCTTGGTACATCTGCCACACCGTTTCGTACGCCTCCGCCCCACCGTGCTGCACGGAGGCTTGGAGGACCGTACGTAAGAGATCCGGCGGGATCTGCCGATCGTCGCCCTTCGTCTGCAAAGGCTCAAACCGACGTGCGATCTCACGCAGGGTCCACGGGTCCCCGGCCTCCGCGGCCGCGGCCATGACAGTTGATCGCATGTCTCGCGTCGACGTAGACTCGTGAGGCTGGCTGTCCATGGTATACTGACGTGCGAGTGGGCCAAACAGCTTCCTGCGCCACTGTCGCAAGGCATCCTGCACCTCCGCGGGCTGCTCCCACCATACGCTCGCGAGTTTGCTTGCACTTTGCGCTAGCACTTGAAGTACCAGAGGACTCTCGTCGTCACGCATACGGTCCATGAGCGTGAGTGCGTCTGGTGTGGACGTGTACCCCGCCTGTGCCAAAGCAAAGGCATCGCTCAGCATACCCACTCGATCCGCTACACTCCACGACGTGTTCGCCGCGAGCATCGCATCTACATGTGCCATGGGGTACGCGACGCGGTACACCCCGATAGCATCGGCATTGAGTTTCCACAGGGCCTTCGCTGGGAGCTCAATTTCTTTTTCACGCTCGCCCGCGAGCATCATGTCATGATAGACGTACGTCTGGCCGTCCTGCACGACTTTGACGGCCAAGGGGACATGCCATAGTGTCTGATCGTCTTGCTCTGTCGCGTCGCCTGTTTCGAGGAACCGATGCTGGCGCACGATACACCCACGCCGCGTCGGTATGACGGTGAGCACAGGAAAACCTTGCTGCAATGTCCACGCAGCCATGATCGTCGCGATAGGCTTCCCGGAGGCCTCGGAGAGGCTCTCCCATAGATCCTGCGTGACCGTGTTGCCGTAGAGATGCGCTTTGAGGTACGCACTGACGCCACGTAGAAATACATCTTCGCCAAGCATTGCGGCCAGCATGCGAAGTACGCTCGCGCCCTTGGAGTACGGGATCGCATCAAACGTCTGCGTGAGTGCATTCTCTACGCGCTCTGTGTTGAGTGGTGTCTCGATGGGGTGGGAGGACCGCTTCGCGTCCAGCTCCAGAGCACGATGCAAGTGCGCTACGACAAAGTCACTGACACTGTCCCACGCAGGGAAGACGCGATTCATGACCAAGACTTCGCCCATGAACGTCGCAAACGCTTCTTTCAGCCACAAGTTGTCCCACCACATCATCGTGACCATATTTCCGAACCACATATGACCCAATTCGTGCCCAATGGTACCCGTTGCCCTCTTCAGGCCTGCTAGCTCGGATCGCTGATCGTACGCAAACACCGACGTCCGACTTGTAATCAAGCCCCAATTCTCCATGGCATTCACGTCAAAGTCGGCCACGACAAGTCCATCGAGTTTCGGGAGTGGGTACGCAATATCAAACAGCGATTCGTACAACGGCAGCTCCTTCTTCATGACGGCCAGGCCATGGCCGGTCGTATTGATGTACTCTGGCGTTGCATAAATGCGAAGTGGCACGCTACGGCCTGTGATCGGCGACGTGTACGCATCCTCCTTGTGCAGAAAGTGGCCATTCGCCCAGCCGACCAGGTAGCTGGACACTAGCGGCGTCGTAGCAAACTCAGACAAGGTCCATGCCTCGTCGCCCAGCGCTGGCATCCGCATAGATAGGCGGTGTGTATGCAGGGCGTCGCGTACGTCGTCGTGCGTCGCAGGTTGGCTGTGCTTGATAGGCATGTTGCCCAATGCCATCGTCCCATTCTTATGGATCATGCGGAACGTGTATGTGGCCTTGAATTCCGGCTCGTCCCAGCCGGCAAACGCACGGCGTCCTGACGCGGGCGAGAACTGCGTCACCGCATAAGTGCCATGCTCGCCTTCATGCGCCCAGGACGACGCATAGTACCCCCGCATCGTGTGATCAATAGGCGCTGCAAACCCAGCGGTCAATGTCACAGGGGTGCCGCGGGTGATCAGGTGCGGCAGGTCGACACGTACACGTTCCCTGGCCTTGTCGACATGGGGCCGAAGTTGGTAGGTCGTCGTGCCCGCCTCGATATGGACCATGCCGAGGTGCAAGTTCTCCCCAGCCTGAAACTGGATGGTATCCGTGTCTTGCAGCACATCCAGCGTAGCACGGATAGATCCTTGGAATTGCAACGCATCCAAATCGGACCAGATCGTCAGGTCATAGTGCGTAGGCCGCACATGCTCCGGCAATCGGAAGCGAGGCGTCGTCGTGGTCGTGGTCGGCATCATCATACTTACCCAGCCACTGTGCCACGACACTAGCTGGACCAGGGACAGGTACGCAGATACGAGCACGCTCGGGATCCACATCGGTCCAACGCCAGTCGATAGGAGCAACGTCACACGCGCGCGGGGCGCTCCTCCGCAGGGGCCACCTGATCGCCTCCACATTCTATGCCGCTACAGGAATTCATGCATGTGGAGCCATTGCTGCACATCCTCCGCATCGCGCTGGAGCCAGCGGCGCTGTGCCTGGATGGACTCGAGTGACTGCGCGAGGCTCTGGCTGTACTGCGATGTGTCTTTGTCATGGAAGAAGCGCAGGACGTCCTCGTAATCTTCCTCGCTTGTCAGGCCAGCAATGGCTGACTTGATCACATCGACGAACGAAAAGTTGCCGTCAAAGAGTCGCATCAACGTATCAAAGTGCATTTTTGTCGCTTCCCAGAGCGCGCGACGGCTCTTCACGTTGCTGGAAAGCGCCGAGTACACGTACGAAAAGTCCTGGGCCTTGACGCCGCCGCTGAACACCATCGCCAGCGTCCGTTCGATCAGGCTCGGGACCTGCGTCGAGCCCAACGCCATCAAGGCCGCCGTCTTGTGCGCCGGAGTCGGTGGGTGGTGGTAGATTCGCAGCGCCGTATTGTACTCCTTTTCGCCGCCATGCTTTACGCCCTCAGTGAGGATCGTACGTAGGAGGTCCGGGGGGATCCAACTGTCATCGTCGTCGTCGCGCAGCGGCGCAAAGCGACGCTGAATTTCGCGAATGGTCCACGAATCGCCGGCCGCGGCGGCGGCCGTGACAACGGTCGTACGGAGCTCGCGTACATCCAACGTATCGTTTTCATCGTATTCGAGCGTGAGCGACCGCGCCATGGGGCCAAACATCGCTTGGCGGAACGCCGCGATGCCCTGCTGCACCGACGTCGGCTGCTCCCACCATGCACTCGCCAGCCGGGTGAGGCCCAGCGAGGCAGCGCGGTGGACCAGCGCACTGCGATCGCCCCGCAGCGTATGCAGCAGCGTAAGCGCCGAGGACGTCGGAGTGTAGCCAGCCTGCGCCAACGCACACGCATCGCTCACCAGCCCAATGCGGTCTTCCACGGAGATTGGACTCTCTGCCTGGGCCGCGGCTTTCGCGAGCTTGGCCAGGTGGTGCGGTGGGTAGGCTACGCGGAACACACCTGTGGTGCCTGCATTGAGTTTCCAGAGCCGTTGCGAAGCGTGAGGCAGCGCAATGGCTTTGGACCGTTCATGCGCCAGCACTGCCGGCGCTTGGGGCGTAGGCGCATCAAAGACCTGCAAGCCAAGGGGGACGTACCACAAAGTCGCATCTTCGTCAGCGGACGCATCGCCCGTCTCCAGGAAACGGTGCTGCTGCACATGCAACGCGTCGTCTTTCTCTGTGACGGAAATCACCGGGAAGCCCTGCGTCTGGACCCACTCCGACATGATCGCGCTGACGTTGAGGTGCGATGCCTGACTGATGCCCTCCCACAGGTCTTTTGTCACGGTGCTGCCGTACAAGTGGTCCTTGAGGTAGAGACTCACGCCATGCAAGAACACATCCTGGCCCAACATGTGCGAGAGCATACGCAGAACACTCGCGCCCTTGGAGTACGAAATGCCATCGAACGACTGCGTCACCTCGTCTTCGACGTTATCGCCGCTGAGGGGAATCTCAATACGGTGGGACGACCGCTTGGCGTCCAAGTCCAGGGCGCGCATAAGATGCGTCACGATAAACTCACGCTCACTCTGCCATTCAGGGAATACGCGATCCAGGATGATCATTTCGCCCATGAGCGTCGCAAACGCCTCGTTGAGCCATAGACTATCCCACCAGGCGAGCGTGGCCATGTTGCCGAACCACATGTGGGCAATTTCGTGACTCATGACACCCGCTGCGTTCTTCTTGCCTTGCAGGCCGGCCTTTTTGTCGTACATAAATACCGAGTTGCGTCCTGTGATCAGGCCCCAATTCTCCATCGCGCCAAAGTCAAAGTCCGCAGCGACCAACGCATCGAGTTTCGGGAGCGGGTACGCGATATCAAACACCTTTTCGTACTCGGGCAGGACACGTGCCATAGCTTCCACGGCAAAATCAGCCTGGTGAATGAACTCTGGCGAGGTAAACATACGCAGAGGGATCGTGCGATGACGTAGCGGCGAACGAGTCGACCCACTCACATGCTGAAAGGCACCGTTGGCCCATGCCACCAGGTATGGTGCCATGCGCGGCGTCTCTGCAAATGCCGTCACGGCCCATACATCATCGCCCAGGTGCGGCGTAGGCATACGAAGCGTCGACGTATGCAGGAGCTGCGCTGCATCGCGTGCGGAGATCGTGTGCGCATGCACGCTCGGCATATTGGCCAGGGCCACCGTATCGTTACGATGCAGCATGCGGAAGGCAAATGTAGCCTTGTACGAGGGCTCGTCCCACCCGGGGTACGCACGCCGCGCCGATGTCGGCTCAAACTGCGTGAGCGCATAGTGTCCTGCCTGCTGCTTGTGTTCCCACGAGGAATAGTAGTAGCCTCGCATACTCTGATCCATCTGGCTTGTGTAGCCCAGGGCCAGGTATACGACGTCGCCCTGTCGCACAGCCGAGGGAAGCGTCACGCGTACACGCTCGCGTTTCGTATCGATCGCTGGCGGCAGCGTATACGTGTGCGAGGGCGCGACGACGTGAACATCGCTCAGGTTCAAGTTGCGGCCCGCATTGAATTCCAGGATGTGCGTATCGTGGAGTACTTCGAGTGTGATGTTGACGGCGCCTTGGAAGCGCAGCTCTGTCACATCCGAGAACAGCGTGAGGTCATAGTGCACTGGCTGCACTGTCGCCGGCAATCGATACGACGGCTGGGCGTGTTCGCACCACAGGGCAGGACGCAATGTCGCCGGGACGTACGTCTTGCTCTCATGCCATGGCGCAATGGTCTGCCAGACGGCCCATAACGTGGCGACCAACACAGACGGCGTCCACATGCCGTCGTGGTCTGTGTATGAAAAGATACGGCGTTACGCCTCCACATCTATCCATCCCTCTACGCCATGTAATTATGCTGACGCAGCCATTGCTGCACGTCGTCCACGTCGCGTGACACCCAGCGTGCTTGCGCCCGAATGGATTCGAGTCCCTGTGACACGCCGCGGCCAATGCGCTCGGTCGGCAGGCCATGGAAGAACTGCTCCACGTCTGCAGCGTCCTTCTCACTGGTAAACGAGCTCACGGCGGCAATAATTAAGCGGATAAACGCAATGTTGCCAGTAAACACGTCGACAATCTCGTCAAAGTGGACCTTCATCGCGTGCCATACCAGCCGACGCGCCTTGGTGTTGCTAGCAAGAGCCGTGACTGCGTACAGCAGGTTCTGTTTCGGCGTGTCGTCACTAAACACCATATCGACTGTGCGCTGGAGCAGCCTGGGCTCTTGTGCATAGCACAGCGCTAGCATCGCGGATTTCTGGTCCTCGGGGTCCGACGATTCGTAGAACATGCGGCGCACCACCTCATACGCACGCTCGCCGCCGTGACGTACGCCCTGGATCAGCACAATGCGCTGCAGATCAGGGTGGATGCCATGCACGTGCCTATCCTTGTACATGCGCTCAAATTCCTTCTCCATCTGACCAAGTGTCCATGGATCGTTTACCGTCGCTGCTGCATCCACGACGTTGGTGCGTAGCGAGCGCGTCGCCACCGAGTCGTCGTCTTCGTACGTCAATGTCAGGTGCTGCGCCATCGAGCTGAACAAGTCACGACCGAACCGCTGCAAGGCCTCTTGCAGCTCGGCCGGCTGCTCCCACAGCACACTCGCGAGCGCTGCCACGTTCTCATGGAGCGCGGCCTGGACAATGGCATTCGGATCGTCTTTCATGGACAGCATCAGCTCCAGTGCATGCGACGTACGCACATAGCCAGCCTGGGCCAGCCGCATGGCATCCGAGAGCAGTCCGATTCGGTCCTCCACACTCAGTAGGTCCTTGGCCTCGCCGAGTTTGCGCAGGTGCGAGGGCGAGTATGCGACGCGGTACGCGCCGATCGAGTCGGCATTCAGCTTCCAAACGACGTGGTGCGCATGAGGCAAGGGGATCTCGATGGTTCGTTGCGCTGGCAGCATCAGCTCTGTATCGATCGTCTCCTTGCCATCGCGGATCACCTTGAGCGCGAGTGGAATGTGCCACAACGTCTCATCCTCGTGCGATTTGGGCACACCTGTTTCCAGGAACCGGTTCTGTGTGACAAGGATCGAGTGCTTGCCTTCCGTCACGGTCAGCACAGGAAAACCTTGCCGATTGATCCAAGCCTCCATGATTTCGCTCACGTTCTTCCCTGCCGCCTCACTGAGGCCGTCCCATAGATCCCTGGTTTCCGTGTTGCCATACAAGTGCTTTTTGAGGTAGAGACTCACGCCCTTGATGAACACATCGTCCCCTAGTGTCTTGGAAAGCATACGAAGGACACTCGCGCCCTTGGCGTACGAAATCGCATCAAAGACCTGGCTTACCGCTGCGCCGATATCGTCGCCTTCCACCGGCAGTTCAATGGGATGCGAGGCACGCTTAGCATCCAGGTCCAACGCGCGATTCCACTCGGTCAGCAGGAAGCGGCGGTCCATGTGCCAGGTGGGGTAGAGCTGCGACGTCGCCATCACCTCACCGACCAACGTCGCAAACGCCTCATTGAGCCACAAGTTGTCCCACCACGTCATCGTGGCGATATCTCCGAACCACATATGGGCACATTCATGCGCCATGACCATGGCGTTGTACTGGCGGTTCTCCAAGCTCGAGTTCTCATCGGTCAGGAACGTCGTAGCACGACCCGTAATCAGACCCCAATTCTCCATCGCATCGGAGTCAAAGCCGACAGCGACAAGCATATCGAGCTTGGGGAGAGGGTATTCAATATCGAACATGTTTTCCAACACGGGCACCACCTCTTTCATCGCTTTCAGTGCATCGTAGGCCTTCTCAATAAACTCCGGGGTCGTGTAAATTCGCACAGGCACGGTACGTCCACTGATCGCCGAGGCAAACGAATCTTCCACGTACTGGAGGTGACCATTGCCGTACGCGACCAGGTACGTCGACATCCGCGGCGTCTTCTCGAACTCAGTCAGGTGCCATTGCTGCGATCCCCAGGACGGCGTCTCGTATCGCAGCTCGTGCATGTGCAGGAGTTGGCGTACCTCTTTGTCCCGCAGGGCGCGCGTATGGGTGCTGGGCATATTGTTGAGCGCTGTCGTGCCGTCTGCATGGAGCATACGCATACGGAACGTGGCTTTCAAGTCCGGCTCATCCCAGCATGGGAATCCATCGCGTGCGGCGGTCGGCTCAAACTGGGTGAGCGTGTAATTGCCATGCTCGCCCTGATGCGACCAAGTCGCATAGTAATAGCCGACCATGTTCATGGTGATCGGTCCATGGAAGCCTGTGAGGATTGAGACGTGCATCCCACGGCGCAGCACGATGGGGATCGAGACTGAGATCCGCTCATGCTGGATATCGCGCTCCGGCGGCAAAATGAACGTGCCTAGCGGCGTCTCGACCAGCACGGAACTCACGTCCATATCGCGGCCGGCATTAAACGTGAGCATCTTGGTATCTTCCAGCACATCCAACGATACATTGACCGCGCCGTAAAAGTGCGTCTGCGTCAAATCTGTGAGCATCGTCAAGTCGTAATGCTTCGGACGAACGTCCCGAGGCAGTCGGAGCCAGTCCGTCTCTGCCTCCTGCGTGCCAAGCGCCTGAGCAGGCGCACGCCATGCGCTCTGCTGCCACAGAGACAGAGGCCACGTACACAGGAACAGTACCAGCGTGAGCCCGGCGGACACTAGCCACATGCTATCAAAGAGGGGCGGGGGACCGTGGCGCAAGGTACCACCATCGAGCGCGTGCAGGGGCCAAGGAGGGCTCTGCCCACGTGACTCACACCTCGCGCGGCACGCGTGGAGAGGGGGCCGCGACACACGCCTGGAGGACGTGCCCAAGACGACGCTGCAGCGCGAGGACGCTAGGGTCGTTCGTTTCGTAGAAGCATGGCACGCCCAGCTAGAGTGGTGAGTAGCTCGTGTACATACCTGCTCCAATTGCCGCTGCTGCTCTGCAGCATGATCGTCCCAGCGCTGGAGCGCATCCCATGCCCATTGCGCCTGCTGCGCTTGTGCGCGGCCACCGCTGCTGTTAGTTTGGTTCGTACGTACATAGGTCCATGAGCGCCCACAATGTCGGCGCGTTCGCGGGCCAATTGGTCTTCCAAAACGTCTTGAGCGTCGCACAGCTTCGTGTCAGTTGCCTACGAGGGACGTACCTGGCGGTAGGCGCGAACAAAAGCATCGTCCTGTGTCAGATGCTGGATGCGCTTGACGGCTTGTTCGTACGGCATGGTGCGTAAGGATGCCGGCGCAGCCTGGGGGGGTATCGAAGCCGACGTGGCGGCGGAGGCAGATGGCATGGCATGGCTTGCCACGCCGTGTGTTTCCAGGTGCGGCTTCCACGGGTCGTAGGGGGTATCGGACGCGGCTTCGTCCAGATGACGAAGGTAGGCTGGCCGTTTCGGCGCTGACTTGGCCCATGGCCGTTGCGGCGCGGATCGATGCTCGACCGTGGGCGTGGACGAGGCTGGTGCTGCTGCATCCTGCTGCGCACGTAGCTGCGTGAGCAAGGCACGCACGCCGCCAGGGTCGTCGTCGGTCCACGCCATGGCTTTGTGACAGCGAGGTGTCAACGTCTCCACATGGCCAATGCGAGGAGAAAACATCGCTCGCTGGCCGTCGCATTTCCTCTTTTTCTTCTTCTTCCTCATGTCTCGTGACAAGGCACATAGCGCCGTGCAGCAGGCGGCACGACGACGACGGCCTACAGGTGGGGAGCACCAGCGGCACCGTGCGAAGCTAGCGCAGGTCTTGCATACGCCCACGGCCACCGGTGTGTTCATGTCCTGTGCGCGCGGCAAGGAACGCAAGGCCGCTCGTGAATTGGCCGATGTGCTGCGTGAGGTACGTACGGGCCTACTTATGTGAAGTACGAAGCACGTATGTACGCGGACATGGACGAGGATGATATGGATGCGCTACGGAACGGCCCTGCGCCGCCGTCGACAGCGACGACGACGACGACGACGGCCTCGAAAAGCCACAGCGGCGCGTCGCACGACGATATCGAGGCGCAGATCCAGCAAGAGCTGGCGTCGTTGCAGCAGCCGAACGCCGTCGCGTCCGCGACGCACCATGATACGCCGACACGTATCTCCGTGTTGGACACGGATACAGAGTGCTGTACGTTTCTTCGATGACTTACCGCAGTATGCTTTCTGCAATGTGCGCCGCCTGTGGACGCTCATACGCTCGCCAAGCGATTCTTGCAGGATGTTGCCACGGATGGCGAGTCACGTAGTCGATATGTGCAGCGGATCTCACCGGTACGCATCTTGTGCCGAGCGGATCTCGAGGCCATTAAAGCCGCAGCGACCAAAGCGCTGGCGTCTACGTTCCCAGCGAGCCAACCACGCACGGTAGGTATAGGCTACATTGACCTTCAGTATCGTATTGAGCCGCGCATTCGAGCACACACCTCGCTATCTCGCGACGTACTCATCCCGCTCATTGCGTCCTGTGTGCCTTCGAACGCGGATCACCGCGTCGACCTGGCCCAGCCTGACGTGCTGATTGTCGTGGAAGTGCTGCGCAATGTATGTGGTATAGGCGTCCTGGACGAGTACGAGGCGCTCGGCAAATGGAATGTACAGACGCTGGCGACGCGGCAGGGCACGGTACTGTCGCGCACGTAATTTACAAGGACGCGTCCCATGCGAGCACACGCGCCAAGGCCTGCATCTCGTCCATAGTATTGTGCGCGTGGACGCAGATCCGTATGCGCTCCTCGTCGCGTGGGACTGTGGGGTAGCATACGGCACGGACAAGGAACCCGGCGGCTTGGAGTCGCGCTGCGAGTGCCTTGGGCGTGGCATGCCGAATAGGCACAATGGGGGCCGGCGGCAATGGCAGCGACGGCCGCGGCGGCGGTCGTATACCTACCTGCTGCAGCGCATCGTGCAGGCGTTGCACGAGCTGGTGCACATGGCGCTGCCGTGCCTCCAAGTCGTTCCCCTGCCAGGCGTCCAACACGGCTTGGATCGCCACGACTTGGCTTGGTGGGAGTGCCGTCGAGTAGATCAGAGGTCGCGCATAGTTCACGAGGTAGTCACGAAGGAGCGACGAGCACAGGACGACGGCGCCTGCACAGCCCCATGCCTTGCCGAACGTCATGAGACGCGTGGTCGGGACGTCGGCCATCCCAAGCGCCGCACACACGCCGCGGCCGCCGCGGCCGTACACACCGACGCCATGCGCTTCGTCGATGAGGATATGCCGTGCGTCGGCGTGGGGTACATGCTTTTGCAGCACACGGTACAGCCGATCCAGCGCACAGATAGTGCCGTCCATACTGTACACGCTCTCCACGGCGAGAAACACATTCGTCGGCGTATGCGCGGCCAAGAGCTCCGTCAGCACCTGATCCAACGCGTCTGCATCGTTGTGTGCGAACGACACGCACGCATGAGCCCGCGAAGCGCGCATCCCATCGTGCATACTAGCATGTACCAGCGCATCGTACACGACTACGTCGCCTGGCTGCGGCAGCGTCGTGAGCAGGGAGACGTTCGCATCGTAGCCACTATTGAACAGCAAGGCATCGGGCGCTTCAAAGTAGGTGGCGAGCGCCTGCTCCGTGTGCGTATGAAGCAGCGAGTCGCCGTCCAGCAGGCGACTGCCCCCACTGCCCAAGGGTGCCTCGGACGTGCGCCACGCCTCCGCGACGCGCGTACGAAGACCTGCATCCCGCGCAAGCGACAGGTAGTCGTTGGAGGAAAAATCGGTGAGTGTAGCTAGCGTCTGTGCGTGCGTCGGATCACGCAGGTGCAGGGCCCGCCGAGTCCCACGCCGCGTACGTTGCGCGAGCGCCGCGGCCATCTGCTCGTCCAGGGCCATGCCTAGCTGTCCTGTGCGTTGGTAGCCACGTGGGAAGGCAGCGACGCCGTGGCCGCAGGTGGAGTCGTTCTGTCGTTCTGTCGTTCTGCCTGCCTGCCTGCCTATCTGTCCGTCGATGCCCAGCGCGTTTGCGTGGCGCGTCCTTGCCTCCGCTGTGCCGGACTGTACGGCAGCAGCGTACGATCCTCGGCATGCGAAGGGCGGCGACGTGTCGCCGTACATCGGTACGTCGCAGGGCCACATCTACCGAGGCGATCCATCGTCGTCGCAGTCGCTTACGCGGCGGCGCATTGACCAGCTCTGCCCCATTCCTGGCACAGCGTGGATGGCCGCGTTGTCCGGTACGTACGCACTCTTCTCACACCAGATTCGTACGTGCACCTTGTATCGACATCCGATGCCCCAGGCGAGCCATGCCGGCTGCCCCACTCCAAAGGCGCGCGGCAGATGCTCGCGGCGTCATGGCAGGAGGCCCGTACAGATACGGCGCACGCCTCGACAACGAATGCCGCGGTAGCGCCGGCGCGTGCGGTCGGTCTGCGTGGTATGGACGAGGTAGCCCGTGCGAAGCAACGAGCAACGAGCGATGTGCAAGTAAGTGCGTTGGCCATCGCATGCAAGCATAGCCTCGTCCTGTACCGCTGGCACGATGGCCAGTTTTGGGATGCGAAAATCGTAGCGTTGCCACGTACGCCGCAAACGCTGGCGTTTGCGCCGGACGGCGGCGTGGTGTTTGTCGGCTATGGCGCGTACGAATATGCACGTGTTGTCGTGCCGCCGCTCCAGGCGTCCAGCTTGGCGTGGCGGGCCTTGCCGCCTGATGCGATGACATCCACAGACTGTCTCGATACCTGCGCCTGGGACCTGTTTGCCGTCTCTCTCCCGCGCGGCACCGACGCGCCCGAGGCACGCGCGACCACCACGTGGTGGTCGCGCGCGAAGCGGCCACGGGCGTTGGGCTTAGCGCAGGATGTCCTGTTGGCGACAGATGCGGGTGCGACATTTGTTGACGCACAGGGCCGTGCGTCGCGCGCGCACAAGGCCACGTCGACGCTCGCATGGGACGCGCCGCCCTGGGCCGCCTTCTATGCTGCGCCGTACCTTGTGCTGCAAGAATCCGCGCAGCAATGGGGCGTCTTTATGGCCTCGACGTTACGTCGTGAGCAAACGCTCCAGGTGCCTGACGATGCAGGCGAGGTGCGTGTGGTGCATAGTAGCCGTGGACCTCGTGATGAGGGTGCGACATCCGTGCTCGTGTACACGTCAGCAAAGGTGCCAGGGCCTGGCACGCTATGGACATGGGACCGTCGTGCGTGGGACGAACAAGTAGAAGCGCTCGCCGCGCAAGGCGAGTACCGCGAAGCGCTCGCGCTGCTTGACGCGCTGGAGGGACCGACCGATGCGACGTGGGATGCGCGACGGCAGCATATGTGTGCGTTGGTCGGCACGCAGGCCATGCAGCAGCGCTTGTACGATGAGGCGATCGACCAGTTTATGGCGATTGATATGAATCCAGCGCATGTGCTTGCGATGTACCCCGCCTCGATTTCCGGCGCGTTGGCGCAGCCGCGCTCGCACTGGCTCGCTATGGTCGGCGCGCCGGTGCCGCCAAAGGCGGCAGCCACCACTACCACCACCACCGACGACGACGACGATACCTCCGCGCTCTCGGCGCCGGCGCTCGATGCCTTGGCGCGCTTCCTCAACGATCGGCGGCGTTTGCTGCGGCCCCTGGTCGCGTCGTATACACATACGCATCCGCTCGATACGTCGGTCCTGCTATCGCTACCTGCGTGGGCATGCCCGCTCACGTCGCTCACGCCCGAGCAGGGCATGGCTATGGCCCAGGCTGTCGACACCGCGCTCTTCCACGTCTTCCTACGTACGAAGCCGAGCTTGGTCGGACCGATGTGCCGCGTGGCGAATTGGTGCCAAGTGGCGGACGTGGAGGCTCAGCTGCGCGCGCATGGCAAGATGGACGAGCTGCTTGCGCTGTACCGCGGCAAGGCGATGCATTCCGAGGCCATGGCGCTCCTGCGAGCACGGTACACAGCGGCAACGGCAGCGGCAGCGGCAGCGGCGGACGACGATGCGCAGAGGGAGGCGACAGAGCCAGCGCTAGCGCTGCAAGCGGCCATCCAGTACTTGCAAGCGCTGGAGGCAGACCATGTGGACTTGATGCTCGACGAAGCGCCGTGGATTCTTGACGCGGCGCCTGACGAGGGCCTGGCGATCTTCACGTGCGAAGAGCACTTGACGACGTTGCCGCCGATGCGCGTCGCGCATGCGCTTGCGCAGCACGCGCCTACGTTGGCCATCACGTACATGGAGCGCGTGCTCGCTGCGATGCCTGCAGCGGACGTACCGCCCGCGCTGCCTACGTTCCTCGCGACGCTGTACCTGACCGCCGCCGCAGCGCACTCCGACGTGGCCATGAGCACGCTCGAGCATTTCTTGCACACGTCGACGTCGTACGATGCCGCGGCCGTGCTTCAGGCGATGCCCCCACGTCCGGCAATGCCGCGTATTCGTGCGTGGCTGCTGGGCCGCGTGCAGCGGCATGCCGAGGCGCTCACGCTGTACCTATGTGACCTAAACGACATGGCCGCTGCGGCGCGGTACTGCGACGTGTACGACGGCGATGTGCTTACGTTGTTCGTGCGTATCGTGGTCGAGCATCGGCGTGCATGGCTGCCTGAGGCTTTGCGTGTGCTTACGCGGCATGCGCGTCACGTCGACATGGCGGCGATTCTCCCGCTGCTCCCTGCCTCGGTCCCAGTCCAGGACGTGGCGGCGCTTTGTACACGCGCGTGGCGATGGCGCGCCGCGCAGCGGGACGAGATTCGGGTGCAGCAAGCGCTGTACGAAGCGCAAGACGTGCGGCTTACGACGCAGGTGCGCGCGCTGCAAGCGCGGCATGTGCTTGTATCGGACGGCCGGACGTGCACATTGTGCCAGCGCCGCTTGGGCCACGCGGTGCTCGCGGTGATGCCTGCGACGGGTGCGACGATGCACTACTACTGCGCGATGAAGCCGGACGCTCCAGGCGGGATATAGTTCATAGGGTACTACAACAAGGTATCATCTAGGACTCGATACGTGCATGAACGTGCACGGTCCGCATTTCGTCGCTGTTTTTCGCCTCATGGACGTACAGAGGCACTTGCACGGCCGTGGCTGCGTGGGTGCCGGCATACGCGCGTACACGGACAAGCAGCTTCAAGGAGCTATGCGCCGCGATCTGGAGCGTCAGACGAACGGCCGGCGTGTCGCGCTGGCCACTGTGCACGAGCGAGAAGGCCTGGCCCGGCTCCTCGGCGGCGGCAGGCCGAGCTGCGTCGGTGGCCGTCGCGTCCTCGGCCGTGGTGGGCATCGCTGCCGCCGAGGCCGAGGTGGATGTCGTCGTCGTCGGCGCAGGGAGCGGCACGCCCAGCTGTGTGAGCCGTTCGCGGTACTTGGCCAGTTTGTCGACGTTGCCTTTGCGGCTGGCGATTTTCAGTTTCTGGTAGAGCGTCTCCACTTCCTCTTCTTCTTCCGTGGACAGCGCACGTCGCGTCGCGGCATCGGTGCTGGCCGCCACAAGCACGTCCAGCGGCGCAGGCGCACTGTCTGCGTCCACGTTGGCTTTCACCACAAACGTGCGCTGCTTGGACGTCGTGTTGGATAGCAGCACACTTTCCGGCATCGAGATGTGCGATGGCGTGCAAGTGCCAAAGTCCAACGTCGAGGGATCCATAGCAAAGTTCGCGACTTTGCGTACGCTCGCCTTGAGCACGACCGACTGATCGTTATCGTGATCTGCAATGTTTTCAACGAGCAATCGCTCGTAAAACGCGCCGGACAGCGATGGCGAGAACGTAAAGTCCACGCCGCGCTTGCCGTAGCCCGGCACGATGCCGTAGCGCCCGCGGCCCAGCTTGATATCGCCCGACGCAATGCTGCCGCTTTTGCGGATGCAGTACCGCAACGCCCACTCGCTGCGGTTCTGAATCCAGATTTTGCGCTCACGCTTGTCGCCCTTGTCCATGTGCCCAAAGTTGATGTGTGGCTGCCCCAGCTCCATCATGCTGCGGCACACGGTCGAGCGGACCATCAGGTCACGCACAGGCAGCTCATCAATATCGCGCGCACGCAGCGCCTCAAAGGCCGGGACGCCCGACGCTCGGCGCGCATCAAACTCCAGCAGCCGCAAAAACACACGCGAATCCTGCTTTCGCGCGGTGCCTTGGATATGTGGGCGCGTGCTGCCGTGCGGCGTGTACACCGCGACTACCTGCATCACCGACTGCGGCGGGACATGCAAGAGGCCCAGCGGCACCAGCTGGCCCGTCGCAATCGCCTCGCGCAACGCCCGCTGCAAATTGATTTCCGTCCGCACGAGGCGTTCTTCGGCCTCCACATGGCGGACGACCAACGAGGAGAGCGACGATGGCTGGCTTTCCAGCGCGGCGACGAGGCCATCCAGATCGAGCGCCGCCACGTCGTGGGGGTCCGCCAAGCGGTGGGGGCCTTTCCAGAGGCCGGTCAGCGCGGGCGAGGCGCTGGGCGCCTGCGCCGGCAGCGTAGGCGCCGCTGCCGTGGCAGCGCCTACGCTCGTCGCTGTCGTCGGGCTGTGTGGCGGGCGCGAACGCGGCGCAGGTTTCACCGGGCTCGCATGCGAGCTATGGTGACTCTGGCTGCTGCTCCGACCGCCTAGGAGCTCGTCGTCGTGCCGCGACGGCGACGGCGAGGGCGCGTCGCGGTGCAGCGCATGGTGCTTGCGTGCCAAGGTCTGCTTGGTCTGCTTGTGTTCAGGCCGGAGCGGGCCCGTGGCCAAGTCGAGGTACAGCAGCGCGCGCAGCAGCGAGCGGTCGCGGAACGTGACGCTGTGGCCGTACTTGCGAGTCGCACGTCCGCGGCTGCCGCGTTTGAGGGCCAGCGCATGATGTTTCTGCCGCGCTTCAGTCGTACGTCGCACCTGCTCGGCTGCGGCCGTATGCGCCGCGGGGACCGGCGGATCGGTCGCCATCGACTCGAGAAACTGCTCCTTGAGCGCTGCGCTGCGCTCTCGCTCCGTCACGCCCTGCCGAAGCTGCGGCGCTTTGACGTACAGCTGCAAGTCCTCAGGGTGCGCGACACTCAGTTCCAGCGCGAGGGGCGTCGTGCACAAATTCTCAATGCCAAAGCTGCGCACACACGACGCGTGGATGTTCACATCGCCGAAATCCAAAAAGTTGGAGCCGGACGGCGTGAGGATGCGGTAAAAGAGCGAGTGGAAACTCACACGCTGCATATCGACATTGCGTGCGCGCACTTCCAGAATCTGATCGTTCTCGCGGTTGAGCATATTCATCACCGTGATCTGCTTGCGGTACGACTCGTTGACGCGGCGTGGGAAAAACTCCATTTTCAGCTCCACCGTCTGCCGCGCAGGCACGGTGATTTCGTCCATGTACATCGAGAGCACTTTGGACGTGAACCGCAGCATGATACGTGTGCTGAGCTCCGAGTGGTTCGTCACAGCCACCTGCGCGGATTTGCGCGCACCGACACTCGCCATGCCAAAGTCGACAATGCGCGGCGCAAGCGAGATGAACGGTGTGCAGGTGCGTGTGCGACACACAATCTCCCGGCGCTGCCGTCCGCCATGCGCGCGTGAGTTGTCGCGCGCGCACGTATAGTCCAAGTAGACTCGGAACGTGGTCGTTTTCAGCTTGCCTGCCGAGTACTCTGCATCGAGCGGCTCACGCGGCGGGCGGTACGAGACCACGACGCGGTACTGCGCACCCGGCCGCATCACCAGTTCTTCCATCTGATTGTGCTGCGACTCGCCGCCGCCACGCAGCATCGCCATGGGATCGTACAGGCGCCGCGCGCGCGGCGGCTGCGCCTTCGCGAGCGCACTGACAGAGTACGACGCGAGACGGTGCCCTGCGCCGGCGGGCGACGACGACGTGGGCGACGTACTGAGCGGCGCGACGCCTACGACGCTGCTGGGCGCCGCCCAGCCCGACCGCGAGAGGCTGTGTGTACTGCTACTCAGCGCCTGGCTCGGCGACGTAGCCGCCTCGCTGGCCGGCGACTCGTCCAGCGGCGATGGGCTTCCGACTCGCGAGCCGGCCTGCGACGCATTCGACGAGAGGTCACTGTCCTCCTCGTCGCTCTCTGTCGCCGAGTCGGTAAGGGGCCGCGTCGCCGTGGACGACGAGGTCCCGCCCAGCGGCACGTCGTCATCGGGCACCTCGCTCTCGTCCATATCGGCGTCGCTGGCGTCGCGCGGCAGGGCCTGCTCGGCCAATTGGAACGTCGCTTCGATACCTGCGTCGGTGCGGAACATGACATCGAGCGCCGCGTCGCCTGGGTTCTTGAGAATGAGCAGCTGGCGCGTCCACTGCCCACCGCAGCAATCGCCAAAATCCAGCGGGCCCTCGTTGAGGACCATCAATGCATCGTCGGTCGCAGCGCCGAGCAAATTCGCTCGGACCAACAACCGCATGGCATTCGTTACGAGATGCGCATTGCTCAGCACGAGTGTCTGCTCGAAATTCGCATGCGACGCGCGCGGCTCAACAAGCAACGAAAACGCACGTCGCTCGCGAGGCGCGAGCGGCACAAACTGCGATACTACATCGTCGCCCTGCCGCGTGTCCAGCACACACACAGGGCTATCGTCGCACTCGTCCAGGCTGCGGACCATCAAGAACGTCTCGATTGCCGAGTTGTTTTTCACGTACACTTGGCGCGTGACGGTTTGGCCGACCATGACGTCGCCTACATCGGCGACCCATACGCCATCGCGGTCGGTTTGCACAGGCTGGGCCTCGCTGCCCCAGTCAAACTCGAGATGCGGCTCACAGGCATGCACGGCCATCGGGAGATGGAGGGTGTGCGAGGTCGTGTCGTTATGCACATGCAAGGCCAGCGACAGCATCGTCGCATGCGGCTCCTGCGGGTCCGACACGCACGAGGACGCCGCCTCGGTGGGGCCCGTCGCGCGGTCCAGCCGACGTACGCACACCTCGACAAATACATCGGCCGTCGCTCCCGGCGCTAGTGTGAGATGCGTGCATGTATCCAGGTTGGCCGCCCAGTGACGTAGCGCACGTAGCTCGGTCGGCTGTAAACCGCCATGCTGGGCCCACGCCACTGTGTTCGTCGCGTACGCTGTGGGAATCGTCGTGCCAGACGACTGGACCGACGCACGCAGCTGCGCAAGTCGGACGCCGTCAATGCTGGGCGGTACGTCGACCTGCACAGTCGATGCACAGGGGTTGCGCAACGTCATACGATGCAACGATGGCATCTCGTTGTCGTACACATGATCAAAGTGCAGCGTCGGTGGATCGCATACCAACAAGGGTTCAGAGGCGGCGGAGGCCGGTGACGACAGCCACGGAGGCCGATCTGCCGCCATGCTGCCTTGCCACAGTGTTGTGCTGTGCTCGCCTACGGCCACACGCACCAAGGTCGAAGGCACACGCACGCGTGGAGGGTGTCGCACTCAGCCGCGGTTCGCTTCCCCTGCGTAACGGCTGCGTGCATCCACCCAGAGACACACAGTCGTTTCGGCCGATCACCGTGCGAACTTGACACCCTGTCTGGCCTGCCCGGCCACGGCCTCCACTTGTAACGTTTCATACACATGTTCTACAGGCTGTCTTAGATATAGTAGGCGCTCGCGTCGGTTTTGTACGCGGCCGCCGAGAGGCGTTCGTGTGTCATATCCGAGGACATCGGCGATGGCATGTACATCACACGACTGCTTTCCACACGTGGCATCGCCTTGAGATCGTTGAGTTCACGCAGGAGCGCTTTATCGTGCGCTCGTCGCTCGGCCGTCGACATGTTCATCATCGACGCCGCAGGCTTTAGTGGCAACACACGCGCTGTCGCACTGCGTGGTGGTGGTGGCGCCGGCTGCGTCGTCGCCATATGGTACGCGGCCAACCGCGCTTGCAACTTGGCATGCGACTCTGCATTCGCGGCCACCGCCGCTTGGGCTGCGCGCTTGCTGGACGGATCCGGCATGAACGGCGCGCTGGGCGGCTTATCCCACACGGCCATACGCGTCCGTGTACGCTCGTTCGTGGCACGCGTTGCCGTCCGCTCTTTCTCTGCGTCGCCACCGCTTGGCGCAGACAGCAACGACGCACGCAAGGCGGCGACATTGTTCGTGCTGGGCGGCGTAGGCAGCGTGCGTGTCCGTCCGCCTGGGGGTGTAGGTAGCGGCTGTGTGGGTTTCGGCGCGCTAGGCAAGGCGCGTGGCGCTGTTATCGCCGTACGCGCCTGGGGACGTACGGCGTCTGGCACATGCACTTCCGGCACCAGCGGCGCGGCGTCCGTGTTGGCCTTGGCTGGGCTCGCTTGCTGCGATAAAGACGTGGGAAGAGGCATCTCGGCCTCTTCGTCCTCGTCCTGCAACAACAAACTCTGTTCGGATCGATTGCCCGCTGCCTCGTACAGCTGGTGCGCCTTGTCGAGGCTGGACGACGAGGACATGGACACCAAACCTTCCACAGAGCGACTCTTGCTGAGCGACGGGCGTGCCCTGGCCGGTGAGAGCGACTGCTCCCACGCCTTGGCCACATCCCCTACGCGTGTGGAGCTCGGCACGATGTCTGAAGCGCCCTCGCGAGGCGGCGTAGCAGAAGACGTAAGGCTGCCAAGCTGGACATAGCCCTTGGCAATATCACTCGGAAGGATCCCACTGTGACGGGAGCGTGGCTTGGCCTCCACGCTCGTTCCTGACGTGCTTCCCCTCGCACGGACCGAAGGCTGTGACGACGCAAGGGAGCGTGTCTCGGTCGGTGTCGCAGGACCGGTCATGGCATCGTCACTCCCGCTCATGTCCTCGTCTTCCTCGCTCTGTGCGACCAGCGAAGCGAGCTTCTCGATCATCGTCGCTTGCTGTCGCACACGCTTCTCCCAGTTCTCGACACAGGCCGTCAAGGTATGAATATGCGTTTGCTGCTGCGCGACCACCGCACGCAGGGACTGCAGTTCCGACGCCTCTGAGGGGCCAGGCACCATGGCCGACGATGCTGACGCTGCTAGGGCCACTGCGCCCGTGTCGATGGATTTCGAACGGAGCGGTACCTGCGGCGGCGCTACGCCACTTCGCGCTTGCATCGGCGATACACGTGGTCGCTCCGGCAGCGACGTCAAGTCGCGCATAGCCTTTTCTTCTGCTAGCGCCCGTTCCAAAGCACCAATGCGTGCTTGCAAGTGCATCGCTTCCTTGCTTGGACTGGCCGGCTCAGGCGTGTTGCCTCGCGTCGATACCAGCTCACGGAACTCCCGATGTGCTTCATCTGTCGCGTGCTCTTCACGCAGCCGCACAAGCTCTTTCTCCGTGCCGCGATTCTGTTTCTGGGCCATCTGTGCAGCATCACGCCATTCTTGCACTTCCGCTTCGAGCGCTTGGATCGTGCGTTCATGAACGTGTCGCTCGGCCTCTCGCTCTGTCTGTACGTCTGACAACTGCTGTCGCAACTCGGAGATCGTCTCTGCCTCGCTGGCGGTCGTCAATGGCCATGCACGTGACGGCAAGTCACTCATCCGTGGCCCACGTCGCACCGGCGATGCAAACGACTCGCCGTTGCTCAGCTCCAACACAGGACGTGTCGGTGTCATGGCCGCGACAGAGCGGCTGGTCAGAATAAGTCGTGTAAGGTGATCAATCTGACGACGTAGATCCTGTCGCGTCTCTTCCATCTCGGCCACTTCTCGCGCAGCCGCTGCACGCTCTTGCTCCCAATCAGAGGGCCCAGGCGTGCGTGGCGGCGTCGTGATCTCCTGATCTTCCTCTTCCTCTTCGCCGCTTGACGACATGGACGCAGATGCCAAGCGAAGACGGAGCGCTTCAATTTCTTGACGGTACTTTTCCAACAGCGCTTTATCGTCGACCAAGGTCTGACGCTGTGCCTTGGTGACCACCATCTTGCATCGCCGTCCAAACTTGAGTGTCGATAAAGTCTCTTGAGCTTGTGCTTTGGAAGACGTCACCGTACAAATCACGGCCACACGCGCATCTCCGCTCAGCGATGTTTGCAAGAGTCGTGTCAGCTTCGAATCACGGTACGGAATATGTGCATCGGGCGCTGTACTTGGCTCTGTGAGCTTCGCAATCACAGTGCCCAGCGTCAATAGGGACTTGTTAATAAAGGCACCCTCTTTACGACGTGCCAGCTCCGAGGCTGCGCGCTCTGAGCCGGCCAAATCGATCAGATTCAGCTGACTCACCCGCACAGCCGAAGCCGTGCCCGAGGCCACTGCTTCTTGTTCACGGCTTTCGATCGTGATTTGAAACACACAGTGGCTTCGGCTACTGCGTGTGTTCCAGTCTGTGGCCCCGACACGTCGAGAAGCTTGGCCCTTTTCCAGCAAGGCCATGACTTCTAAGGGCGATGTAACAATCTCCTCATGCATGCCACTCAACACGACACGCCCCTTCTCCTCGAGAATCCGAGGCGGCCGCGCATGACTTTGGCCATTGATCAACAAATCCCGGAGTGTCTCGTTGTAGATCTCAAGGTACGAAACTCGAAGCAGGTACTCTCGCGTCGGCTCCTCTCGAATCATCGAGAACACATCCTTGACAGCACGAGGGATCACACCTGGCTCTCTCTTTGTACCAGTCATCGTATAGGTTTTACCACTCCCCGTCTGGCCGTACGCAAACACAGTACCATTGTACCCTTCCATGGCAGCACGCACAATGGGGTACACATTTTTATCGTACAGTACACTGGTGCTTTCGTGGCCAAGAACCAATGTATCAAAACGGAAGTCGTACGTAGAGAGTCCATTCATATTTGCGTCGTCCTCGTCGCCTCCCATGCTGCTTGAGCTTGCACTGCTAGCACCCAATCGACGTGCAAGCGATGGGTGTTGCTCGGTAGGCATCATACTCTTTTGCTCTTTATCCAACTTCCATAGGCCTGCATCGTCTTCGCCTTCCAAAGGGCGGAGACGCACACAGACCGCCACATTCTGGCGCGGCCCACCACTGCCAGTCGCGCTCACGTCGTCGGCCATGGGTGGCATATGGCGTGAGAGGCAAAAGGCTCTCTGGCCTCGTGTTGATGTCAAGACCTCCACATAAAGCAACATCTACTTAGGTCGTGTTTGGCTCAACGCGCCATGGGGCCAGTGTTGCTCTAACTTCCTCCACCCGCGGCGTGTGTTTTGCGTCCCTCGCTCTGCGTGGGTTTGCTTGGATTGCCACTCCTTGTCTATACCCTATTGATGGACAAAGAAAATACAGAGCCGTTTGTGGCACCACAAACGCCTCATGCTGTGCGGAAACGCAATGCCGCGCTGAACGATACCAATGCTGCTCCCAAGCGCGTGCAGCGGACCTACAAGAGTCAGCATCCGTCCGCCATTCCTTTCCAACCGAGCCACAGAAACCCTATGTCTCCGATGCATGGGCTGCTAGATCATATCGAGTCACTCTCTCTGGATCCTCACACACGTGAGCGGATTGTCGGCATGCATAAACAAGCATCGGCTGCCCCGCCAATCGCCCACCGTCGCCGATCCATCTTGCGTTGGCTCCGTACATCACGCCGTACGGCTACGCAGCGTATGACACCCTCAGCTTGTGCTTATCGCTTGAGAATCCCGGCCAAACAGCTGCCTCTAGAGCCGGTGCGTCAGCTTCGCGTCGCGCTCGCCTCAGAATCGCCTGCCTGGGTCCATGGATTTCTGAGCTGTGGAGGCTACCAGTGCCTTCTTGCTCGCTTGGGTGAGCTGCTTTCCATGGAATGGCGCGAAGAGCAGCATGATGATATGCTTTTATACGAGATTCTTCGCTGCATGGTTGCTTTGGGCTCATCCGAAGAGGGGTTGCGAGCCATGGTATCACAGGCGCCGGCGCCGTACGAGCAATTGATGGTATCGTTACTAACAGGCCGTTTGCCCTCCGACCTCAACACGCGGCGTATGGTAATAGTGTTACTTGCCCAACTACTTCCCCAAACTATGCCGACGGACGTTCTTGCGCAGCGTATTGTACACACTGTACCTGTCAACGAAGCACCATGCGTCGAGGCTGCGTCAGGTAAACATGATGGCGCCGTGTTCGCAGCGATGCTCTTGCACACCAATCGTCCTGCTGCTTTGGCCTCCAAAGTGGACTTTTTGCAGCGGCCATCCGATCACAAACCTCTGCGTGCGTTGGTTGCTCAACTTCATCGTATTTGCTCCGAATTCTTCTGGATTTTCTGCCATAAGGAAAACAAGGCTTGGGATTGGGAGACTCTCGACTTGAAAACCGTCATGGCCCCCCAAGTACCTAGCGGGATGACAGGCAGTGTGGAATGGGAAGCCATTTTGTACGTGGAAACGACTTTGCGTCTCCTTAACGGCATTACACACTCTTTCCTGTCCACTCATCCTGCTGCTGCTCGCGTGTGGATGCAGGAGCTGGATGAAGCAAACTTGGACCAGGTGCTAGAGGCCCTGCAACTCGCTTCACAGGCGTATTACACGGCTATGCATGCTGAACTTGCTCATTTCTACGCGCTTCGTCGGCAGGTGGACACTACAGCTGCATCTTCTGCTCTTCCTCTCGCAACAGCGGCCCCGCCGTCCGTCGCGTCGGAGGCGTCACAACCGCCTAAGGCATCCCCTGTACCACACCAGGCACCTTCCTTCTTCTCTCCCATGTCATTGCCGGTGTCCAGGCCCGCCTCTTCCATGTCCTTCGACATGCCGAAACCACGGGCCTCGAGTCACGGTACTGTGACGCGTGTACGCCATGTGAGTGTGGAACGTGTCTCGATCCCCATCACGCCCCGCATACCCTCTACTACCATGTCACAAACGGTAACACCGCCAAGGGATCCGTTATGTGACATTGACCTCACTCCTATACGATTTTAAGTACATATAGTTGTAAAGTTGACGAGCCTTTCCCTCTGAATTGGTGATTCGTCTGCGACAGGGCCACCAAAAGTGGAGGGCCCACGTTGGCTCCATACAACGTCACCTCCGCACCGCTGGCACGACGCCTTGGATGATGAAGTCGCCATTGCTGGCCATTTTGTTGGTACGCTCATCATCCCGAGGTACCAACATTGTATTTCAATGGCCTACAAGGATCAAACGGCACAAGAAGAAATCACATATGCGGTATTACACCAATGATGATAGCGAAGACGTATTTGAGGATCCCATGGCGACCCATAATGATAGCGAGTCTGATACGGACGACTCCAACTCTGATGCTTATTCATCTTCATCGGAAGGCAGTTTCAACGAAGATGCTGTTCGTCTGCGTGTTGATGATGACGATCGTTTGGATCGCGATCTAGGGCCGAGCCGACTGCAGCGCGATGTGGGCAGTAGTCAGAGCTTGCGTGGGAGCCGTTTCGGGGCCCGCGGTACATCGCCTGATATGCGATCATCTGCCATACGCAGTAGGAGTGCATCACGGCCTCCACGAATGTCGGCATCTTCCTATGCCTCGTTCGAAAGAGAGTACGAGGAGAAGCGCTTAAGGAGCTTTACTACGTGCTTGGACTTTGACTCGGAAATGCTAGCCTCGATTCTTACGCCTCGTATTGAACAGTGTCACCAGCGCTTTGAGTTGTCTGTGGATGATATTACGTACTTGGGCCACCCCGTCTCCTATACGGAAAAATCGGAGGATCCCAAGAGCAAGCATGCCACAATTTTCAACGTGGTTTTTGTGTTCGACCGGTCGAACATGTATCCCTCCATCCCTGTGATCAATCCTGTCACATGGTTTAACCTGTTCTATTCTATTCTTTTCAAGCTTACTGCCGTGTTGGCCGCAGAAGAGTTTCGATCCGGTTACATGTCAGAGCAATGCTTGGGCTTGATTCGTTTGCGGGAGGAGTTCGCGCAGAATGGATGCTGGTACCGAGACTTTTTGCACAGTGCCTTGGACTCATTCACACTTGCAGGAACGTTGAAAGAAGCTTACCGTGGCATATCGCGGCATCGGAATGTGGAAATTGAAATCAACAACTCGTTTGATCTCAATCTACAGCTGCCTCTTATCCTGCGCCATCCGGAAAAGGCTATGTGGGCGGATGAAGTGCAATGTGTCTTGGACCCGCACGATCCTATTGTCATCCGCGGAGATGGCCAGGAGCCACGCGATATGGCGAGCATGACGAGTATTTCGAGCCAGAATGGTGGTTACTTGGAACCTGTGTTGAAAGAATGGACACGCACTACAGGTCCGTTCTTGCGGCCATGGCAAACGCTGCTTCTGCCTGAAGAGGCGTATAGCTCCGATACGGATGCGACGATATATGCGTCTACACGTGCCTTGATTGATCTCTTTCGGCCTACTGTGCGTGGCAGTCGTACGTTCTTGCAGGCGGCTGAGATTCTCGGCTGGGATCTGTACAAAGACGTATATCCTATGGTTCGTCATTTGATTTATTACTCCAATGCCCCTGTGATCAATGTGCCACGCATTCAGAACATCTATGCGATTAACCCCACCTTCAATACTAATGACCTGGCGGCACTATCGGAAGCCTGGGCTGTTCGATTTTCGCAGTATCAGCCCCTTCCACAATTTCTGGCGCGTGTATCGTCGGATCTCAAGCCATTTGTGTCGCATTGCGAACACTTGCCTTCCAACTACTTTCCCCTTGACTTGCTGCTATGGCTCTTGCGCCAAGGCGTACTCATCCAGATGCATGTGCACTTGCGCGTAGTTATCACGGCCAGTGATCAGCGACGGGCTGTGGAGCTTCGTCGTGAGCGTCGAGAGCGTATGCTACGCCGCCGTCAAGAGCCTGGTGTGGATAGCGGGCACGAGTCGGATCCAGAAATTCTGACGGAGAATCTCATTAAGCAGATGGACAAGGGCATCAGTGTCCCAGAGCGGCCTGTGATAGAGCGCAGGCACTCGCGACATTCACGATGCTCGCGCAGTGCTTCGAGCTCGAGCATCAGCAGCTCGGACGAGGAATGGCCATCGGGTCATTTGTCGTACAGTCGCAACTCGGATTACTTCCGGTCTGAACTGCGCTCCAAAGTTCGCCAGGGCTTAGAGATGGATGATGAAGATGATCGCATCGATGACCTTATCCCGAACGGCGTGCCGCAGCCTATTGTGATTCCAGAACCTTCCCGCGCGAATCGTACGGAAAGCGAGTGGCTATCTGCTATGTTTAAAGGGAAACATCCATGGTACACACGGTGGTTGATCCGCCTTTTTCCTTATCTGAATGGGCGCCATAACATTGATGAGATTGTGGCTCGAGAGCGCATTCGCCGACGCGATCTCAAGCTCATCATGACGGAATTCGACGCGAACCTTATCCACTTTTACCATCCGTAGTGTTTCATGTATATATGTGGCCTCGGCCGACACTACGCATGCAAACCGACTCAACCTCCGTTCTGTGCGTCACTACGCGACGCGACTCGTGTTGGTTTCCAGGGCCAGTGCATGGCGCCTTCGATATGGCCGAGTTCGCAGAGTTTGATGATGAGATAGACCCGGCGCTGTTGCAGCAGCTAGATGTTATCGAAGCACAATATATCGGAGCTCCTCCAACGAAACAGCCACTGCCACCGCCACCGCCGGCTGTACCAAAGCCGGCGGCGACGCGGCCCGTCCAGACAACACCGTCGTTCGACCCATCTCTCGAGGCTTGGCTCTTGCAAGGCTTTGACTCCATTGATGACGAAGTCGAGGCAGTCCCTTCTCCTGCGTCAGCCCCTCAACCGGCCCCGCAGCCTCTGGCCGACCGGACAAACCGACCTTCCACGGTTTCGGCGGCCCATGCGAAACCTGCTGTGCTCACGCAGCAAGGCCTTTTTGGTCATACACCTCGTCCAAATGCACCTATATCGCAACGTTCCTCGTCTAGCGCGTCATCACAGCCTTCGCAGGCACCTGCTGAGGTCCATGCGTCCCAAGGCCACGTCTCTTTAGCTCCTGCGCATTCCCTGGTCCATGGCCTGCGCATAGGCAAGGTATGGGACAACCGCATCTTTGTCGAGCAGCAAAATCGTGTGATCAAACGTAAGCCGGACGAGGATGACGATGAAGAAGCAGCAGCGATGTTATTACAGGAGCCTCTGCCGCACAGCTCCCCTCGTCCTATGAAGCTCGTGTTTGATCGCGAGCAGGGTCAGTCCTGGATATACCCCATCAACAAACCGCTTCGTGACTACCAACTGAATATCGTACGCAAGGCTTTGTTCAAGTACGTATAATTTCACTCACATTAGCAATGTCCTTGTCGCTTTACCTACCGGTCTTGGCAAGACGTTCATTGCCGCGGTGGTCATTCTCAACATGTTTCGCTGGTTCCCAGACGGAAAAATCATTTTCGTGGCGCCTACGCGCCCTTTAGTCACACAGCAGCAGCAAGCATGCCATAGCATATGCGGCCTGCCATGGGACACAGCGATTGAACTTACCGGGTCTACCAAGCGCAGTCTGCGCGACGACGAATGGCACATGAAACGTATTTTCTACATGACGCCACAGACCTTTGAGAACGATCTGTTATCTACGACGTGCGATCCTCGTGATGTCGTCTGTGTCGTCGTCGACGAAGCTCACAGAGCGACTGGCAACTACGCGTACTGCAAAGTCATTCGGCATCTTATGTACTACAATCCCCATTTTCGCGTACTGGCACTCACAGCGACGCCCGGCAACAAGGCGGAGAGGGTCCAGGAAGTGGTAACGAATTTGCATATCAACCGAATCGAGATTCGGACTGAGGAAGCGCTTGATATCCAGCCGTATATCCATGGGAAGAAAGAAGAGCTGGTACGCGTTTCTCTAGGTGCTCCACTTGAAAGTCTACGTGCGACCTGGGGCAAACTCATGGTACATTATTACGAGCCTTTGCAGCGAAATGGCATTTTGCGGCCCTGCGATCCACTCCAACTCCGTTCGTTTGCGGTACGATCGGCGGGGAGTGATTCACATGGACGTGCGATTCTGCAAAGTCGTCCGTTCCTGCGTGGTCATTTGCAGCAGCTGGCCAATATGGCCCTGATTACACAGTACCTCTCTGAGCAATCTGTGCGTGTGTTTTGTGAAAGGGCTATGGCGATGTCGAGCCCTGGAAAAGGGCGTACGAAGCGTGAGCAGCTCTTTTCTACATCCAATGGGGAATTCCGGGAGTTGGTCGAAAAGATCGAGCACGTCCAGGCAGATGCGCATCTCCTCTTGCACCCCAAAATGCACAAACTCCGGGAGGTGTTGATGAAGCACTTTGATCAGCATTGTATCCGCCAACTTCAGCACGAAGAGACACGCCGCGAGACGCGTGCCATGGTGTTCTGTTCGTTCCGCGAAGTGGTTACCGAGATTGTCGATATGCTCAACCAAGCGGGGCTGTCATCTACGCCGTTCATTGGCCAAGCGAGTGATACGAAAGGCAATCGTGGGTTCACCCAAAAGATGCAGGAGCAAGTGATTCGCGACTTTCAGCAAGGCAAATATCAAGTCTTGGTCGCAACGTCCATTGGCGAAGAAGGCTTGGATATCGGCGAGATTGACCTGATTGTCTGTTACGATGCTGTGCGTGACTCGGTCCGCGGACTGCAGCGTATCGGGCGTACAGGCCGTATGCGTGATGGGCACGTTGTGGTACTGATGACAGAAGGTCGAGAAGAAAACAACTGGGCACAGTCGAAAGAGTCATACAAGAGTGTGCAGCGCTTGGTCAACTCTGCGAATATGATTGAGCTGTACACGGACGTATCGCGGCTAGTCCCTGACGCCGTAAAACCCAAGCCTGTGATGCAGTGCGTCGAACAGCCTCCGTTTGATCCATCTGTGCTCAAACCCGCGCCGAAGCCACGGCAACGTGCGCCTCCCAAGAAACGTGGACGTGCTGTACCGCAAGGCGACCTCTCGCGCTTTTGCTCGGCGGCTGAATTGCATCGTCGCGACGAGCATCGTGAAGAGTCTCTTGCGCCCGTCTCACACGTCCCTGCCGAGAAACCAGCCCCATCGTCGTCCCGCAGCTCCACCTTGCTACGGTCTTCGTCGCTTCAAGGCACTTCCAATCTCTCCGACGATTCCGATGATGCAGAGCTTCATGCAGATGTGTCTACCTATTCATGGTCATCCAGTGACCGCTCTGGGACCGACGCACCTCGTCGGCATGCGCCTCATCCCCTTATCGCCGAATTGGATCGAAACGAGGCTGCAGATGCAGCCCCACCACCTTCACCGTCCCTCGCTGTGCCTCCATCGCCCTCTCTCTCGCGATCCAATCCCGACCCGGTTTTGTCGTCGCCACCAGTGCAGCGTACACCGCCTCCGAAGCGTGGACGGGCCAAGCGACGTCGTATTGGCGCCTCGCCCACCAGTCGCCTGCTTTTCTGCCATGAGGCAGAGCGTGAGACCGACTCGGAGGAGCATGGCGAGTCGGATGAAGACGATGATGGCCCGTCGTCCTCTGAAGAAAACGATGAAGACCGTGCGCATGTGGGCGACTTTGAGGCGACTCAGCAAGAAGGCTACAACCAACAAAGTGTATACTTGCAATCCATGCTCTCCCAAAATGCGCCTACCCCCTTCCGACGTCGCGACCGGCTGGAATCCCTGCTCCGCCGACGTGATGCGCTTCGTCCCTCGTCTGAAGGCGAGGCGCCATCCATGGACGATTATTCCCAAGACTCTTTTGTGGTGGGCGACGACGAAATCTCCTGGGCCTCATCGCAGGAAAGTATTCTTTTATAGTCTAGACTTGTATTATATGCGTGTTTATGAAGAAGCCGTATCCAGAAGCAAGACGCCTTGCGTCTTGGTACCCATAGCGCCAAGGAGGTCTGCACGATCGCCTGTCGTGAACGAAATCACGGCCGAGGAGCCAGAAAAGATGGTATTGCCCTCCTTGCCAACGCGATTGCAAGCAATGAAACAAATTTTGTGGCCGTCGTGTTCTGGCTTGGACATGCCTGGCACCCACAGCGGGACACAGCGAGCGACCCAGTAGTGGATGTTGGCCACACAGGGCTGTGCATCGTTGCTAGTGCCAATTTCATAGTTCTCTACCTCCTCTTCCGGCAGTAGCCAATTCATCGGCATCACGAGGTAGTCGACTTTGTTACGGGTGCAGTACTTGGCCAGCTCGTACTTATCAAACTCGCCTTCCAGTGTATAAGGGTTCAGATCCATGCAGATGGCCACACATACGCGACCAATGCTAGGGAGGTCAATGTATTCGAAGCCCGTGCCTTCATCGGCCCATGTCGTGTCGGTTTCGTACAAGAAGTGTTTACGGAATACCTTGACAAGGGCGCCCGAGGAATCGACCAGCATGGCGGAATTGAAAGCTTTGTGCTTATGTTTCGGCAAGTAGGCCGAGGCACTTTCTGTGTTCATAGGTGTGCGTGCATCAAATTTCGAGGAGGCGTCGCCCACCTCCTGAAGCGCTCTGGCACTCGCACGTTCAGGAAAGCCGGCAATGACGTAGCATTCACATCGCTTCGCTAACGCCTTGGTCAACGACAACGTTTTACTATCCCCAGCAAATGGGTCCTCCAAGAACGGTTCGATGTCGTCCAAGCTGTCGAAAATGTATCCTAGTGGTAAGCGTCTTTCCCTCTTGCCACACGTACCTGTCAACGCCATCTCAGGCAGGACAATCAAATCCACTTGTTCCGGCTGAAGACTGCGATGTTAGTCGCGTTGAAGGACATACCTCTCGGTGAGCGTTTGCACAGACTCTGCATTCTTCTGCGGTTGCCGGCGAACAGGGTCAAATTGCACACATGCGACACGCATCGTGGGGATCACACCGACGCTGTCGAAGCTGCATCGCGCACTGGCCCGGTGTGGAGGCGAGGGCAGGTGACCTCGTCACGTCCGGGCGCCCAACCCGCTGGAACGACGTGCCTCTCCCACCTTGGACTGGCCGGGCAGGCAGCGCAGGCTATGCCTTACACACCTCCACTTACCTACGGCTTGCCCCTGGCGATCGAACTCCTGTGGCAGTATGGTGTCGCAAACTGAGCTGGAGATCGCTATTTATGCCAAGGTCGGCGATATCCAAACCCTCTTCGTATCCGATGTGTCGGGTGGATGTGGCCAAGCCTACGATGTTGTTATTGTGTCCAACCAATTCGAAGGCAAATCCACACTGCAGCGTCATCGATTGGTCAACGATCGCTTGAAAGAGGAAATTGCTTCGATGCATGCCTTCTCGCAGAAAACATATACACCGAAACAGTTTGAAGATTTGCGCTCCAAGGTCGCACGGCAAGTCCCAGCTTCTGCACCGGCAGCGGCAGCAGCTCCAGCTTCTGCGATCCGGACAGAGGATGTGGCTCCGCCCTCGGCCCTCGCGCCGGCGCCATCGCTGACCACCGGTCCGCCTCTAGGTGATACGGCACGGTCGTCTCCACGTCTCAGCGCCTCGACTGCTCACCCAGCCACACCTGTGCGTGCTCCGGCCATCACGATTCCCACCTCTCAGGAATCTACGGATTCGGTCATGGTGCCTGAGCTCACACTTACCCCCGTCACCTCTTCTCGACCGTCGTTGCGCTCTTCTCGATCGTCCAGCTCCAACTCGGTGCCTGTCCCTTCATCGACAATCCCCTGCGAAGCCAGTCGGATCTCTCGCTCCCATTACTCGCAGATTGCCAACCCCGCATTTTGGCTGCACTTGCGGCAGCTGCTCGAGCAAGAATGCATGGGCGTGTCGAAAGAGACCCTATCAAACGACCGTGCCTCCGGACCAGGGGATGCAGAGGTGGAAGCTCTTTTTGAAGACTTTTTCTTAAGCCAAAAAGATTATCTCACGGCAAATGACATTGCGCGGATTCGCGATGGGACAGGCATGTTCGGTATGTCTGGATAAAGTACAAGACAGTTTCGTAGCTACGTGCTTTTAGAGCGCCAATACGCTTCGGATGCTAGCCATAGGGGAATAGAAGGTACAGAGGTATCTAGCCATTGTTGATACGTGGTGGCACGTTCCGCAGGGGCGCAGGCCGCCAGCGGCGCGACGCTGGGAGGTGAAGACGTGGCTGTGGATCGGGCGCGTTTGGCTGTGCGAACAGACGGCTCGGCACGCCGTTTGCGCAGCATGCGATCCAGGGTCGCATCACTCCACTTGCCTGTAGTCGTGCTCACACCTGAGCCGTCGATCCAGCGCACAAAGTCGGCCAAGTCCTCATCGGACGACACTTGCTGCCGTAGACAAACAAGACATCCAATTGTCGTGGTCTGTGCATCATAGTGTGACGTGCGAGCATATGGCGTGCAAATCTGGATAAGGCATGCAGCTGCTTGACACTGAGGACATACCACCTTGCGCTGCTTGGGCATGAAGCGGTACCTAAATCGCCCTTCTAGGGCTGTAAGCCATGTAAGGAGACACGGCGGGAGGATCAAGGTACGCCTGGCTCGTGTGAGGGCGACATACATATGATTCAATTCATCTTGCGCGAGCCATTGTGCCACTTGGGGTCGTAAAGCACCAGGCACACAGGCTTGCAGTGTCGGCGAGAAGTCGTCAGCTACAACGACGCAGTCCCATTCTAGCCCCTTGGCCTGATGAACCGTGGTAAGAATCACGGCGGCGTCTTCTTCTTTAGCACAAAACTTGCCGCGCAAGCCATCCACACGCTCCATAAAGTCCGGGGCAGAGATTAACTCTTCTAACGAGAGCACAAGATGCAACTTGGTATTCCCGCCTTCTTCTGCTTCGACATGCTCTGTGAGCTCTTTCCAAGAGATAAAGTCACGAAGGGGCGATGTGTGGGACACAGCGTCTGGCTGATTGTGATACAGCCTATGAGCGTCACGCAGCAGCAGGGTGAGCGCTTGTACAGTAAACGTCTGGCTCATTTTGAGGTACATAGATTCGGATGCAGGCAATGTTACAGCCAATTGCAGCATATCTCGAGCTAGTAGGGCATTGGTACGATACACGCACGTATACGGCTTAGGCATCACACTCGGACGAACAAACACCTCATCGTGATCATGTCCCGTGAGCCGAGGCCGGGGCCATACACCCATACTCTGCTCCTGGTACCAAGGGGGAGGCGCTTTGAGGCGTAAGATCTGCGTCGCGATACGTGCGACTTCCGGCCCAAAACGGAAACTTTTGGTAAGTTGAAAGGTTTTCGTGGATGGGTACAGTCGCTCGTGAAAAGCCTTGGCGCTTCCGCCACGGAATCCGTAGATCTTTTGGTGGACATCACCCACGACAATCACGGCACAATGCCCTCGAGCCCCTAAGAGAAGCTCCGTTTGGCAGGCGGACAAGTCCTGTGCCTCATCTAGCAGGAGCGCATTGTACGAAGTAAATACCCGAGGTGCCAAACCACCTTGCAATTGCAGCTGCTTGACATAGGCATCATGTGGACACACCACCGCTTTGCCCTGGGGCGTCTTTCCCTCGACAATCATGTACCATAGCCGCTGAGCCATCTCCGAGACGTCCGCCGGGTCCAAATCGGTTGCCTTGGTCATCGATTTGGGAACATGGGTATCTGGGCGGACGACATGGTCAGTCGATTGAATAAATCGATCAAGCGTCTTTAGAATATAACACGCCACTGTCGTAGGGGCCAGGGTATTGCTCCGCCCTGCCTCGGTGGGTTTCGTGCTGTGGCCAGTCGGCAATTGTTTCTGAAAAAGACTCACTACATCGCGTGGACGTAGATTCCCGAGTGTCTGCCCTTCTGGTAGTGTGGTATGTCGTAAGGCGACCGAGTGCATCGTGTGGCAATCCACATTGGACGTGAATCGTTCTCTTGCTGATTTGGCCGCAGCCACGTTAAAGGTAATGTACAGGAAACGATGCCTTGGCCGCTTGGCTGCAAAAGCAAGCAAAGACAATGTTTTGCCGGTCTGAAGGTAAGCCATATTCTCCATACGTACGCCTGCATAGGCTTGCACTCGGATCAGATCCGATCGCGTCACAGGACAATCGACAAAGCGCTGTTGCTCATGTGTCAGTGTTGATGGAGCAATGAGCTCCGGTCGTGGCGCAAAAAACGTCTCTAGAGCACGCGCACAATCGGCCTCGAGAACATGAAACATTTGATGGTCCTGTGAGCTGCTGGCCGTTGATGGAAGAAATGCGCGTGTTAGGCGCACTACAAGCAGAAAGAGACGGAGAAACGAAAGCAATTCCACTGCCATAGCATGATCCATCCATAAAAACACATCACTTGCGGGTACACGTCCCAGGATCCACGACATGATAAAGTGGCGAGCTTTCGGCGGCCAAACTGTAGGGCCTTGCCGCGTGGCCTCGAGTCCATGCAGGGCTTGGTGAAGATGAATAGGCGGTGTACCCATATGGAATGAAGCCAATGTCTCCGTATACATACGCACGAACTCTTCATCCAGGCGTCCCTCCTTCACCCCGTCTTGGCCTGCATGAGAAAGTGCCTTCTCATAGCGCAGCAAGCAAAGCCGGAATTTCGTATACCTTTTCCGCCATGGTGAGAACGTAGGTGCGAGAACAAATGGACGTAGTCTCTTGTCTGCGCACAACAAATTCAAGGTATCTGGGAATGATAAGAATGAAAGTGTTCGAAATATAGCGCGTCGAGGCATGCACTCTAGCAATGTCCGGCGTTTTGGCGTCCATGGTACAGGCTTGGTGTGAGCCTGCATAGACACAGCAGGTTTGGATCCCACCTTCGATGGCCGCGTCCTGAAAGGCAGGCTCGGCCCTTGCCAAGCCGCCACTGCCTCAGACGCGTGCATCGTGGTCCATGCAAGCCTCGACGCGTCGTCGACTTGGGTGTTGGTTCGCTGAGTTTAGTCAGCTACCGCCACACACTCACACCCCCGCATGCGCTTGTCGTCGCTCTCCATGACACCCGACGAGGAGAAGGCATGCACGACCGAAGCGTTTCTGGTTGCGGTCGGGCAGGTAGGTAGTGATCCTGCGAAGGCAGCTACGGATCTCTCGGTCTTTGCGCCTGACCCTTCAGTGCTGGCCATTGATGAGGCTGTGATGGGGCCGCAAGGCGCAGGTCGTACGGCGGAGCTTTTTGCTCAGCGTACTACGCCCTTGGCCACGATTCTTTGCTTGTATGTACGAGGTAACTCACAAATCAGAGCCGCCGAGTATAGGCGCGCCTCCTGTCCCGGCACTGTGATGATGTTGGAAGGGCCTACGAACGAAGTCCTTTCGCATCCTCAGCTGGGCGAGCATGCACGATATATGCCTACGTTGAGTACGTATCAGCGACACTTACATAAAGTCACACAATGGGCCACTTCTATGATGGAAAAGAATGCAATCGGAGAGGTACGTGTGAATTTGCTGACGTGGCCAGCCAGCGCATACACTCCCTCTTCTCGAACGGTTGGTGGACGTTTTAGGCACACACAATGCTGGCATCACAGGCGCTCATGTATGTTTGCTGCGGGCATATGTGGATTCATCGGAGTACGACAAAGCAATCGCTTTGTGTCAACGTGTGGATGTGTTCCAAACCGATAACACATCACAGGCCTTGGATATCCTGGCGTTTGTCTGCTTAGCAGCGCATGCGTATGAGTATCGGAAGGAGATCAATACGGCAATGGCATACTGGCATAATGCGCTATCTCTTCCGACCAATGTCATTCATCCGTGGCAGATACAGGCGCTGAAAAAGTTGGTGGTAGCGTATGTGATTCGCGATGGCCGCGTACCAGCCATGCCTCGTATGCTCCCGCTAGCGTCTGCGTCTCTGCATGCCCAATATGGGCGTGATACGGATTGGTACTGGACATGGGCCAAGTACGCTACTTCGACACACATGGAGAGTGCTCGAACGGCCCAACAACTCGCAGACGAGCATCGAAGTGCCCTGGAGAACGAAGACATGTGGCGCCTTGTCCAACAGGCGCTACACGCACAAAAAATGCACTGGATTTTAGCTTTGCCGCCCTTGTACAAGACTATACCCTTGGCCAGGATCGCCGAATACGTGGACTGGCCGTCGGAGGACGTGGAGCGTATCCTAGCCGACTTGACAACACAAGGCCGTCTGCATGCTACGATCTATTTGAGTGATATACCTATACCTTCTGACGCGCTCCCAGTGCCTGGTGGCTATGTTACTGGGGACCCCGGTCGTCACTGGGTCCGCTTTGATGATCCGCCACCATCGCCGTCCATGGAGCACGCGTGGGAAGAGGTCCTTGCCAAAGAAAAGGCCGCTACACAGACGCTACATGCACTCAAGCACCAGGTATACACATCACCAGGCTTTCTCTCGCGGATCATTACGCTCAATGCTGGTGCTGCCACGACCGTAGAGTCTGAGATGGAGGCGGAGATGGCATAGAGGCGACGTAGGCAGGTAGTGATGTCTCCACACCACGTGACGCCGTACGCGTCGTGACGCGTCGTGCGCGTTCGAGTACCGTCGTGCCTTGGGCAAGGTCGATCGTGGCGTTGGTAGGATGCCTGCGCTTCGATTCCAAGGGCCTTTGTACAAGGCAGGGACATCTGTCGATGCCCTTAAGAAGCGATTGGATTCATTCCACAAAGAGCTGGCGGCATTGGATCAAGGGGCCATTGATACGTCGCTGCTGGATGACTACTGTGCCGAGCTCATCAAGCCTTCGCTGATGCGCCATAAAGACCGCAGTGTCCAGGTTTTGGTCGGCTGTATACTTTCGGACATTTTGCGTTTGTATGCGCCGAATGCGCCTTTCACCTCGACTGAAATCAAAGTACGTTTCGCGCGAACTTACGCAGTCCCTTTTCCGGTTCTTGCTGCAGCAGCTAGTCTCGCCCAAAGCGGGATTGGCACATCCAGAGAACAGTGTATATAAGGACACTGTGTACATCTTGGATAGTCTGAGCACAGTGAAAAGTGTCGTACTGATTTGCGACTTGCCTTCCGCGCATGACTTGCTGACGGAGTACTTTCAAAAGCTATGGACGCTGACTAGGTATGTGGGAGCCACGCTGACCAAAGTGCGCCGCTGGCCAAGAATGTCGAGCTCGCGCTTGCTGATATCTTGACGCAGCTCATTGAAGAATGTGTATCTGTCCCCCCTGCGGTGGTGGAAGTACTTATGACGGCCTTTACCGACGAGAGTGCTGCCTCTGTGATGATGGCGACAAGTGTGTGCCGTGCGACGCAGGATCGTCTGCAAAAGTATGTGGCGCGGTACTTTGCCGAGGCGATGCAGGACCCAGTGTACGAGGATGACGACGAGAAAATGGATGCGCTGACGTCCATTCATGCACAGATCCAGCCCTTGGCTCTGGCTGTGCCTTCGTTGCTGACGAGTGTTGTGCCGCAGTTGGAGGCCGAGCTCGTGTCGGACGATGTGGATATTCGCACGCTGGCCATGCAGGTCCTAGGCGCCCTCTTCCGCGCGCCAGGGAATGACAAGGAATCATTTGCGCGGCTGTACCCGAGCGCCTGGAAAGCGTGGCTGGGCCGGGCGATCGATAAGCATGTGCCGATCCGCATGCAATGGACGAACGATGCCCTTGCCTTGATGTCGACGCACCCTGCGCTTACCTCGGCGATGATGCCCATGCTGCAAGGCCGCGCTGTCGACCCGGATGAACGTGTACGGGGCATGTTGGCTGATGGCATCTTGAAGATGGACTACGAGACACTACGCCATTCTATGCCTACGTCTCTTCTACGGGAGCTGGCGCAGCGTGGGAAAGACCGACGTACGTCGGTGCGTGACGCTGCGTTGGCCGCGCTTGGTCGTGCGTTTGCGATGTCGTTGACCGAGCCGGAGGCACAAGCGCGTGAGCATTTCGCATGGATCCCCGGGGCGATACTAAATTGCCATTTGGCCGGCTCGTTGGACGTAATGTACAGCGTCCTTCAGGTGTGGGAGACGTACATCCTTCCTACGCAGCCCCTGGACAGCTACGTGGAGCGGCTGAGGCAGGTATATGACCACCTCAGCGACGCAGAGCGTGCGATCTTTTTGTACCTGAGCAACCTACGTCTGCCTCGCCCGACGCCCATGGCCATGTATGTGAGTATGTGCCGTGGCGACGTGGTCGACGATGGCGCAGGGTGCCTGCAGGCGCTTGCCGCGCATCTGCACGATACCGCCCTGCTCCCGATCTTAGAGGCATTCCAGCGTGAACCGATGGACACGGTGCTTGGGGCCATGGAGACATGTATCGCCTTCGATGCGACGTGGGACGAGCAGCGTGAGGCCCGTCGTACGGCGCATGCCTACCTCACAGAGCACGCACCGACATGGGCGACGCCGTTGACGATGTGTATGTGGACGGGCAGTTTGCCATGGATCGGCCCAGCATGTGTACGTCCGCTCCTGGATGCCTCTGCGACATTGTTGCTCGCATGCATGGCGGAGTATGCGCCATGGCTCTTTGCACCGCATGCACAGACGCTGGTGGACCGTGTACTTGCGGGCGACACGACGGCGCTACCGCCCTTGGCGGCCCTCGCTGTGAAGCAGGCTGACGAGGTGCCTACGACGCCCGCGCTGGTAGACCGTCTGAAAGACGACGCGGTGCGCAGCGAAGCTGCGGCCCAGGCGTTGGCCGGCCTCGCGCCTGAGGAGGCCGCGGCGTTGGTGGCTGCATGGACGCCTCGCTCCTCGTCGGAGGACGAGGAGGCCAGTGCATCGCTGCAAGCGCTGGCCGCTCTCTTGCAGTACACACCGACTACGATACCCATGAACGCTGAGCGCTTGGCCGATCAATTGGTGCCTACCATCCTTCTGGCCACATGGCCGCACGACGCCGTTTTGGACGAAGTTGCCTGGCTTGAGCCTAGCGAGGACGTCCCTGCGCTGGCATGCCGCCTCGCCGCGATGCGTGTCTTGACGCAATGGTGCCTCCGACAAGCCGATGAGGCGATAGCGCCGCCGATCTTCAAGTGGCTATGGATCCTCTTGCACACGGGCGAAGCCGATGCGTCGCACCACATTCCCCGAGGCGCTCGAGCGCGTCTTCGGGCGTACGCAGCCGAGTGCCTTTTGGACTTGGCACAGTGTGACGTGTACGTACCGCACCTCGTCGCGCGTATGAGCCGATTGGCGTATGCACTGCAAGACGAGTGTTATCAGGTCCGGAAGTCGGTCTTGCACACCCTGTTGGTACGTGTAGCGCAAGACCGACTTCCGCCAAGTTTCCATGCGGTGCTGTTCATGGTCGCACTGGATCCTGAGGCGGATCTTCCGGCCAGCGTGCAAGCGTATACACGCCGTGTGCATACGTACCCAGACGACGTCGTGCAGGAGCGGCTGCATACGCCGATGCTGCGGTTCCTGCACATACTCTCGCACCATCCCGATTTAGCGCTGGATCGCGTCGAGAGCTTGGCTCTGTTTACCAAGTACCTTGACTTTTATGTCGCGCAGGTAGCGACGGCGTCCTCGATCAGTACGTTGATTCACTATGCTGCGAGTCTTCGGCAACGCTGGGACGCCACTGCGTCTACGCCCAGTGCCATGACCAGTCGATCATTGCATGCCATGGCCGAATTGATGGTGCATCTACTTCATCGTACAGCAGACACGCATCGATGGACCGTCTCTGCGATGCCCACCGAGCCTGTGCCGTGCCCTGCGGACATTTTGATACCCTCCGGGCAGCTGGCGCAGCCGGTCCTCCCACCGGATGTGCTGACGCAGGCCACGGCGTCGTCCAAGCGGGGCGCGCGTGAGAAAAAGGCACGTCGTGGGTAGTCCACTTAGGTATCTATAAAAGTACAGGATCCATGCTAAATAGGCCGCCATCCTCCGCGGCCGAAGCCAGCGCCACTGCGTGACGGCGGCGCATGGCTCGTGCCACGGCCACCACCCCGCATGGCCGTCCACCCAGGCGGCGTCGGAGGTCGCGGCGCTGTACGCAACTGCGGCGGCCGTGGTGGCGGCGGGCCGGGCGGTCGTGCTACCGGCACAGGTGGGGGGCCCGGCGGCGGGGCTGACGGCGGCGGGCCAGGCGCACGAACATAGGGCGACGGGGTGGGAGGAGCGCGTGCGCCACCGAGCACGGGAGGCGCTGAGGGCGGCGGCGCCTCGTACGTCGACGACAAGGCACGGGGCGGCTTCGGCGCCGACCATCGGGACTCGGGCCTGTACGTATCGTACACGGTCGTCGTC